AACATGGACCGAGAACATTCAAATTGAACATGAATCGCATGGCAGTGTAACTTACATAGTTTGGATCAGACAAGAAATACTATCATTTGACATGAATCATACAATGTTTCAGCAGTGATTTCTACGAGAATGCATAATTTATAAACACTCTTGGCCCTATCCCAACATTTATCCAAACTACCCCAAAATGAATTTGGGTATGCACTTCAACTTGTCTTTTGAAACAAAATATTAAGAACACGCACTGAGACATCCTGATGCCAAGACTTTTTTGTAATTTTCAAATTTAGGGCTAACAAAATGGAAAAATATTTTCTCAGGGGAAATAAATTTCATGACAGGCATTCTTTTTATCACTGCTGTCAGTGCACTATTTTAAGTGCAATGGATATACAGTCTGTTGTCTTCATTTGAAATGTCAGCAATTAATTATTCACAAATTGCAACGTTCAAGTGGGATTTTATGCGGCGAAGATGACAAGCAATCTGCCAATGTATGCCTTCACCGATTTGCCTAAATGCCATATGTACATGTACATGTAGATCAGCACCACACTGGTTCATACTTCAGATAACCATGAAAAGAACAAAATTACTCTCTTTACAAATTCACACTCACGTAATCCTTTATAACCAAGTTGTACCAGGATCTAATCCACAATCTAGAAGTAAATTATATTCCCACACAAACATCCACATGTACGGGTAAAAGCCATTTCACACTAGAGCCTCTCAACCCGGGTTGAACTCAACCCTGGGCAAACCCAGTGCCGCCCCGGGTTGAGTTTTTGATTTTTCAACCCCGCGTTCCACCCTGCATCGTTTCACACTAGTTTCATGCAAACCGAGCTTATTTCGCTCGGTTACTGTTTTGAACTTTGTCAAGAGTTTCAACCAAGGTTAAAAATCTCAACTCTAGTCTGTAGCAGGGTTGAGTTCAACCCGGGTCGAACTTAATCTCAGGGTTGATGCAGGGTTGAACATTTTCAAGTGTGAAACCCTGCATGTTTTCTACCTTGCGTCAACCCCCCATCAACCCTGAGATTTGTCTAGTGTGACTCAGCAAAAGTACCCCTACATTTTCCAAGTGATAGTTTGTTGCCTAAAGCATTGGAATGAACTGGTGAAGAAGATAGCGCGCCATGTAATCCTACAAGATAGCGTGGGTTTTTAAGCTGATGTTAAAATAGTTAAGTACATGTGGAACCGGACAACCAGTATCCTGGGTTACCAACAACAAAACGTAATAGGCTTTGGCTGAGATTGATTGCACATAACATACATGCGCAGGGACTGTTGACAAAAAAAACATGTAATCGATGCAGCCTTTCTGATAAAGACTTAAAATTTGTTTTCATGCTTTTGTAAAAATCAGTGTTCTTCAAGTACAGTGTATTAATATGATAGTAAGATTTGCATCCTCACTCACCGAACAAAAAAAAACAACAAGAGAAGCTTGGTTGGAAGATTAAACAACTTAGCTGCTTTGAAAATTAGTTTTGATTCCAGTAATTCAAATTAAAATACAGTCAAATCAAATCAAAGTTCAGACTTTAAAAATGCTGAAGCCTCTCACAGAAAAAAAGGAGAAAAATATTTCTCTCCCAAAACATACCTCACGGACCGCATGTATGTTAACTTCACACACAGAAAACTTCTTCATCCTGAGACGATTTCAACTGATTCACGTCAAAACTTGGCTGCATCCACCAAAAAAATTTGTCTTTAACACACTGATCATCAACACAGAAATAGACACAGTGTTCCGATACAGCAAACTCTTGCTGTGAAAGATCCTGGCCGAATGAAACAAAGGCCGGTCCACACAGGACAAAGTACCTCAGGATAATTGCCAACTTCTCACTTTACCCAACCAACCAACAACAAGGGGATCAGTGTTTTATGCCTGACTGAATTTTCAGCCAAGTGGTCAATTAATAATGCTTAATGTACCTTGAGCATGTTGCCATGGATGAAAGGTGAACGAGGGTAACGAACACGACATGGGTAGACATAACCAAACACAAATTTTCTACTTCTACAGAGAAACTGAATGGGTACACGTACGTCTGTGAAGGGCAAAACCTGAGAATTGATTAACATGTATGTCTCTGTAAATAATGCAATAACAAGTCAATTAAAAGTTGCTTGAGCTTTGTATTTCAATAAAAGTGTTTAAAATTACAGATTTTTTTTCATTTCCAACATGTTAAAAGCTTACTTAGAGCGCTGTCATTTAAATCCATATGTTGCAGTCACATTCAAGTCAGCTCCAATGTTAATGTTACATATTATTGCTACAAATAATGTGGATCAATTTGAATCACTGCGCGGTAGAATGTGGACATACATGTAGGTAGCATGTTATTTTGCACTGGATTGCGATGTTCAACCCAGGTCATGAACAATGTAAACATTCTTGGGATTTTGAAGGTAGTGCAATAGAACCTACAGGAAAGTTGGCTAGGTCACAAGAACCAATTTCAAAAGTTCTCACTAAGTAAAATTAAATATTATAGATTTGACAAATACAATGTATCAATATTTAGGCTACTCAATATGGTTGGATTCTAAGGACAATGTCTATGGGAAACCAATTCCACTTTCTCACACAAAAATGTACAAATAACAAAATTGTAGTTTTTCTGTTTTGAGTGTTCTCTAAAATCAAAAAAAATTGAAACTGATATTTATTATGACAACTTTATTTAAAATTCTTTCCACTGGAAATGGGAAAAGAAGGTTAAACAGTCTGGGAAAGTGAGTGGTCATGATTTTTGTGGGTTTTTTTTTAAGAATATGCTGCAGGGATAGCTTCAATGGAAGAAATGTATGTCACCCAACTTTCTCAGAAAAAGTTCAGACAACACTAAGCTCCAGAAGATTCTTAACAAGGGATTTGTTCCTAAGGATGCTTAACATACAAATAGGAAGATGCTGGAACCTCATCTCAAGACTTGTTGGATGAGATTATCTGTGCCCAAATTCTGTCAGGGATTACATGACAGGATTTAAAATCTCAAATCCTTAGGAGTGCATCACAAGGATACATGTGTAGCATCGTGCATTGTGCATTATGCTGAATGACAGGTAAACCGTATTTGCTTCCACAGGTGCGCAACAAGCCCTACAAATTTAGAAATGAACAATTTCAAACTGAGCCAAAAAGGTGAAAACCTGTTCACTTATTTTTTCAATCCTACATACATTTACCTGAAATCTGTTAAAAATGGAAGCTCGTTATACAAAACATGCAAAGTACATTGCTACCACCACAATGCTATGAACAGGAAAAAAATACAACGTAGACTGCTTTGGCCTAATGATATAATTTTGAAATTGCTGGCATTTTCGAATATCCTGTCAAATGCAGTTTTGAGTAATCGAATACTAAATTATTTGAAATGGACAGCCCTAAAACTTGCTAAATTGGAATGAAGAAACTTTCTACTGAACCAGCCATGTCAGCTCAAATGAAAGCCACGCTGATTTTCACCACTTGCAAACATGCCATAGCTAGACCTTTATTTATTTAAGGTTTTTTTTTTAGTATAAATAGATATTGTTACCGGTCACAGTTCACTTGTAAAGGTGTAAAGTCTCCAGTTGCATTTTGCCAATCACAGGAGCTTCCAAATGCTGTAAATATTAGTAAACACTTTTGACTGAAAAGTCGACAACAATAAATATCCTTTATTTCCGACCATTCTTTTTAGTTGACGATGAGCTCCAGTGTCAAATTTAAAATTCTATCTGTGTGGGGACCTCTTTATGTGACTGCAATGGTTTGCTTTCAAATGGCACTTTCGAACCGGTTTTGTGGAACATAATCTTGTTTATTATTATCGGATGTAATACTATCAAAACAACGCTTGTTGAGGAAGTAACTGAATAATGAACATTTACGTGCAACTTAAAGGGAACCGCAAGTCCGTGCTCCGTCGTGTCCGATGTAAACAACCAGGTTTCTCGGGAACGGTAGGATATTAGGTTGGCTTCCTTTCCATTAGATGTTTGAAATTGGATAAGTAAACAATCCAAAACATTTTCGGGGATTTCAGGACCTAGAGCCCCTTTAAAGATCATCACATTTTTATTTACGAATTAGGCGAAGTAAAAAAAAAAACATGTTTAGCGTCCCCGCCCGCTTCCTTTTTAGAGGCCGCCTCCTTTTTTTTTTTTTTTTTTTTTTTTTTTAAAAGACAAAAATTGATAAATTTTAACGATCTCTGACGAAAGAAATCGTATTTTTAGACTTTTATACCGTGTATAAAGCTGTGGAAATAGTCAATGAGTCCAAGTGGCGGCCATTTTGAAAAAAGCTGGTAACCATCTTGAAAAATAGCCCGGCCGCGTTGCCTTGAAAAATGTGTCGGGCGGCCATTTTGAAAAGAAAAAAAAAAAAAAAAAGGGCCTCCTCCTTCCTTTTTGTCAAAGAGGCAGGACGCTAAACATGTTTTTTTTTTATTTTGCCTTATCTTTGGAGTTTGGTGTTTTCTTGTGCAATAATTTTACAAAAGAGGAGAAAATATCTGAAGACAATGCAGAATAACACAAATTTTACCAAATACTACTCACTGCAACATTCATTATTTTAGTTAATTATGCCACTCTCCAAGCCTCTTAGTTATACTTCCTTGAGGAGTTCTGAAGAGGATAACCACCAAGTACCAAGTACCAAGTACATGCAACAATGACACAGACAGTCAAGAATAACATAATTATCTTTCAATGCCAACAATTTAAAAAACCTCCACGTAAAATTTCTGTTTAATGTAACAAGTTTTAATATCTAGTACAATATATACAGGCCCTATGTTAACTGAATATTGAAGCCAAACATCCTCTAAAAAGTATAATTTCTAATAAAAAAATATATATATAAAAAACACCCCAAAAAAAGCAAACCAGACAGGCATAATTAATAATACAAAAAGTTCCATAAAAGCGTTTTGGCAGTTCGTTATTAGTTAAATAACTTCTTTCTCAAGACTACAAACCTGTCTTTCCTTGAGATTTTCCCCCGGTGCCAACGCCGCCAGACGAGATTTATTCTTCGGGTCGGCGCTGCCAGGATTCCGCTTGGCTGTCGCCTTCACGCGGTGATGTCCCGGCGGCCCGGCAGTCGGCCCGTTGGCCGCGGTCTTCCCCGCTTCAACATCGGCCATTTAGAGGCCCAAAATACACCTAAGACAAAAGACTTCACGACTCTCCGACTAGCTTAGAGTCTCCTCTACATTGACAAGTTCTACTCTCTGCAACTGTGCTCGATAAATGTCATTTCATACGGCATTACGAAGTTATTTTGTTTTGGTAAGTTTTACGTTAAAAGAGGAAACGGCAGCCATTTTGACCAGATTGTGTGTACAACATCACCTATGAGACGACATTGATTTGCATAAGCTCGGGCGATACCAATTTTATATGGGGGATTTCTGAAGGGGACTGTTAAATTCGAACTCTGTCGCGAATAAGTTCAAAATGTACAAGGCACTATTAACGCATTTCCCTTTCAAATTTCATTCATTTAAAGTATGAAAGTCTCATAGATACAACAAAATATAATTTTTAAAGACTGATTTGTGAAAACATCAGGTGCACTCAATATAATTGATTGGTTCCCACCTGCTGAGAATCAACGAGTCTACGTATTCAACTTTGCCAACAGGTACTTCTAAAGCGCAGACTAGCTATACGTCGCACCTGTGGTCGGGGCGAAAATAAATGATTGATCCATTGTGTGGATTTTATTGATCTGTGTCTGTTAATATTTAATACTATAAACGTGCGAGAAAATGTTGTTTGTATAATAAGCTGAACACATGCACAAAGATCCCCAAGAAAATGTCTTACTTAAATGTAATCATTTGCCAGGAGAAAAGTGCAATCCGTGTCGCTACCCACTGTGTCTACACGGTCTGTGCCCAATAGACCATGAATAGACTATTAAATGCAGATATGCCTAGATCAAAGTGTCCCCGTAGACAGTTTATTGGTTATTTTATGGGTCTCTGTACTGTTGAGGTCATTAAAATTTCCACCTAGTTTCCATACAAACCCAGAAAGAGGCGTACGTAAAGGTAGTACCTGAAGTGCGCCACCTCGCGACTACGTACATCTGTCATGTTGGTCTTCGCTCGTCCCCAGGGCGGTAGTGTCTTATAAACGGGAGGACACGCCTCCAGTCCCCGCCCTGGCCGCACTCAGATTTTAGGGAAAGCAAACATCTTCCTAAAAACCCACTGAGGCCCCTAAGCATCCCCCCCCCCCAATTTGACACAGGTTACGCCACTGCACACAAAGACCAAAGAACCAAGATTTGCAATATTACATGACATTATTCCCAGAAATGATACATTGGACATGTGCAGGGCATGCAGGCTAACCAGCCAAACCACCCGACCCAAAATCCATCTTGCAAAAATGTCAACCGTATGCAAGAAAGTTTTGCGCGTGTGCGAGACATCTTCAACTTCTAAGACGTTTTAATTACCTTCACAAACACAGGATCCTTTTTGCTTTGGAACTTTTATTTTCGTTTCTTCAATGAATGCTACATCTACCGCAAATTAATTATCAAGCAAATTTAGTATTATCAATTCATGATTTGAGCTTGAGATTCCTCTTCATTCTGCTATTATATAAGAACATAAAGACACCAAACATTTACATCGCTCTTGCTGCCTGTAAACAGTTCATAGCTATCTAAGAATACAGCTGCCAAAATAAGTCAAAAACTGAAATATATGCATTTTATATTTTTCTGATATAGATTTTGTAGAAAAATATTTATTACCAAATGTCATTTCATGACTATATCTTTATAAGTTACCTTTATAAATTCTGCATGATATTTAATTGGATATTTCTATGATATTACATGAAATGTTATTAAACAAAAATAGGTTTGTCTTTATATCTTGCATAACTGTCAGGAGGGAATGATTAGTTAGCGACAAGCGAAATTCCGTATTCTAAAACTGGATGTAACTTGATTGCATTTATGCATAGACAAGCCTAATATAATAAGACACAATTTTCAAGTGTTTTTTTATGACCCCCGCAAATTAAAGTACACAGCTGCAAACCCATTGCTATTGTATCCAAAATAATATATCATAATACTGAATAAGAAACAAAAATGGAAAGTTATAAGCACCATATAATGAACCGAATTGTATTAAAAACATCTTTACGCAAACGAAATAGGCCCTTACTTATTGTAATCTACCGAAAACCTAAAAATACAATTTCCCATTGATAATGACATATTAGATGGTGCAGTTTAAATAACACCATAGTTTTTAAATTTATATTTAATTAATTTAATGTGTGCATAGACGAAATGCCACTGCAATCTTATAGGAGAACCCCATCTTTTGGGGAAAAACACAATCACACAAAAATATAAGTTCCGCGTTATCAATCCCAATTTGTTTTTATTTTTTAAAGTAACAGCTTTCCTAACCCAAAATTTATAATTCTATTAATTTAAATTCATTCCTTGTTTGTTGTTATTCCAATCTCATGCAATACCTTTGAATCATTTAACACAAAGTCAAAGTGACAATGTCGGATGTAAAAAAGGTTAAATTTTCCTAAATTACACCCAAAAATGGGCTGATTTCACAGTTGTTAGTCTGCAGAACACGTCATTGTCAAGGGTTTTACTACCAACCAGAGTGCATAGCAACCTTATCCATTACGTCACAAATAACTAAATTTACCTCATGTATGAGATTTAAAGGCATATAGGATCATTTGCATTTATATAAAAGTAACCTACCAAAAAAAAATTTCACAAAAGTGTCCTCATATTGAGGCTCGTACTGGTACAACATGAACACCCCGTGAAATTATTCTGTCCGGCTTGCTGTCATTTAGAATAAATATAGACATGTACATGTAGGTGATTTCCAACAATCAGTCAATTGACTGAATGTTGGAAATAGGGGGCGCTAATGACGAAATATGATGTTTCGTGATCAAAAGGTTGTGCATGGTTTTTCACTGTTTTCTCGAAAAGTGTAATATCCACTGAGCTGAAACTTCAGCTGGTTAGGTTTTGAACTTTCGTCTTTGGATTTTGATTGGTGTAATTAATAGGAAACAAACAAACAAAGCAAATGATCCTATATGCCTTTAAACTTACACATTTGCATGCTCCTGTTTTTCTTATGCATGAATCGATATGTCACTTCATATTACTGTGTTTGCTATCGAGAACATTATGCTTGGAAGGATGCTGTGACTACGCGGCCATTGAGCGGCATAGTCGGACGGTAGTTGTCACCAAGATGTTCCGGGCAGCCGGTATCGGCACAGCATCCTTGCTTGTGAGACCGCAGATCTCGCAGTGTCTTGATCTAAAGAGTGGAATGAGGAAAACATTTTTTTCTTTTACAATTCTAGAGTTTGTTTCAAAATTAAAATTTATGTAATGAGCATGAGAGAAAAATACTAAACTTAAGACAAATTTTTGGTTCAAACATAAATTTTATCCTTTTTTTCTGAGGAAAACTAGTACATGTATTTATCAAGATATAAGAACACAAGAAGTGTTATATAATTCTAAATGTTCTGCAGCAATGGCCAAAGGTCTGGAGTTCTTTTAAGATTACACGAATTCGTGTACGAAAAAAAAACCGTCTAAATAAACTGGAGTTTATTCCATTACCTGTTGTGCAGATATCTCGACGGGTTCCCGATAAATGATGAACCGTGCACTCTCGTAGCACGGCGGTGTCGTCAAGGATCCTTCGTAGGTCCAGTAATCTTTCTTATTCTCTGAAATAGGACATTTGCAATAGATTTATTTGATGCACGTGGAAAGCTGGCTTCTGCATACGATTTCAATGGCAAAGTGGAGATATCACAGAGCCAATCAGGCAATTGGGAATATATTGATCAGGTAGAAGTACTTTGTTGCAAAAGTTTACACTTGTAATATTTCCAAATCCAATGATTAAAAAACATTAAACTTACCAGGAAGTAAAACAGACGGATCAAATCCCTTTTCCACTGCGCATTTATCATCCTAAAGTTGCAAAACAGAGACATGATTTTTGATTGATTGTAAAAATATAAAACCTCCAATTATTGATTTGCACCTAATTCTAATGATAACTCCCATATTTTTTTCTCATCAGTGCGAACAGATTTTGAAATTTAATTTTGACAATTGTTTCGCACATATCCCCCTCCCCCCCAAAAAAACGTTAAAGTGTGCCTCAAAGTAAGGAGAAACCGTTTTCCTGTTTGGTCAAACTTTTTTTGTCAGGCAAAGTGACCATGTTATTTCCTTGAAAGCATTGCTTAGAGATTAATACTATCGAGAAAAAAATGCAATCACATTACAAATACTCATCAGGAGCGTTATCGTGCTGACAAAGAAGTAAACTTTAAGATCATAATTTATGTAAAGTTAATAATGTTAATAATGTAAACGGATTCTGGAATGTCGGGCCCTGTCTGATCTTTGGCTACGGCTGAGCTGTATGTAACACGCGCACCATACGGAAGCCATTGCCTAGCGGATACAGCCACTTCCCACTGGTGCGTTATTGCCGGTCGTAGCCAAAATGATTCAGTCATCGTGAGATACGGCCTTGGCCTTCTCGCTTACTTTACACTTGACTTTGCTCAAGAGCGCCACCAGTTGTCCCCAGGCAGGATTCTCCTTGCCGACCTTGATGAATGCCGTCAGAACGGCTAGGCCCTTGTCATGTGACAGGGCGTCTCCCACGGCTTGGAAGAGATCAGTGTTCCAATGGACCAGATGGAGCTAGAATGGTGGGGAAAATGAAATATTTGATAATATTGACAAACGATTTATTATATTGATCACTTGATCGATCACTTGATTATTATAATTGATAAATTCATAATATACCTACGTGTAAAACAACACGTCCTATAGTTTTGATCCTAACTTAAATAGCTCTGTTGTTTACCAATGGAATTAAACCAACATTTCAGATCATGTAAACAAAGCATGGCAAAATTTATGGGGCGACTTTTATATCAGCTTTGTGCAAGAGGGTGAGATTTAAACGCCATACAAAAAAATACTAACTTTCAGAATCTACCATTTTTGACTTGGTTCTCTATAATGTCGATTCAGCGCTGGAGACGGTGGCGGAAGGCGCGTGCTGCTGCCGAAAGCTTCGGAAGGAATGCAGGATCACCCCTGATGTCATTGCACACCTCCTCGATCGAACACATGACCGAGGAGGTGTGCAATGACATCAGGGGTGATCCTGCATTCCTTCAGAAGCTTCCAGTCGCAGCAGGCGCCTTCCGCCACCGCCTCCAGCGCTGTATCGACATTCTGAAGGTGAGTATTTTTTTTGTTCGGATGACGTTTAAATCTCACCCTCTTGCACAAAGCTGATGAAACTCGCTCCATAAAATTTGTCATGCATTGTTTACATGATCTGAAATTTTGGTTTTAATTCAATTGGTAAACAACAGATTTATTTAGGATCATAAGTAGGATTGTTTTTTGGCAAGTAGGTATGAGTAGAACATGTCGGAAACCAAACTGGAAAGCTTATTTAATATTCCAATCAGGGAACCGCATTACAGTCATCGTGAAACAATTTCATTTAGCTTGTATATAGACCGAAAATAAGCAGATAAATGTGTTGAGCGAAAATTAGCCGGGAAAAGTATCAAGTAATACACACTACATCCGATTTTGGTTGGTTGCCTGTTTTGCTGAGCAAGTCATTTCAATGCTTAACTTCAATAGACGAATCCGGGCACGTGATACAATCAAGCCGGGCCGGCCCCCTTCAATGGAGAAACCATTGTGCACGCTATTGTACAAGTAACTGCACTGTGACGGATTATCTGAACTATAGCTAGCACAATGCTTTCGCCATTGAAGGGGGCCTTCGTGATAGAATTGATAGCGTGCCCGGATTGGTCTTTTACAAACTGGGTCAAAACAGGATAGATAACTACCTCTGCATCGTATGGTTTGCCATCCACGGTGTGTTCAGATCCCAGGCCGTCCTTGCTGCCCCAATGGCAATGGAATTGGGCAAGCTTATGGTTGTTGGAAAGCGGTCCTCCGCTTAAATCTGAAAGTCAATCAAAAGACAAAAGTTACACCAAAAACTCCAACGTCAGATTGACCCGAGATCATGCAGAATCCAAATTTGCTCAGTCCTTTTCTGAGTCAACACTGAACAATGACGCTTTTCTGAGCCAAATTGACCTAGAAATTGACCTGACTCAGTTTGACCCCAAAAGAGGTCATTTTTGACCGGAAAAGGACCGAGCAAATTTGGATTCTGATTCCGGGTCAATCTGACACAGCACTGTTTTAGTGTCTGTCTATGTCAGCTGTACATGTTGAATAAACTTTTAACAGCAGATTTCTTTGTAACTCGGTGTCAGTCATAAATCTGGAAATGATGCACGTTCATGCATGTCATTAAAAGACAATAATTTATGCAGGATTCGAACCATCGTTGACTTTTTTAGGTAGAAAGTAATCTTACTATTCTTAGTGACCACCAATGCTGCACGAAAATGAGTTGCCCTAGATTCTTGAAAAGTTGTATTAAAGTGAAATGTTGGAGACACTCAGTCCATTCTGGAGAGTGAAAAGTTTGGGTCAGAGGCTGGAGTGGCAATCTTGAGGCTTCGGGTTCGAGTCCTGGTTAAAGCCAGATATTCTGAGCTCTACCAAATTCTGTAATATCCCATTAGTCTCTTTTCATGCCGCTAATAAGACACACGAAGCTCCCTTACTGGTGCCGCTGGAGGCAACATTCACTTGGAACGTGAATCCGTTGTTGAAGAGCTCTGTACATTCAGCCGACGTGTAGTCGATGTTCAGTGGGCCTAGAGACGCGTCTATCTTGGCGTCTTTCGTCACGATGTCGATGGGAGACTGGCGGTTGCCTTTGGCAGCGGGAAACTTCTCACACCAGTGCGATGGTCCTTTGATACATTAATAACAATAATTATTAGATTTTTTTTATTTAAACGATGGGACCGAAAACTTACTTTCTGTATTTGTCATCTTCACTTCAAATCATCAAAACTCGTTTACAGAATAGTTGAGAAAAGAAATATACATTGACCGGTTTATAAAGGGGTGATGCAGGAACCAAATTTGTAATATTTAAAGTTTTTTAATACTTAAAGTTCTATGGTGTTGTACACAACCCATATACATGGGCGTCGCAAGGGGGGGGGGCAGGGGACACTTGCCCCTGGAAAAGCACCCCCCCCCCCACTCCAAAAAAAAGGAGGGAAAAAAGAAGGGAAAAAAGAAGAGGTATGAAATCATATTGCTTTTACTTTAATGCACATTTAACAACATGGGCGTCCGCGGGGGTGTCAATGGGGGTGGGGTGGGCAAATGACCCCGCCCACCATGGAAAAAATAATAAATTGTGAATATTCTAGATGAAGTGACACGATTTTGGTAAATGATGTGCTTTGTCCCCCTCCAGAAAAATCCTGGCGACGCCCATGCCCAAATACATCAGCGTCGGTTACCTCCAAAAACGGACCATTATACCGAAAACTTTTATTTTATTTTATTTTTTTTTTTTGGGGGGGGCACTTTCCTAGGCACAGAAATTTTCTTGAAGAAGGTTGCAGAATATGCTCCTCATCACCCCCGATTTGTACATATGAATTGGAAAGTCTACCGAGGGTCATATAATCTCTAAGATTTTTTCACCCAGCCTGCCAGACAATAATTAGGCTTGATCAAGTTTCTGATCTGTTTTAGTTTGTTAGCATTAGCAACTTACTACAAAATGCCAAATGTTTTTAATTTTGTGAAGCTATAGGGTTCTTCGAAGAACTTTGACGCACTCGTGTGTGTGTCCCTCTTGTGGGCGTCCCCACAAACCCTTGGAGGATGTTCTTGTCTACAAAGGTAGACCAACATTCTCTGATTAATGTTTGGTCCAAAAAATCCCTCAGAGGCGTTCGGAAATTTCATGAAAAGGTTTGTTTTCAATCCACCTGTCGTCCTTATAGAAAGATATTCTTTATCGTTTTACAGTCGTCTGTTTTAACATTTAAATTTTATTTTGATTTGAAGGGATCATGAAGGCCCATGATGCAAATGCTTTTACTATAATATGCAGGCATTTTGCATGCCAGACTTCTTTGTACTCGGTAACAAAAAAAAAACACATTCAGGAGATTCCATTAAAACGAGTGAGGCTGATCGCATGGTTGATTATGAACGGCCATTAAGTCATTGCGCAGACAAGGAGGAACCTAGAGACCATGAACTTTGGGGGTTCGCTGTGGCGCAGGCGCACACTGCCGCACAGCACATTCGAATTGGCCAAACTTGCCCCAATTGTGTCACTTGCGCATAGAAACATTAAGTATAGAAATTACACCGTGATGGATTACTCTAATTTCATAAGCCAAAGCTCGAGCCAGTCCCAATTAAATGACTCGAAATGTTCAATCAGGACCACAGCAAAAAAAAAATCCACACAATAGAAATATAGGATGACGGATCTATATTACCTATATTTCTATTGTGTGGATTTCTTTCTATATATAGCCTGATGTAAGACTCTACACGGGCGGATCCAGGAATTTTTGCGGGGGGGGGGGGTTCATCAGCAAAATAATTCTGAAATGGCAGGTTGTTTTCTATGGACACTTGGCCTCCGAAAATCAAAGGGGGGGGGGGGGGTTCTTACCATACTTTCAATTGGGGCAATGTTCAGATCCGACGTTTATTAACACTATGTTACAAAATAGTGTACAAATAAGCTGTCCGTATTTTGTGCACAGGCGGACATTATTAGCTGTATAATTTTTTTGGGGTGTCAGAGCGGGGGGGGGGGGTTCGCATTATTTTAATGATTTTCTAAGAAAATATTTTTAAGACGGAGCTGAAAGGGTTTTTGACCCCCCCCCCCCCAGATCCGCGCCTGCTCTGAGATCGTCTTGTTGCAAAAATATTCCTTTATTTACCAATCCAGAGACAATTTCAATTTCAAAGAGAAATGCTCTTTCGATTTCAAGAGTGTGCAGCCCGTACTGGTAATTCTAGACCTAATACAGCCCAATAAAAGACTCTAATTTAATTTAGATGAATGGAAAACAATTAAAACGCACGGCGTGACTAATTACATTGTTTTCTTTAGATTTTATTCACGAACGTCCGGGCTTTTCAATTCTGCATATTGTCAGTCATGAAGGCTTCGTTAAACTCAGAAATGAGCGAATATCCTGTTATGTCACAAACCGCATTTTCTGAAGGCCAAATCCAGGGATGAACCCAGCCACAGTGATATATGGAGTTAATATTCTGTGCTTCATTGCGAGACAGTCTGCCCTCGCTCTGAACTCCCTGTGGGTATATGGGTTGGGGGCTGGGGAACCGCTTGCTAATCTCAGTCAGGCCCCCGGCCCCAATCCCCTCCGTCTCGGAGTATAAGAACGTTCAATCAAAGCGTTCGTTTGTAAATTTCAGGGAGCACCATAACGAAAGTTTGCATGAATCGTTTTGCATCATCAGCATATTTCCAAGTGATGGATCCATAATTAAGGTCTGGCCGTGTTGCAAGAATTCATGAAATCGATCAAATTGATCCTAACTGTCCGAGCTTAAAAACGCGACGCCGTAAAATGCGATGCCGATGACACATTAGGGAACACCATGCAAACTTTTGGTAAAGTTTCAGGGACAGACAGACAGACCATTCGACCGACCGACCAACCGACCGACCACCAAGTGACATGTAGAATCTCCTGCCAGAGCTTAAAAAAGCTGAGGGGGCCCGAAAATGGAGACGAAACCCCAACTTAGGCCTACATGCGGGGCACATATTCACTCATGTGGGTCGAAATTTCTTTTTTGAGGCACCGTGCATCAAAATAATTACCAATTCACAGTAACCCCCCCAACAAACAAACAAAAAAACAGGGGGAAAAGACTTACATAAAGTGAAAAATGGGGGGGGGGGGGAGGATATAGGCACCAAACATGCGGGATCACGAAAGACTCACAATAATGCTATCTTCATATGCCATCCGAGTCTGACTCGGAAGCGAAGTTTCAACTTTTCCAAAAAAAAAAAAAAAAAAAAAAAAAACCAACTAAATTAATTGAACTTCAAGTGTCAATAATAATATATTTCCGACTAATAGGATATTAAAAAGGGGAAAATAGAGATACAACAATGTTTACATTCTTAGGGGGAAAAGGAACATCTTCATCGTAATATTGTACAGTTTCTGATGATAAAATAATGTTTTGAAGAATGATACGTGTGAATTCAAACATTCTAAAGAATGTTAAGCCTTATAAAACCCTGGATTTCTATGAAATAAACTGTAATTGAGCGCTTTAGTTGGGAGTTTGGAGGTCGCCAGTTCATGTTTCCGGCCTGCATGCAATTGGATGCGAAACGGAGCTTAAAATCAAAGGTAAATAGTGTCGGTCACAACGGGGTGAAAAGTCTTCCCTTTCCGCAATGATATTGCTTGCTTGATAAACATAATAGTTAACATTCAGAAACGCATTATTGTACAATGAACATTATATATAGGCTATACATGTACATGTTCAACTTCAATTGACTTGAGTGTTTGTTTGCTTGCAAATTCGAGTCTAGCTGAAATCAGAGAAATGCAAAACGGCGGGGATGTTCAATATTCGTTGCATTCGATAAATAAATGAATTCGTTAATAAATGGCTTATGAGATGATCACCAGGGGCGTACCCAGGAAGCTGGGGGGGGGGGCGTTAGTTGTAAAGGCGGTGTGGGGGGGGGGGAGCAGGCATGTATTTTGTTTTTTTTTTTTCAAAAATGTCTTTTTTTTGCGGCCCAATTTTCGTTTGTCTTGCAATCCAAATTAAGGTCTCAATTGACAGAGAAAGAACCGGGGAACTATAGACCAAACCTCAGAATTCGAAACAATCATTTCATGAAATATGTTGCGTTCAGACTTTACTGAGCTGTATACGTGTACGTCGCCTTTAAAGGATCGAATTTTATGAGTGCAATTCTGACTAACGTCATCTACAGGAGGATTTAAACAAAATAGCAATCATAAAAGAGATGTTTCAAATTCTGTGATAAGAATAACGTCGACTCGGAATTTAGCAAACTGGCTGGCCATACACTCTACTGACATCAACTACATGATCCGAAATATAAGGTTGATTAAACGCACCTGTGTTACCCACATAAGCGAAACAGTTCACATAATTTGACCCAGATCTCATGTTCGCGCGTTCCCTAGTCCAGCCGGATTAGTTTTCCAGCATTTAAAGAGCAATAGACTTTCCTAGTTCCCCATTCAACTTGTCACTATTTGACTTCTTTTTTTGTGATACTGAAGTTTGATTGATACAAAAGATTACAAGAAAAGTGCCAAATTTAACAGTTGGTAGGGGTAGGATTGTCCAGACTGAATAATCTGATGATCTTAGGGTATCGCAATCCATCTAAATGATTTATTTTAAGCATTAGCGGCTCAAAGTGTCAATTAGATAAAGTCGTATTGTCCAATAAATCTCAGGCTCCGAAGAAAAATGAGAGACAAATCTGCCAAATAGAGAAAAAAAATCTAAGTGACATTAGGTTAACAATTATGGCGTGACTTCAACATTTTCCGTGTCGGCGATTCCCGATTCACGCAGTACGTGGCATAAATCGAATTTAGGGTCCCGAGAAGGGTTAACATGGCACATTGGCTTCAGTTTTCTCCCTCTCAAAATAACATCTGCACGAATGCAACCAAAATGAGAAAACCGTACGGTTAAAATTGTGTCGGTCTCCGAAATATTTCATTTAAAACGTCGACATTTTCAAGACATATTCCGATCCTATGGAGATTAGGCAACATATTTATTTATTTAAAATCGACACCAGTCAAAATTGCTTGTCAAAATACATTTGAGATATGATATATTTATTCAGATTATGTTTTACTAATTTGCATACTCCGAGAACGTGACGAATTTACAACGACTAGATACTCGGTGGTAAACATTATAAAATTCAGGACTTTAGGATCATTGCTACATCCTATTGTTTGCTTACGAACAGCGTGCGTGTCGGGCAACAAACGATCTCCATCAAAATTTGATTTAAACGACCCAGCTAAGTGGATGCGCTGTCCCGCTTTGTGCATTAAAATAGATGAAAATACAAGGCGCATACATCCTAACGAATATAAAGTCTTCTTCAACAATGATTGACGAAGCATGAAATTGTGTCTTTGATTCGTGACACACGCTACGGTAATTTGATTGAAAAAATAGTTAGCAAGACGAAAGATTTTTTTTTTAATGGACCGTAACTGATCGACCTGTGTTGGCGCTAAACGAACCAAGTTCACGACATTTGCGTTAATCGAATTTGCTGTACGGAGACGTTTTTGTGCTGAGCTGTACAAAAACGTATAGCTTGGATATTGCTGTGATACTGTTCGTGTAGGCTAATGGAATTGATTTCATTCAGAAAACGTCCACGTAATTTTATTCAGATACAATTTCCACAATATGCAGTTCAATTGAACACTATATAGGGGCCTAGCTTCGTAAAACAGATGCTTTCTCAAGCTGACTATACAAGGATTTTTTTTTTGGAAATAAACGGTTTTAAACTAATTCCCAGTGTGGAGCTTACAAGAAGCAAGGCTTTTTTAATGAAGTTCTAGATGCAGCACTTTCAAAATCTAGAATATGAAAGCCAAATTAATAAGCTTTTTTTAGGTACAAAAAGTCATTAAAATCACTTATGTACTTTTCAAGTTACGGAATTTTGAACACAAACACCGTTTTAAACTTCTGTCCACGGATCTGAAAAAAGGTGTTCTTTCAGCAAAACGAAAACAATTCACACAGGACATCCCTACGTGAATTACAATATATTATAATGACAAAGGGAATGCAATATTTTTTATTTTTACATTATTGTATGAAATACTTTGTTCATGTATAATTTACAAAAAAAATGAACAGACTAACACGACAAGAACATTAATAAAAGAAAAAAGATGCCAAAATACAACTGTATATAAGAAATCAGGTGTGCAGAACATTTTAAATTCGTACCTTTATCTCCAGTATAACCCCACTGAGCCATTATCAAACGAAACGAGAAGAGATCCTTCGCGACGAAGAAAACAAATCAATTTCCCAAGACGGAGAAGATGTAGATCTTACGGGAGAGAACACCTTGGGCTAGTAATTATGATAGCACAGGCAAGGTGAAGGAGCTGCTCACAATGTGGGCGCTGGGTGATGAAGTGGCCGGGGAAATTCGTGTGTAGCGTTGATATAGCATCAGCTGATGTGGTGCCGTACGATTTACGTAGATGGTTAGTTTAATATCCAGGGGCGTTTATGTGCATTATTGTTTGAATCAGTGTCATGTCACAGTACACGCAAAATGAGTAATGCTGCAAATGACTAGTCACGCGTGTGGCGAATTAAGTCACTTCCTCAACGGAATTTGGAGCATAAGAAAAGGACAAAGATGTGGTTGATTGGGTAAAATAGTCGGGGAGGGGAATAATTATGGAACCATTATTATACAGTCATTTAGTCTGCATGCTGATTAGGCAGTGGGTTCGGTGTACTTTGGTATTGTGCCTGCATTATGATTGATCTCTCCAAGGACACTTGTCTTTGTTTCGACTCTCATTAAACACCGGCTGGGGGGGGGGGGGGAGATCAGTATTGTCGGCATATACATGTATAGTTGCCTCAACCTGTGCGCTGTGATATTTATGAAAATCACCTGTGCGAACTACTTTGCAAATTTTATATTTTGCATCCTCACTTGATCAGCAGACCAAACCTTTCAAATTGGCGCAAACAAGAGAGCCAGCGGCGTAGCAAGGGTTTTCAGCGATAGGGGGCGTGTGTGTGTGTGTGTGTGGGGGGGGGGGGTGAGGTTATGACGGAGGGGCGCTCAAAAATTGCATCCGTGCTGACATGAAAGGGGAGGGGACGGGGCTGGTCACCTTCTTTTCATAGGGGGCGCTGTTCAAAACGTATATTATGGCTACATTGGACAATAACTATACCGCTATTGGCTTTCCAAGGAACGTTACAATAAACAGCCACTCACAAAATCGAGGGGGAAAACGTAATTTCATGTTCCTCCACCTAATCGGGGTAACTCATATGGCTGTGCTTAGTATTTTTCTCAGCTACTCCCCTCCTATTTTTTGAAAGGACTCAGTACAAGTCCAGGGTTGAATTTGACTTACCCCGATCGGGCACCGTTCAAATCCGGCGCCAACATTGGACTACTTGACAATTTCATGGTTCTGCCGGCCTCCCCCATTAGTATTAATGAAAAATTCTCTTAACAGGATCATCACCAAATAGCAAGATGGACAACGTATTCATAATTTGTTCCTCGTCATATAGGTTTATCGCGAAATGAATGGGACCATTTTCTTTTCCTCCACCGTTTCACACCGACGGAAGGTGCCCCCTTTTCTGAGCAAGTGCCCCTTTTGGGTGTTGCCCCCCTCCCATCCCCCCAGTTTGAAAAGCGTTCTGTCGCTCATGCATTGCTTGTAGCGTTAGCGTCGTTTGAGACACGGTTATTACCATTCAAGAATGCTGACAGTTATTCTTAAATGATGGTAACTGTTGTTTGGAATCAAACAGAGCTGCAGTGCTTAATTATGATCTCTTTTTCCCCGCCCTTACTGCCAAATCTTGTGACTCTTGTTGATATATTATTTAATTCTGGACGACAAAGCGGAGGGATAATAGACACCTATAGCACAGAGCGCCCTCACTGAGGTAAAATTATATTATTTCACTGAAAGTGCAAAGTGTCCACTCGTACGTATCGCGTCTATTTGTGAGGGCGTTCTACATGCACGATGTCCATTGTTATCGCTGCACAGTGAGGGTGATTGTGTTGAGTGGTACTTTTTTAGGGGGTGCCAATTATTTCCAAGTTCTTATCACATTACAGGCGAAGGAAATGAAAATAAACACGGGGACCACGAAGCCTTGGTGTCGATCACCAGCCGATACAACACGGGTTGTCCATGACCTGTCACTGACCTTGGCACTACCTTGGTACCACCTCGCGACGAGTGCGCGGCCCAGGGATAATTTCCTCGTACTCACCGACCTATCTAACAACACTGGTGACCTCTAATTTCTTCGAGCTCTCATTGGATACATTTTTGTCCAGTCAACGACACCGGGTCAAGACTTCCGCTTGCGAACGGAATGTAGGTGCAGTGACCGTCGCAGTTTAATCTACCCACAATGCCTTGCGTTTCCTTCACAATTGCAGTCACCAGCACCCCTGGAAAGGAAGTTGGGTACAGTCAAAGCACCGGGTAGTAATCCGAGTCACGCTGTATAGGCATCCAGTGTGTCACAACCTCATTCACTGGTCGAACCTCGGCGAGTGTGCGAGTTGAGACTTCCAACCGATCGCGCGGTTGAACACCATCCTGACCATGATGGAGGCACTTGGCTCTCAAGTTGGTGCAAGAGCCGAGTTTTCCTCGCGTCGGGAGCGATGGAGACTGGTCTCATTGTGGATTCTTTTGACTATTACACTTGCAGCAAAGTCTGGTGAGTTTCTTGCTCCACAATCTCTGCAGTGACTGTTTTCCTGTATAAATATAATTGTTCTTCCTTCATCGTATGACATATAATTTTCCTGTCCGATATTTTCTCGCATCTTTTTCCCTTCTGGAAAGTTGCTGAAGTATAGAACAAAAATTGGTCCGACACGGACTTGAAAAAGTTGTTGCACTCTTTCGAAGGCCTTTTTTCTTCATCTCCCTAGCGGAGATAATGTTAGGATATTTTTCCTCCCAAGTACCAATTACCAAATACCAAGTACCAAGTAAACCTATAAAGCAACGGTGTTCAAAACTGAGGTGTTCAATCCAACACTTACATGAGTTCGGTCAGTGGCCACACTTTGAAAGTGTTAAATCCAGCATTTTCAATGTTAAATCCAACTCTTACAATTTTCGTTCAACATTTTGAATGTTGTAAAGAGTTAGTGCAACATTTTCAAAGTGTTAAACGTGAAAAAAATGTTGAATCAACACTTTACAACATTTAAAATGTTGAATTAACATTGTAAGTGTTGGGTTTAACATTTAAAATGCTGGATTTAACACTTACAAAGTCACTGACCGAACTCATGTACGTGTTGAATTCAATACTTCAATTTAACTGCGTGTCACAAAATGTGGAAATTTACATGAACTTTAAAATGGCGATTAATGTTGCAAAAACATTGTTCCCAAGCCTCGTCAGTTTATCATGTAAGATGGCGAATCTCAAACATCAACTTGATCAAGATACTGGCATCTTACGGTGAATTTTAAGGACATCCATTGTATTGTTACGGTACAAAAATAAAAAGCATAGACCAATCATGGAGGATCTAGGCAGGAATAGACGGGCCAATGTATATGTCGTTGTTGGTCGACGATAGAGCATATGAAAATGAATTCATGCACTCGGTGAAAAATCAATTGAACGCGTGCCGAGCACCCCATACGGTGCTCGAGCCCACCAGAAAAATATCACCTGTTCGGAGTTTGTTTTTCTCTCCATGAGATATGTAAACAACCTGTATTCAGCCCTCCTACTTTGACGCGGTCACTCACCTTCACCCAAGGGTGCAACCAAGAACATGTAAATAAATTCCCATAACCAGTGATAAAGGCGCATACTTCAAAATTCTTTTAAAAATACTCAGAACTCTCACAGGTGTTCAGGCTGCACAGAAAAATGATGATCAACATGTCGTCTTTCATTTTCCTTTCTTCTTTTTGGTGGGTTGACCAATGAAGATCTTGAGAAATTTTCACCCAAAGAAGACCACCCCTAAAAACGAATATTTCCCAAACTGGAAAAGTAGCCATTTTGAAAAAGGATCCCTCCACAACATGGCAAAATAGCGCCACTTTCGGACCCAATTGCATCCAAAATGCTCAGAATTGGAAGCCCAAGTCCAGGCTAGAGGTATTGCCATATCTCTTCAATTTTTCAATTCCCCAAGTCTCTAATATAGTTTGAACGTTCAACGTACAAATTATTCCTGAGCCCGACAGACGGATTTTTGGCCTATTAAATTTTACTTGGTCGCAGCCCAAATCAGAAGTGTTTTTAACAGCGCGGACAGCAATTTATTTTAGCACCCTTGTCTCTAACCATAACACGCATGCGTGAACGGACCACATGGTTGACTATATATGATATCACGTGACTGTAGATAATAAGTTTATTGGTGGAGTGAGTTGATAGTTATTGTTACACAGAAAAATGTTTGTGAAGTAAAATAAATGTTAGTACGCATGGTAAATTTACATGATTCGCACCCACGGCCACCTTTGAACCTGTTCATTTTTGTTTTATGCAAAACAAAAGCGTAGCGACAGTTGGGGGTATTCGATTCCCCCGTCTAAGGAAATGAAATGAAAGGAAAAGCAGTGAAATAGAAAGAACAGGCCTGAAGTCAATATATTTATTACAATTTATGTGCAGACAAAAGAAATTCAAGCAACTGTTGGGGCCTTAGAAGTTGTTATACACGTTGCCTGTTTTTCTTAATTATACGTGCCCGGAGGAGATTTATTACGAAGCAGAAGAAACACATGTACGAACAACCTTACATCATGAACATTTTCCTAGGTGTCAAAATGATGTCGAGCCCCCCCCCCCCCTTTCCTATTCTTCCTCTACCGGCCCGTTATTAAAAAATATGTTCACGGCTTACAAAAAGTTTTATCGCTATACTGTTAGCGTCATAGTTAAAACAACGAGGACAAAGTCTTCCAACAGTATTTCCTCATCAGAAATTTAACAACTTCTTTACTAATCCTCTACATCAGAGGTCACCAGAAGAAGGCGGTTTCTAATCGCCGAAACGTCGTCAGAGACAACGTGAAAGTGAGCCCAGAATTTGAATGATAACTTATACAATTCTGTACAATTTGTTTCATACTCAACTGCATTTATTTGTGCTTTTAATTGACAGGTGTTGCCAGTGACTCCCCTGTTACGTCCAACGTGGGAAGGATCTTTTCCTTTCTGGTGCCGGGCAACGATGTCAATCTAGGCAACGGCCCGCGTCTCTACATCACCTCCCCGCCGGCATCAGGCAGGGGCAAGACACATGTCCGAGTGATTGTCCCTAAAGCAGAGTTCTCCACATCTGTCTTGGTAGATCCAGGCACCACGGGTGTTGTTCAGCTTCCGTTTACAGCCATGGGTGTAGGTACCGGTCCCCAACCGGGCACCGTGCGCGTGGAAGCAGCTTCACCAGTAACGGTCCAAGCGATGGTCAACCTTGGCGGTCAATCTTCGGAAGCCTTTCTTGCCCAACCCTTGGAATCTCTCGGCATGGAGTACATCGCTTCGTCTACAACCCTTAGCATTCAGTCAAATGAGACCGATCGATCCCAAGCAATGTTGACTATTACTGGAGTATGCGACGGGACGAGCGTGTCGGTTAAAGCGGCTCAGCCTTTGTCATACCTAGGTGTTGTCTACAAGACGGGCCGTACGTTGCGCGTCATGGTAGACAGTGGTGGAAGTATCCAGATTCGAAGCAATGGGGGAATGACAGGTACGCGCGTTACCAGCGATAAACCAATCGCCGTACTTCTAGCGAACACGTGCCCCGCAGGCGCGGAAGAATATCACTGCTTCTACTCGGTGGAGCAACTGTCTCCGGTCTACGCGTTAGGTAAACAGTTCCTCCTTGCGCAGTTTGTGGCTGACACGGACTCGGGTGTGGTCGATGAGGTGCTCGTCCTAGCCACTCGTCCGGGGACGACGGTTGAAATTCCTGGGTCTAGTATGAGCCGAAGGCTTGGCCGAGGCGAGCAGTGGCATCTGCCAACTGCCCAAATCAATATCCCATTCTTCCTCGTTGCAGATCAACCGGTGCAAGTGACCCAATATTCGGTTGTGTTGAATGACATCGGCTGCTCACCTCAACAAGAAAGCTGCGCCGGCCGTTTCAAAACGATGACTGTAGTACCGCCGCTAGAACAGTTCACTGACCGTGCAGATTTCACCGTGTTGAGTGCGGAAGAAATATCGCCAAATGCTGAAGAGGAAGGAATAGGCCTACATGTACAAAACGTCTTGACAGTTTTGACCAACGTTGCCTGTGATGACCTAGATTCAGGACTGTTGTTAACTTCTGACCAATCAGAGAACACCACGTGGGCAAAAGTGGGCGTGTCAAACAGGTCTGACGCGTGTGTGCTGAGAGCAGAAGTTCAACCGGGAACTGTCCATTTGGACGCTGATCTACTAGGAACCACGGCAGCAAAGTTTGCAGCGCTACTGTACGGCATAAGAGGCCGTCGCGCCTACTCCTTACCAGTGACGGCGGGCGGAACTCATCTGAGGTACATCTCGCGGGAAATTGAGAAGCATGAGTGCACAGTGGGTAAGGAAAACCACTAACTAAAACATGAAAACCTAAAATTTGCCACGCTGACGAGATTGACTGGGTGTCAAGACGTCAAGATTTAACTCCTCATCCTTACAAGATCGTTGGCTATACTGACAAGACAGCATGTTCTATCTTGTTATAATCTCGTATATAGGCATGGCAAGTTTGGGTTTTCAGTGAAACTTAATTCGGAAAGGTTTAAAACACTAGCAGAAACGTCTCACTGTCATCATTAATTGATCAATACTTCTCCCCAGATTCGTTTGATCCGTGTGAAGACAACCCTTGTCAACATAGAGGAGATTGCATAAGAGATGGTGATGGATATCAGTGCAGTTGTATCAGCCCCTTCTATGAAGGACCACACTGCGAAACAGGTAATGCTTTATGGCGTCATGAAACCTGCAAACAAAACTCTTAGGCCCGACTGTTCTACTTTCCAAACTCGGCCCACTTCAAGTAAAACCTGGACAGTTAGCGGTAGGGCATATAGGATTCATGATCGCGGGATTGTGGGTTAGAGCCCGGCGCTGTGGCCATGTGTGTTGTGCCCTTGAGTAAGGCACTTTACCTCAATTACTCCTCTCAAGTCTCAACCCAGGTGTTAAATGGGTACCGGCATTATTCAATGCTGGGAAGGTAACAGACACACTGTGGAGCGGAGGTTTGGCGATTCCCCCACAGCAGCTTTTCGTGGACTCGAGTCAGGGCCAATCGCTTCAAAAGAGAGATTGGCACTTCAAAAGAGAGATTTTCCCCCCCCCCCCCCATTGATATTTCGTTTTCTATTTTTTTGTGGGGAAGAATCTAAAAAAAAAAAGGTGCGTCTTCCTCCTTTATTACCAATCCTTGAGAGAGTAACTATAAGTTTACAATCTCATTGACGATTGTTTCCGTTCACATTTTTCTTAGAGGTGGACCCATGCTCTTTCGAGGTACCTTGGTGCTTTAACGGAGGCACCTGTAACACGGAAAGCGAGTGCTTGTGTCCGCCAGGCTGGGGTGGGACGCACTGCGAACGTGGTAAGGATCATATCCGGTAATTGACAATATTCTTAAGGTGTCTTTCTTTAACCAGACTCTGTTCGTTGATCCAATAACTTTGAGAGTTACATCAGCAGTGTTGTTGGTTGAAAAGATGTTCCAGCTTGTTTGAGATCTTTGAAGAGAAAGAAGCTTTCTAACGATTTTGATTTAGCACCAAACTTGATCAATCATGAGGTCGTAGTTCTGAGTTCCTACTACATAAATATTTAAGGATAACATACTCCATGTTCACTACACTCTTTGTTTTCACACGGACAAAATAGTAAGCTGAGAGATTTCTGAAAACTTCGACTAATGGTTTATCAAAATCCAACATGGCAGAAAAATGGTTCACATTGCCTTGTCTTTTCTACTCCAGATGTAAATGCCAGGGCTGCTCAGTCTAGTGGCAGAGAATTTGTCTTCACCTTCATGGAGCACCCAACTCCACGACGTAGTCCATCAATCGTTGTCTCAACCGATGGTGGTAAGGGTAACACTCTTGTCAACGTAAGCGTTCCAATCAGTGGTTTTATGGAGTCCTTCTCAATTCCACCAAATCAGGCCGAGAAGATACAGATTCCTGTAGAAGCAATATCAACTGGCTCCCATAAACAGCCCAGCGGAGTCTTAGTCAGTGCCAGTCAGGACATTACTGTTGTCGGTTTCCATAACAGCATTGCACCTGGAGATGGTTTTCTTGCCTTACCTGTCACTGCCCTGGGAACGCGACACCACGTGGTCGCAGCCCGACAAAGAAAGAAGCGTCATGCCGAAAAGTCCCAGATTGCAATTGTAGCTGCTACTGACGACACAACTGTCTTCATCAGAATATATGCACCTGTTACATTTGAAGGGAAGGCTTATGCAGCGTACAGTTCTATCATGACAAAGCTACAGATGTTAGACGTCGCGCAACTCCAGAGCAAGTTTGATATGACCAGGGCACAGATCTCCAGTGACAAGCCAGTGGCACTGCTCTCTGGGAGCACATGTGGTTACACCATGTATGAGGAAAATGACCGGAAGAGATGCGACTTCATGGTAGAGCAGCTACCACCGCTGAGATCGTGGAACAAACGCTTTGTCGTAACACCCTTCATGGGTAACTCTAATGGCGAAACTACAGTCAGGATCATTGGGGGTCCGGGAAAAACAGATTTCAGCGATGGATCTGCAAGGTTAGGCAACTTGTATGATGGAAGCATGCAGGAGTTGTATATCACTCGACCCACTTACATATCGGCAACACAGCCTGTTCTTGTAGTGGCTTTTTCCGTTCAGGCCACCTCGCACTGCTCTGAAAAAAATTTCAATGACTGTGAGGTAGTGTCATCTCCCACCATGGCAGTCGTACCTTCTCTAAATCAATTCACAACCTCCGCTATCTTGTCCACCCCTTCTGTTGTGAATTTGTATTCCCTCTCCTACAAAAACTACGTCAACATAATAGCGTCAGACTGTTCAGATATCAGACTTTCTCGACACTCCGAGATCGCAACTGAGAAGATCGAGTGGCACACGGTCGACAACATACCATTTACGGGTCTCTGTTTTGTCAGCAAGGAGATCGATCCTGGACAGTATCTCATCAGTTCTGAATTTGGTAAGGGTGTCTTCTCAGCTCAACTCTATGGCTTCAACAACCATGGGAGTGCTTATGGATTTCCACTTGCACAAAATGGACGTGCAGCTGAAGGTAAATATTTGCATAAGCAGGAAATGTTAGACTACAATACCATATGCGATGCCACTTAAAAGTTTCCCTAGTATTTATATAACATGAGGCGTTCAGTATAGATTTTACAAAAAATGTATATACACAGGGTTACATTTGATTAAAAATGATTCAATGACAGTTTTCTAAGATCTGTTATCAACGCGGTCTGCTGTTACCTTCCTGTACCAAATCATGCTTGATGTACAAATTTATGATCATACTCGTTTAGAGAAGATGAATGCATATGTACATACAAACTTGGTCTTCCGCTGTTCTTTTCCCTCAGAATTTGTCCAGTCATCAACCGGCTCTGAAGGAAAGGAGTTTATTCTGACTTTCCTATCCGGTGGTAACTATTACCCCACTGAAGGACCAAGACTGCTGATTACGTCCTCAACTGATGCTGCCAAGACTGAGGTAACAGTATCAGGCAATGGTCTGGATGTAAGCTTGACTCTTGCGCCGTATGAGGCACAAGTTGTCGATGTTCCACCCACTCTGATTGGAATCCAAGGACACCAACCATACCCTGATATCGCAGTTCATGTGCGTTCATCTCACGATATCACGGTGTATGGTATGAATGATGCTTATGTTACCACTGAGGGATACGACACTGTGTCTGATGGTTATCTAGCGCTGCCTGTTCCAGCTCTGGGAAGGGAGTACTCCTTGGTGACTTCTTGGCCGATATACCAGCATTATCCTACACGTTACGTGCAGTTTGCCATCATCGGTGTCCACGACGGCACAAGGGTGGATATCACATTGAATTCAGCAGTGTTCTTTGATGGCACAGTGGCGTATGGGGGTTCATTGAAGACCATCAGACTCAATAAAAAGCAAGTGGCATACTTTAAGTCCTACAACGACCACACGGGAACACGTGTGATCAGCACAAAGCCGGTTGCTGTCATTTCTGGGACAGACTGTGGGTTTGCACCCAGATACCCCAACGATGGACCCCTGGACTATCCTTGCGATCACCAGGTACAGTTCTTGATGCCGGAAAGCAGATGGGGGCGCACTTTCCTGCTTGCCACTCTCCAGGGATACCAAGGTGGTGACGTTTTCATCAAAATCCAAGTACCCCATCATTTCACCAGTGTGAAGTACGGATCCGGCACCGATGCACAGGCTCTGCAGGTGACGAGGTTCAATGTCGGAAGTCGAGGGTACATCAACTCAACAATCCTTAACAGTAACAAACAAGTGAGTGTCACTGCTTTTACAATCTACCAACCCCTGCTGAACTGTGTGAATGAGAATGGTTCTTGCGAGGGGCACAGCCGGCCACTGATGTTCACCATTCCGCCCGTGGAGAGCTTCAAGAGGAAGTTGGTATTCCCTTCCTACAGGATCCGTGGCGCTGACGATATGGCCAACTACGCTGACGTTTACACAAAGTGTTCCGAGGCTGAATTCGTACTGGTCAACGGGGTTCAGCAAAGCTGGGAGCACCCACTGGAGGAGATTGAGGAGTCTGGATACTGTGTCTTGAGACTTCAGCTGGCATCTGATGAGACCGTCACATCTTACATGGTAGAGTCTTCCTTGGAAGGGGGTAGACTTGGGGTGATCACATATGGGTTCAGTACTCGGTCTGGGTATGCCTTTCCTGGTGGGTTCAAATAGACGAGCCTTTCACAGCAAACCAGATGCCATTACTTTCTGGATTTTCTTGCCATACAGAGGGAACCTTAAAACTTAACACTCTCAACAGTCGAGACTCTGATATGCTTTGTGCCTCACATGGCCCCATCATATAATGAGTGTCAATAACAGGTGTGCTGATTTGAAGCAGGTGGAATGAGAAAGTTCAGATCTAGAGGAAAATAACTACTTGGACACTGTAAAGTAGTCATGTTATAAATAAGATATAAACATTCACATACACATCAGTTTTTTCATAAGTACTGTAGTCTTGGTTACGAAACTTGTAGTCGTATATTCATTTTTCTTTATTAAATTTTGCTTAAAAATTGTAAATCTGAAAAGAAGTACTGGTACATGATCATTATTTGTGTTTTCACAAATTTAATTTTCCTTCCCAATATTTTTGTTTGTACATATGGGAGCCACATATTTTTTTAGACAATATTTAGTGATTAAATAAGAACAGTTTAAGTTCACTTTGAATGTTATCATTAGAATATGAAATATACAAACTTAAATGACATAAATTATACATATTTCATAAGCCTTATGTACAAATGAGTGCAAACAATGACAGAATATACAAAACGAAACAAGTAAAAGAAAAAAATTGTACCGACATGAACAGTTTCAACTTAACCAATATACATGTACATGTACATTGTACAATTAAAAAATGTTCTTGTAGTCAAACCAACAGTATAACGTATACGCTCAGTTCATTATCAGTAATAAATAACAATAGTTTCTTTAACTGAAGACTTTTCTTTGACTACTCACCAACCTGAAGATGACGTGACACCTAGTTTAGCAAAGACTAGGCAACAGCCAAACCACGGTAGTCCATGGATCCATTTTGGTCATATTCCCAAGGTCCTCACTTGCATAACGCATCCTGGCTCCACTGGGAGCCATGAAATGCATGGTGAGTTGGACACTCGCATGAACAATGAAGGGCAACTGTGGTCAATTTTTACAGCAAATTACAACTTCATGATGCAGTAGCTCTGTTAAGAGATCTCCATCAAGATACACTCAACCAAAAAAGAAAGTCCCCCCTTAATCCTTTTTTGTCTAACTCAAAAACTACTGGGCACATCTTGCTCAAATTACGACTGATCAGTACAGAAATTCCTTAGCAATCAAGCCATACTCTTTGTTTGGCCCAAAACAGTGATAATGTGTACAAAATTACGCATTTTTATGACAAATGGTACCGAAAAAAAGTTGCACTGTTGTATACGTCCAAGGTGAGTGTGAACCACATCTTGCACGTATACTAAAGTGCAACTGTTTTCTGAATCACTTGTCGTAAATTGCATAAATTCTTACACATTATCACTGTTTTGGGCCAAATAAAGAGTATGGCTGGATTGCTAAGGAATTCCTGTACTGATTAGTCATTATTTGAGCAGAGGTGCTCAGTAGTTTTTGAGTTAGACAAAAAAGTATTGGAAAGAAGGGAGGGGACTTTCTATTTTGGTTGAGTGTATGTAGCTTCAAATACCAAAAAGAGTTTACAAATTGATTTAAAGGGAATGTACATCATTGGCTTTTGCTGTAATTTTCAGTAATGAACTATTTGAGGGGTTAGTGTAACAGATCAAATATTGTTTAACTGACATGTTTGAAGTTTTGTGTTCGAAAATGCTGGAAAAATCAAGAAAAACAAAACTGTTTAAGTAGTCTGGTTCCCTGACTCCACTTAAGATAAAATGGATCAATTTATAGATGTCGGAAAATTGTAAGGTAAGGGAACCAGTCTAGCTGGCCTGCACCCGTTCATGAACATGTAACCAATAGCAAACAACATTTGGACTGAAAAAAATTGTAAATTAGGAGCAGTAGTTGAAAAATAGTTAGGTTTTTCCAACGGTGGTCGGCTGACCACCGTGGGAAATGTATACAAAAATACCATTTTCTTGAAAATGACTTGACACCAGGTGCCATAATTTTACAGGATGCTTAAGACTGTCATTTACCAACATCCTAGTAAGGTATTTCGTAAAAACTTGGTAGTTTTATTCTTGCAAATGTTGTATTTTCCCTTTAAACCGATTCAATAACCTCAACTCCGACTAATGCCCACTATCCTTCTCAAGTCTAATGGTGACTATCGTGCAATAATGTATCATACACTAATTAAACAATTAACGGTGTGCATTGATAGCTGTCCGTGGAGCACCAAGAAATGAATTATCAAAATTGTGGCACATGTGGAAAACACTGTCTGGAAGTACTGTAGTCAAGTCCATCACAAGTAAAGTACGAGTCAGAACATGTCACAATAGCAAAATAATTGTATTGTCGAAGTTCATTTAAAAAGCTTGTGACTTGTGATGGTTTATGATTTTTGAGGACTTGTGATGGAATTGTGAGGACTTGTGATGGACTTGTAAGGACTTGTGATAGAATTGTTAGGATTTGTGATGGACTTGTGAGGACTTGTGATGGACTTGTGATGGACTTGTGATGGAATTGTTAGGATTTGTGATGGACTTGTGAGGACTGGTGATGGAATTTTGAGGACTTGTGAGGACTTGTGATGGACTTGTGATGGACTTGAGAGGACTTGTGGTGACTTGTGAGGACTTGTGAGGACTTGAGAGGATTTGTGAGGACTTTTGATGGACTTGTGGTGGACGTGTGAGAACCTGTGATGGATGTGCGAGTACTTGTTAGGACTATTTAGGAATTGTGAAGACTTGTGAGGACTTGTGATGGACTTGACTACAACAATGGTGTCCAGATCAGTCATAATAGTCATTTCACATCTAAAATAACAGATAAACGTCTCAAATATACACACATACCCGGTGGAGTTTTACCTCAAACAAGTCTAAATGACACAAAATATGAAAGACTGATCACTATGAACGAGAGACAAATTTCAGGAAGGCTTCAGTTTGGAAGTTCAACTTGGTGCACCAAGTTGAAAAACTGTCAAATTTGTACGTCATCTCAACCAAAACAATGCTGTCTTGAAACATTTAACATGAACACAGAATTAAACCACCATTCCCCATTAGCAAACAATTTCCTGTATGTACAGACAGAACATGATCTAAAAAATCATTCATTATGCATATATTTTCCGGCATGATCCTACCCTTTTTTCTCTCTTTGTTAAAAATTTTCTGCAAATTCGATTCACTGGCTCAAAAAGTTCATGAAATTTACATTTACCAAATTTCACCAGACAAAACACACATTATATTGAACCATTCACACTGAGCAAATTGTGTACAACATTTTTGCAGTGTACTTTAAAGTTAAATATTTTCATTGAAATTAGTGCATTTTTCAACAAAGATTTGTTTTTTATTTGATCGGCCAGGCAAACACTGATATTCACAGAAAAAACAAATTCAACAAAAATTTATTTCATTTGAAAAAGATTACAAAAAAAAGTCACTTAGGTTTGAACCCGTGATTGAAATAAATACAAGAAGCACTTGTTGTGTTATGGAATTCCTTTGGACCCTAGACACTACGGCCTAGTCATACGCTGTACATGTACACTTCCTCTTTTCCCCATTTGGTATCTGGGGAGACAAACGGATTCAGCCAAGCCAGAGACATCTTCTGGCCGAAGACTGATTTCATGGACATACAACGTGTCTTCTTGACCCAGGTTGGCTTCTCCTGCTTGAGTTGCTCAATGCCCTGAGATGGAAAAGGGGGAAACAAAATGAGTCTGCGGAAAACATTTTTGGTTACATTTCGTCACCTTTTTCACGAACTGACACGCACATGCTGTGTGCTTTCTGTTCGCAAATACCACGTAATCAATAATTATGGTTTTGTCAAACCCCAACTTGGAAATTTTATATGCGAGGACGAGTTTAAAGCCCTTATGGCGTTGAGGTCCAGAAAATGCTTAAAGGCCCGGAAAATGTTGGATCCTAAATGCTCCGTGGTGCAATCCGAGGCATTTCCTGGTCACTTTCAGGGTCCGACTTTAGTGGCAACCCGCTAGCCAAATGCCACTCAAAACAGCGGCGGGCTAGTCAAACTATTCCGTAAGTAGCCCGGCTGGCGCGGCAAAGATAAAATGATAGAAAAAATTAAATCATTTAATTCTGAGAGCACACCTGTATTAATTTGTGTCAAATTTTATTAACTGATTAAGGTTATTTTATTAGATCTGTTTATTAAAACAATGACAAGATTGCCTCAGGATACACGTTTTACATGTATGCATATTGTTGTTTATGAGACACAGTGTTGCGCTGATAACATTTTGTTCAAAAGGTCAGGCAAAAGTCAGGGTTCGACCTTAACTGTTTTTTTAAATAGCCAGCCGGGCTACTGAAACAGACTCTTAACTAGCCCGCGGGCATGTTCACTGGCCCGCATGTTTTAATTTAATAGAGTGTCTCATAAACAACAATATGCATACATGTAAAACGTGTATCCTGGGCAATCTTGGCATTTGTTGAACTCATCACTCAGCATTCGAACCCCTCTCCCCAGCGTACGGGCCTGGGTATGCTTACCGTTTCATCGGTACAAATGGAGTAGACCTGTGTGCCAAACATGATGGCTGTGAAGAGGGAGAAGAGAAGAGCTTCAAAGGTCAAGATCATGATGAGGATGATGGTGGCTGGAGACGAGAAGTACAGACACTCCGCTGGAAAGGAATACAAGAAAACAGAAATAATCAGATACATGTAAAAATGTAAACCAGTAATAAAATTAACCAGTTTCTCATCCTGCTTCCTTTTTGGGGAGATTCTTCAGAAATTTAACCGAAATTAATATTTTTGGGCAAAAAAGGTTTTTTTTACGTGATGTAGTACAAGTGACTATTGTTCACTAAAGTGCTGCTAAAGTGCTGCTTCCATCATTTCTTCATAAAAGCCTGGATGAGAAAAACTTTTTTGTACTCCAGCTCTATGTTAGCGGTTCCCCATTTTATCAGTGTCTTTGTTCAAGGGGCGCTAGTCAGAAGCCATAAACCTGTATATGCCATGTAGCCAGAGATAACACCTAAAGTTACGATGCTAGCAACATTAGCAATGCTGCAAACCTGTTAAATAGCAAACTGGAATTACTCTGGTGCTACTTACGTCCCCACTGCGACCGAACGCACAAAAGGCAATGAAAGAGAATCAACATGATTGCATGGAGAGACATCAACATGATGTACATCTGAACAGAAAAGACAAAAAACAGTTTGTTAAATATAATTTTTGATTATAAAGATCCCCCTTTCAATGTGCTAAATGATAATAAAGATTTATTGATAATACCATGGAACGTCGTTATAACGAACATCGCGGGATCCACAGAAAGTGTTCGTAATAACGATCGTTCGGTATAGCGATTTTGAATTGCCTGTACCCTCTTTTGACCAATAGTGTACTGGCATTTCTCACGCCCCGCAGCCGCATACTGTAAATACTGTAAATAAGACAAAAGGCCCCGTACTTACCGTAAATAAGACAAAGAACTTCTGGTTGCTTTCACCAACACAGTTGTTCACCCAAGGACAATGATGGTCCATTTTCCTGAGGAAAAAAGTCGGAGGACAATAAGATAAGATGTTAAATATAAGAGTCCGAATATAAGATGTTAAAGGCTGCTCCATCATTTGTAATTAATGTTTGTTTGAAGCAACAAAAGTGCTCAAGATCTAAAGAAGGGTGCTAAGCAACTAACCTGATGAAGTTTCAGCTAGGTGAATGCTGTATATTCCGGAAAAAAAACAATATTCTAGGATTGTGATTCCAAATCAAAAGATGCCGAATCATGTTTTGAATTGGGCCTGAATTCAGCATCCATGACACGTTCTCACTGAGCCGATTGCAGCTAATTACGTGTCAAGCTTGCTACGTACTTGATACACCTCCTACAGATACTGCAGTGGTGAGCCCTCTCCGGTTTGATGCTGATACACTTTGGGCAGCGATACACCACCTGACCCACACTGAGACCCATGTTATTGATGTGTTCCCTGGTGGCGTTACCTAACGGTATGGCTCCCTAGAATGAAAGAAAAATATAGCACTGGTCTGTTCACTACATTAACCCTAACCCTGCCAGACGCAACACAGTGCATCAGGTGGAAAAAACTTTGATGCATTCAGCTACCAACACCAGTGCATGAATGGCCAGCTCTGAAACAATGAGAGCTAGTCCCATTGAACAATGCCACAGTTGTATCCTGCTGAATGCTGTGACCACAGACTCTGAGGCAGTGTGGCCTTGAGACTTTCCCCTGATGGATCTTGCTGCAATGGGCAGGCTTGTCACTTAGACAAGTGTTGCATGTTGCTGCATTTGGCAGGGTTTCTGGCCAAAATACCCTGGAGGGTAATTTAAAGGAATATAAAATATGCTCCGAGTCTCCAATTTTGATAGAGACAAATCTTGTCACCGCATCATATCACTGTTCAATTATGGCGCCCCCTTATAATGGTGGACGCTCATTGCGCAGCTAATGTACATCGTCACATCTGTATGACAGTGAGGCCGCATCTGAATTACATTGTTGAGGCTTACAGTAACACACGCATCTATGGACCCTTTTACAGATAGATCGGAAGTGTGCAGTATATGTATGCTGCGCCCTGGGAAAGTTGGCGTGATGAACAGGGATTTTGTGCGGAGCAAAATGCCCCACAATGCAGTGTAACCAATACGTTCACAGCACGTTTGTGGTCTACGGGAAGCGTATTTGGCTGCTTCCATAAGTACATGTGTTATTGCCGGCCGTGGCCAAAAAATTCAGAACTGGCCATTTTCGGGACAACAGGTCCCAATTTCATGTAGACAACGCAGTAAGCAATTTAATAAAAATAAATAAATAAACAAATAAATCTACATGAAACAACTATTTAGGACAAAACTGCACACTTACAGGGTCGGTCATCATTGCGCGTACGTGGGACACCACCGAGTTGCCCGACAATATGCAGAAGAGGATACCATGAAAGATTGTGTAGAGATCTAGACCCCTGGGAAGGAGAAGGCATGTCATGACAGCGAACGTGCCGTAGGCTATGAGGAGATAGGTGAAGACTGCACAGACAATGCCACAGGGATCCTGAAGTACATGTACAGGGGAAAAATAAGAAATGAAGAGGACTTTAGTTAGTCTGAACACAGCCTTGCAGATTTTGGATCTTGCGTCTGAGACTGGCCAGTGTGTAGTTGACCTAATGACCTTTTATATAGGGGTCAGCATAATTTAATATCTATCCTGCGTTCCACATGAGGTGGGCGAGTGCTGGAGAAATTTGCCAATCACACATCAGGGAAGATAACATCAACCAATAAGATTTTGGCATTAACTCAGGGTACTGCCTGTCCTCATATATACTTGTGTGATAGGAGGTCAGGTTTCTCGTTAATTTTTTTAAGTTAGGTCAGGTCTCTCGATGAGGTGTTTTTTGTTTTTTTTGGTAGTGGCGAATTTTCTTCTTGTAAACTGAAGCGTGTATTTTTGAGTTCTGGAGAGAGAAAAAAATCAATTATTTGAGTATTTCGCTTCCATTAATGATGTCCATTGTATATTTTCAATGTGAAAAGAAAACACAGACACGAATCACTAATACAGGATTTATGAAAGAGACTTCTCGAAACAATCATTCCTCTTTCTTAACGGTAGTATTGGGAAAATCCACAAACAGGAAAAAGTAAAATATTATTGAAAACAGAGGGGACATTCATCTCCTTTATGAGCATTCAACAACATATTTGAAAACCTTCAGTTCCATTTTTAAGTCAGCTTTGCCACGCTGTCCCAGCTTTGCAGGGAAACTGCTTTGATCAGTTGATTAACAAATTAAGCACACACCAATACAGGCAGCCCAAATACACACATCCTTTTTTGCTTTATAGAAAAGCAGTGATAAAAATGTTCCAAATGAACATTAAAAAAAAAGAAGCAAAGTCAACACATATGGGAAATGTTTAAGATAAAAAAAAGAAGAAGAGAAATTTCGATCTCACCCTGACAAACCACTCATCCTGTACGCCTAGCTTGGCAGTCAGACCACAGCATTTGCAGCATCTGTTGCTAGCTGCCAACATCTTCAGTTTCTGGTTTGCTGCATCATTGTCGGGAGCGTCTCCATTATTTGGATGCAGTGGCTCTAGACGTAAACTCATGATGACAGCTGATGATATCAAAGAGGAGAAAAGTTCCTGCCAAAAGTAAGTCAGAAGAAGGAAATAATAAAACATGAGGAACGTGTATTCTTGGTACTCAGTCCCTCAGCATTTTCGCTCCGAACCTTCCATTAATTAATCCTGAAAAATCCTTCACTGTAGGCCTACACTAGTGTACAGAAAAGTACAAAACCAATTATTTGTAGTTAAAACTTTCCAGGAGCATCAAGTCTCGTAATCGTATAGAGTAAAAGATGATGTAAAGATGATGTAGAGATGAAGTAAAAAATAAACCAGTTTCTTGTCCCCGCCTGCTTCCTTTTTTCCTCACCGCCTGTTTTTTCTTTTCTTTTTTAATTCATTTGCAATATATTTTGTACATTATATCGTCTTTTATTTATTTGTTTCCAACAAAATTGTAGCTATGTAAAAGGGTTATGGGTCCTTTGGAAACAATTTTGTATCAGCAAAGTAGTTGAGATAATTGAAGAATCCATCCGCCATCCCTGAAAATCCGCTATCTTTGGAAAAAAAAGAAGAAAGCCCGCTACCTTCATTTAAAAAAAAAAAGACCGTCAAGAAACTACTTGTTGTTTTTACTCAGCCTTACAATTAATGGTTACATATTTGCAATTCCAGCGTAAACATTAACAAACACAAAACAGATAATCACGTTCATGACGGTGATAAATAAATAATCAGGTTAGAACATACAATTTTATTGCAAAATACAAAACAAAAGTTGCAGCCACAAATTGCCCCTCCCTTTCCTCACAACACACATACACATATTACAACTAGTACTAGGTTACAACGCATGACTCATCTATTCCAGTATTCGTTGACCATGCATGATTGACACTGAGTGACAGGCCGCAAACACGTCAATTATTAGCCAAAAGTCAAATCAAAATAGTAATACAAATGTACAAAATCAAACTGCCGAAATGTAATATCCTTTACACTTTTACACCATTTTCAAAAGACTAAAATTAGTAAATATTACCTGAAAAATATAAAATACAGCGCGGATCAAAATCAAACTCGCTGAGACGAGATGAGAGTTTTTCAAGTAGAACGCCCTCTATCGATCCCGGAAGTGAAAATCAGCAACTGAACAATCCACTATACAAACGGGGATTTTTTACGAAAAAATAATAAAGAGAATTTGTAATTTGGATCAAGAATTATCAAAAAAACTTTTAACAATCAATATTGAATTAATATATATAGAATTAATATTTCCAATTTTCATAAGAACATTATACAGAGAAATGACTAAAAGAATCTAGAAATACTTTACCAATTACCTCACTAAAAGAAATGTTATGATCCAAGAACTTTGATTTAATGGTCGTACACCCAAACTCCTTAGGTAAAAATCGAACGTTATATACGAAAATACTGACTAGGTTAACTGTTAATATCGCACGTTTTTTGCTGCATGTTCTGCAAAAGTTATATGTGGAGGCGGCAGGATGGCGAAAGTTCAGCTTAGTTTGGGAGAAAAGACTTTCATTATACACGGTGTACAGGTAAACCTAAGGCAACATTTCATTTAAATCCCTTAAAGTTTAAAGAAACAAAGATACCCAACAATACATGCCCAATGAGTACCCCCCCCCCGAAAAAAATTGCCTGTGCATGAGGGCGCTGTTGTCATTATTTTACATAACTTAACCAGCTAAAGATTAATTAAGTTTATTTTAATACAAGAGGAGAATTTTAGAAACAAAATGTTGCAGCCTGACACCACTTTTTTCTTCATTATCAATATCAACTCAATGAAGGTCAGTCATTGCAAAAATGATGATCAGACATGAATCTGGGACTGAGAAACATTTCAAATTTTGTTAGGAAATAGCCTACTTAGAAAATTTTCTTGACACTTCATAGACTTTGTACACAACCACTGAAGTGGTGTCAGGTTGCAACATTCTTTCTCGAATTTTAATTTCCCTCTTACTGATTAGATAGAATTATTTAGGCTATTGTAAGATAAATACTAGAATCACAGTAAATCATTTCAAGTTGTCAACAATGATCAATTTCAGAAGGTAAAGATAAATTAAAGTCTCTGATATGGATTATCAAGGCCTATTAAAAGTATTTATTTTGGGATACAGAAATGTCTGATTTTCTTGACTTTCTAATGGTGCAGGCCCTAATTAGAAATTTAATTTGAGTTCACTTATTGACTTGACAATAGGATGGTCTCCGCACAGATGGACGAAGCTGCGATGCATTTCGGCCAATGGAGCTGGAGTGTGGTGTCGTCTCAAACACCAGTGGCTCATCTCGGCTCCGCCTCTCGAACACCGAGATCCTGGTGGGCGTCAAAGCCGAGATGGGCAAACCACGACCGACACGACCCAACGAAGGCTACTTGGAGTTCTTCATTGACCTCTCGGCCAATGCATCCCCGGAGTTTGAAGGTCGCGGAGGCGAGGAGCTTGCCACAGAGATTGCTAACACACTGACCTTGACCTATGACCTCAAGAACGTGTTGGACTACCAGGCGCTGTGCGTGTTACCTCAGCAGTGCTGTTGGGTGGTGTATGTTGACGTGGTGGTCTTGGAATGCGGAGGCAACTTATTTGATGCCATTGGGATCGCTGTGAAGGCAGCTTTGTACAATACCAGGTTGGATTATAACTCAGATTTTTTGTGATGTTTTCAAATTTTTATGAACTTTCTGAGAATTTAGGCTAAAATGTAAAGTAAAAAGGCAGATTTGAACATTAGAATAACTTGGCTTTTTTTACCTCCCTCTCTGACCGGGGGTGTTAGTTGTTACCTGGAAGAAATTAACGTCAATAAATGTACTTATGTTGTGCCATTGCAGGATTTTTTTCTTTTATTTTGAGAATGTTGGTTTCACTTTACAAGATGTGAATTGATGTAATTTCCTGCTTGCTCAAAGTCTCAGAACTGAATATAGATTTTAACCGGTAAAGTGAGTAAAGATTTATTGCTTACTTTAATAATGAACAATCCTCTGAACACTATTAACTTATAATTGTATTGTCTGTATTTTATTGTGGCAGAATACCAAAGGTCAAAGTTCAAGTAGATAGTGAAGGTCAAGAAGAGATTGAGGTTTCTGATGATCCTCACGATGTCGTCTTGTTAGACACCTGTAACATGCCGGTATTGGTCACCGTCAGTAAGGTAAGAAACTAAGATACTATTCATTCAACAGGCAATTTGCCGACTTCTGATTATAGATATTAAGTGTGTCAGTAATGTTTTTCCCACGGCGGTGCGAAACACGCCGGGGGCTTGAGCTGCTTATGTTGGTTGGTTGGTTTGTTGGTTGGTTGGTGGACAGTTAACTCGGTGTGTATTATACTGTTCCACGCAATGCGTGTATCACAGCTTTGCCAGTGAGTTTCTATGGAATACCTGCAGTTTTGTGACACTGATGCGCATGCATCTAATTTGCATATTAGATCACGCCCATTGCATTGCAAAATTCGCAGTTGTACGGTTCGTGGAACTGCTGTGGGTTGTACCACTTGGTACTTGTTACTTATGCTGCTGTTGTAGTCGGTCCATCACAATTCCTCAAAAATCCATCTCAAGTCCTCCAGTCCCAAGCCAACTCACAAGCTATTCAAATGAACCACAACAAAGGCATTCTTTTGTTTTTGTTTGTCCTCTGTATTTTGCGACTGGACTTACGAAAGGACTTAAGATTTGCAACGGACTAGAATGCAACAATGGCTCACACCTATCCCCTTATCAAAGGATTGGCTGCTAATTTGAAATCTGTCTGTGGAATTTTTTTAACCAATGCAGACAGTTAAGATTGGAGTCCGTATTCACAGTTTATTTTGTTTATGGTGGTATATTTTGTCCTTTCGTTAGATTGGTCAGCAACACGTCGTGGACGCAACGCTTGAGGAGGAGGCTTGCTGCCTCGCCTGTATCGTCATGGCTGTCAACGCAAAGGGCGCCCTCGTGGGCATGGAAAAGAAAGGCTCTAGCAGCCTCACTATGGACAGCATACAGGACATGATCACGGCAAGTATTACAGAAATACTACACTTTTTGATCCGTTACTGAGGTTACAAAATTGTATCGCAGAAAACTAACCTTGACATTTATACTGTGACAATATATAGATTTTATAAAAACAGAAAGAAAAAAATTGCCCAAGAAATGTAAAAATATGCCTGGAAACTCAGTTTAAAGAGTTGGTCACATATTATTGCTAAATGCAAATATTTCTGTCGGGCAAGTTATAGATTCTGGATTCGGCCTAGCAAGATTACTGTTTGGATATTTCTGGGTGATTTACTCGCATTTAACTAGTTGTTTATTTTTTTGATTGTTTATTTTTGTTTGCAGACTGGCAAGAAAGTGGGCATGAATCTGAACAGCAATCTGTCGTCTGTTCTTCAAGAGATTGGACGAGACGCTTCCAGCTCGGGCTTTCTGTCCTGACCCGCCAAATATGAGAACTAAACAATTGAATGACCCATACATGTGCTATACGCACACACTGTTATTAAGAGTGCTGCGTAAAGCCAAGAGCAAGTAACTGGAGGTGGCAATCACGGCACATATACTTCCTCACGTGGTCCGTCACTCACATTTATGAATCGAGGATACCTCTAGAACCAAGGATGCCATGGAAGTATCGTCTCAGCAGACTGGATGCAGTTTGACTGCTAGAAGACTGATGCGACACAGGCCTTTAGCTTCTCGTCGCTTGTGAGGAAACCGAGATGTTCACGAGCTTGCTTTGAAAACACTATGACCGGACTATGGGCCCAAATATTAGACAAACTCTGCGTTTCTGAACATCAAATGCCCACACCAAGAATAACTTTTCTGCATTCTGGGTTATTCTCAAACAACGAATGTGACTTGCTTTTTTACCCCCCCCCCAAAAAAAAAAACCTACAGACAAGCTTTTTTCAACACTTTTAATATAATTTCATACAAAATTCATAAAGAAATATAAACAGTGAAAAAGCAAGTGAATTATATGTAACATAATCGGAAGAGAAAAGTAACTTCCTGAGTGCAGCAAGAAACATTGACGTACACGCATGTAGCACCATAACTGAGTTAATTGGTCACAATGATTTTTGTATGCGTGTAGTCTTTAACCCTAACTCCCTAGGCCTTTTTGCTAGGATGTAGCCTCAATCCTGCAAAATCCTCCAATTGGCCTCATGGAAAAATAGCATATAGCCTCAATCCTGCAAATTCCTCCGCTATTTCTTGAATATGGTCCATGGAGGGGTGACTACTGCCTGAATCCTGCAACATCCTCCGGCTATGACTGTCAATAGGCAGAGGCAGCGACATCCTGGAGCAGTGCGGAGGATGTCAAGTATAATCAAGGGCTAAATTTATGCTAGGCTGAGCGTAAACAACACAAGGTCCAGCCCAAGACCTTGACACAGTGCGTACTCCGAAATCAGCAATGCACTTTTGCCATGTAACCTCAATCCTGCAAATTCCTCCAATTTGCAAAAAGGATTTTGGAGGATTCAGGGCGGTTAGGGTTAATACAAACAAGTACAGATGTATAAAACCAAACTATTTTTTTATGAAATGATTCTAATCAAAATCCTTGGTTTTAAATTTTGAATGTAGGGGTTATCATTCAAGATAACACGAATGGATCAACGGATAGAAAACTCATCACTACTTGTTTAGTTTTCCTTCTTTCAAAATTTTAGTACTGTGAATAAACTGAATACATAATAAACAAAAATTAAGGCTGAAAGACCCTTTTCCCAACCGTTTTTTTTGCAATATGTTGGCTAACCAAAGGAAATGATTTCGAAATAACTTTCAATTAACCTGAAGTGAATTGGCCTTTTACAAGTGTCTGAAGTATAGAAAATATAATCATCATGAACACTATTTTTAAAACGATTACGGGTGTTCATAATCCAATCGCTCATTTTCAAAATAGAAAAAAGAAAAAGATACTGCACATTTAGTAAACAAAAATGAAAAAAAAAAACCAAATTTGGGTGCTTCCCCTGCTCTTGATATTAAGCAAAAAAACCTCATCTGTAGTTTGTGAATAGTGTCTAAACAAATAGAAACAATATTTAGATTTTGGTCATATGGCAAGGTTTTTGATATTGCTGGATTTTATTTACAATGTTTTGGGGGAAATCTTGCATCTTTTGTGAAAACTGTAAACCACAAAGAACGGCCGACCTCAAAGAGCTTTGCAACCAGCTTCACTGAGCACCAGGTTTTTTTTTTTTGCTACGAAAAGCAAGTACCTACACTACCGGGTGGAGAGAGGCAGTGTCTTGCTCAAAAACAAAGGCACCAAGTTCCAAGTCATGGTTCAAACCCACGTACCACGGCACATGAGTCAAACACCGTAACCACTTGACCACAGCGCACCACACCAGACAATCTGTATAGTTTAACTGCAGCTAATATGAAATTGTTGCAAAAATTACATTTTTGAAATTTTATTTTGAACACATCCATTTGCTCAGAAACTGACTTTGCTGGTGGTACTTTATAGCGAGGCTGCTCAATGTAGTTGACCATCTGAAATCAGCTGCTTGAGTGAATACTTTTGCCATTGGCTACAAACGCTGCCCCAGCATCTGAGGAATAAAGAAAATGGCTCAGCATTAGTTGTTAAGCAGGAGGTCTTGGGTTCGAGTCCCACCCTCGTAGCTTGTGACTTTTTTTCTTGCAAGTCCTCGGACAACAAAAAATATTTTGGTGAAGTGCAATACCCAATATGTGACCTGTTCATCACAAAGTGAGCTTAAAGTCGGAGCTTAAAGTTGAGATATTTCTTTATTTGAATTGTGCAGAACAAGAGCTTTCCATGGTATATAACATTTAGGGGTACTGATTTCAGTAACAGAAATAAAAACCAATTCTTGAGAAAATGGCATTTAAAAATCCTGCAGTTGTGTTACAGCGAATGAACAGTCAACTAATAAAACGGGAAGAAAGTAGGCTTTAAACATGTTTGACGACAACAAAATTGGAGAAAGCTAAAAGAGGGCTTGCAGACCAAGGTTCACCTGGAAACAAAAAATCGACCACACCTTCAAATTTTGGCTTTATCCCTCTGTACTGCAAAATGGCAATTTCCGACTTTAAGCTCAGTTTGCAATGACAGATTACATATTGAATGTACATCTCCCCGATGCAAACTCCATCTTGTGAACAGATAAGACGCTGCAACACGGGTCTCGACAAATAAAATGGGGTTTACCATTTAGCTTCTAGAATTCAGGTTTGCTTGGAGATAAACTCTCACCTGCTTGTACTTTGTTATTGCAAGATCCTTTATCTGTAGCGCATTTTGGAGCTCGATGCTGCCGTCCCGTTTGATGAATACCTGAGATTAACACACAAATACAAGTTGTAGATTTACGATTATTTTGTACTCCTAACGGTTTGGTTGGAGAAAATATCTCAAAGGTTTGTTCAATTAGGAGAAAAGATACGTTCTAGCCATTGCTGGCCTGACAAAATATTGAGTAGCAAATTATACACATTGGGAACATGTCAAAATTGTACAAATGTACGTAGTTAAGGGTCAAGGGCTGTAAAAATGCCTTTAACTTGCCTTGTGGTCACTAGTCTCGAAGATATCTTCCAGCGTCCCTGCCTTGACAGATATTTCAATTACTTTGTAACTGAAAAACACCCGGGATCCATTGGGGGAACACAGAGGTATCAGTCGTACACTGGTCAACCAAAAACAGAGGAAAGAAAAAGGCACGAGTTAGAATCTTACATTTAGCCTTGTTTGTTGAAGTAGCCTGGATTGGACTGGGGTAGGTGGGGGTGGGTGGGGGTGGGTGGGGATGGGTGGGTGGGGTTTGGTGGGGGGTAGGTGGGGATGGGTGGGGGGTGGGTGGGGTTGGGTGTGGGGTAGGTGGGAGGTTGGTGGTAGAGGTTAGGTTAAATGCCGAGAGACATTTTGGTTACATTTAACGGCAAGTTTTCTTACATATTTAATGTTTACGTTGAACACAGAAAATTGCCCCAAAACAGGAATTGAAGTAGTGATATCTGTTAAACCAAGTCTCTCTGGGTGCTGTTGTCAAAGTCATGCATAATGGACACCTAGCCAAGGAATCACGTCACATTATTAAATGCAGCTCAATCAAACCAAAAAAAAAAATCATTTTCTGGATGAACCAACTCACTGTCAGTTTAATATCCACCCAGATTTTAGACAAATTAATTTTCTCTGGTAAGTCAGCTTTGATCTAACGAATAGTAAATATTTGCCATGGGATGAATTTTTCATAGGTACACATTTTGTGCAACTTTCTACAACTGTTAAATATATGAAAACTGTTTGACATCCCTTTTTGGTTAATTCTTAGGTGACTATGTTCCGACACCTGACACCCCGCACATAAGATTGTGTTACTCCCGGTTAGATCCTGTAGGATTCAGCAGGGTTAGGGTTAATACTAACCTGTGGCAGGGTGGTCTGGGCAAGAACTTATCAAATGCCTTTTGGATGGTGCGCAGTATGTGTTCTTCGTCTTTCGCTGTGACATACACACCCATGATAACACCTGCAGACAAAATGGATACTAACAATTAAATGATACATGAATAAGTATTACCATGGGGGAATATCAAGGTTTTTTTTGAAATTCCAATTTAATTAATAAGATTGATTTAAAAGAAAATACAGTTCTCGTCTGGGCTTTTTGAAAAAATGATGGACGGTCCGCCTCTTTTTTCCCAAGATGGAATATTTTCCAAACTGGCAGATGGATTATTCCCATTCTCTCGACTCTTTTGGCTGATACAAAAATTGTCAACCTTCTAGCTACAATTTTTGTTGGAAACAGATAAAAAGACACTATATTGAGTTAACATAGTGTTGTTTCCAACAAAACTGTAGTTACGTAAAAAGGGTGACACCTTTTGACACACTTAGCAAAACATATGTATTTAAAAAAGAAAAAGAAAAAAAAGAAGCGAGTGGGGACTAAGAACTGGTTTATTTTTCCACTTGGCCTAACTTGTAGTCAATTTTTACTCCGACACTCCACTCTCCCATCAGTTTCAGCAAGTACCAACCATTGTCTTTTATCCCGAGATAGAGCGTCCCCCCTTCTCCGTTGGCAAATGCACAGCCATACTTCTCGACAGCTGAGGGTAGAATGTCGTAGATGTAACTCCCTTGGGCTGCCTTGAATTCCACATTACGATTCTCTCTGGTGTCTAGAAGACCGCCACTGATGTAATACATGGACCTGGACAGGGAAAACATTGGAAGATTAAAACATAAAGACACTTACAGTCTGTTTATGCTTAGTGAACGACCACTTGGTCAAGTTACGGACACTCATAACTGTGCAAAGACACTCCAAGTTACCCTAACTCCCTAGCATGATTTACTAGGAACCATACCCATCCTGGCAAATTTCAACACCATATGGGAAACTGCACACACACATTTCTGACTTTGATTCTGGAGGTGTGCCAACCCAATGTAAAAGACTGTCAGTTTAGGGGTACTGTACCCATCCTGATGGATTCCAACAAAACATGCCGTTGGGGTTTGATGGGTTGAGTTTTGTTAGGGTTAAGTGTCCTGGGACAGCTCCAACTGACAAGTTCATTTTGACTGAGTGTTTTTGTTTCTGATTGAATCCTCTCAATGTGCATAGACCATGTGTCCCACATGTGATGTCATGCCAACAGCAAACCGCTGGACAAACCAAACATTTATACATCTTTTGACTAAGGCCAAAAAAAAAAATGTTGGTCTCTGGTCAAACCGAAGTTCCGGAATTGATGCGGTGACACGGTTTTTTCTTTTTTTTGGTGGCTTTTTTTTTTTTAAGCTTGAATTGTACAGACAAGGTGGGTACTTTTTTGCTTTTTTGTGTCCTCATTATACATTGGTGTCCTCCATAATTTGCCTTGGTGCCCTTTATCATTTGCCTTGGTGCAATTTCCCCATTCCTTGGTGCTCCTTGGTACAAAAAGTTGAGGCGGTGCGGCAATAGAGGGCGCTGTTGTAGCTTCCGTGTTAATTTGAAGAAAAAAAAAGGTTGACGCGCATGATTAAAATCAGCGCGCGTGCTGACCAGAGACCGAGTATTTTTTTTTTTTGGCCTAAGCGCTGTGGTCCAGTGGTTACGGTGTTGGAATCTTGTGCGGTGGTACGTGGGTTCGAACCCTGACGGGGAACAGGTGCTTGTGTTCTTGGCAATACACATTACTACAATTGCCTCTCTCCACCCAGGAGTATGGGTACCTGTGAAGGTAGAGACCAGAATGCGTTGACTTTGAGCTGCTGCAAAAACTGGTCTCTTGGCCTGATGAACAGGTAGTTGGGGCATTCTAACAACCCCATCTCAGTTATAGGGATGTTCAAATTAGTTTGTAGAGAGCCAAACCTGTAAGACACTCTGGAGTTGCTGGATGAAGCTTCTGATAAATCCTCGTCCCTTTTGGCTGGAGTGATGGTGTATTTCTGCTGCTTGGAAACGACCGATGGCGTGAAAGCCATTGTGGATTCATTCAACTAGATCTGAAACAAAGGAAGCAGAGGGAAAATGTGAGGGAGAGATCTTGATGTCATGCTATCAGAACTAAAACAGCCCAGTCATAGACCCCATGCAGAGTGTATCGGAGACTCCCAAATAAAAAGGTAACCAACAGGGTAGTTGGTTTGGACTTAGAATTTTTTCAGCAACTCCCATTCCTTTTGTGTTGCTTTGTTCTCAAGCATTATCAAGGGGACTCCCACTCCCTAGCCGCGTAGCCCATGTAGCCGGCAACAGGATAGTTGAGTTGGACTAAGAATTTTTTCAGCAACCCCCATTTCTTTTGTGTTGCTTCGATCTCAAGGGGACCCCCAGTCAGTGTCCACGTATTTTCACATGTCTCAAACATTTTATTGCAGAGTAGGCCTAGGCCTACTACATTTTCTTTTTTTTTCAGATTTGTGGCTCTGGACTGGAGTGGAGGATTTTTTTTTAAAGGGAAATAAAGTCCGAAATTGTAAAATGGTCCAAGTACAAAAATACAGTAACTGCGCATGTTCAGTGCATATCCGGCAAGCCAATGTTTAGGCCTACTAAGAAAAAAAAGGTTTGACGTCTCCGGCTAAATATCCACTGCCTTTATTTTCAGGGGTGTATTTCCGAGTGGCGGGATATTCTGAAATTTACAATTAGGCCTAGGGGCCTACTGACCGTGACGATGTCGAGCGCAATTTGAGTCCCCCACGCAAGTTTAAACTTGCGCACGCAAGTTTAAACTTGCGCGAGGGACTCCTGAGGCACGCAAATTACACCGCGCCATTTTAATTTGCGTGCGCAAATTTAAACTTGCGCAAAGGCGATCGCAACCTTCTTTTGCGGGAGGGATTTTCATTGATGAAGAAATTTTTTTTCAAAACACGAGTACATGGAGAATCAATGGAATAAATGAATGAATAAAGAAATAAATAAAAAGGGGAATTCAATTAGGTAGTGGATATTTTGCCGGAGGTAATGACGGCAAACTAACGATTACTAAAGGTTTGCCGGCGGCAATCCATATCAACAGAGGGCGCTGTACTCTTTAAAATAGGGCTGAATTATAAGATGTATTAAATTCCCACCAAAAGTTATGTAGCACGTTTGGTGTAACGGTTAAGCAAAGGCTCTAGTAAGCGGGATGACTCGCGTTCGATTCCGACCTCACCACATTTTTAAGGTTTTTTTTCTCATCCCCAAATAAATAAGAATAATCTTCTTTTATTATTTTAACATGTCTCAAACATTTTTTGCAGAGTATTACATTTTCTTTTTCAGATTTGTGGCTCTGGAGGATTTTTTTTAAAAGGGAAATAAAGTCCGAAATTATAAAATGGTCTGAATCCCATCTTGTGAATACGAGGTAACAACGATAATTTTGGCATGGAGCCAGACTAAAACTTGTCACCGGAAAATGTTTAAGTACAAAAAAACAGTAACTGTGCATGTTCAGTGCATATCCGGCAAACTAACGTTTACTAAAGGTTTGACGTCTCCGGCAAAATATACACTGCCATTCAATTAGCGTCAATGAAAAGAAACATTGAGATTTAGCAGTGCTTATCAGAGAAGTTGTTTAAGGGTACGTGGGGGCGGGGCCGGAGAGGGGACCGGGCAAGCAATCAACTTAAGCACACTAGCGGCAGTGGCGTAGCCAGGAATTATTTTAAAAAGTAAATAAATTTGCAAATGATTTTCCTAATTAATGAATTTAATAAAATGTTTCAAAAAAAGGCATTAAGGCATTGTCTCCCGAAGCTCAGCGATTCTACTAAATCGGAGAAAAAAATCTGCTTTAAAAATAATGTTACTTGTTGTTACATATCTGCATGAGTATACCCGGGGGAAAAAAAGTTTAGCGGCTCTATATGCGTGGCTGGGAAGCGAAAATCTATGCAGTGCGCAAGTTTAAACTTGCGTGCGCAATTTGTAGCAAGGAAATGAATGCGCGCGCAAGTTTAAACTTGCGTGCGCGCAGGTTTAAACTTGCGCGCGCAAGTTTAAACTTGCCCGGGGGACTAACTTTGCGCTCGACAACAACAATCATGACAATTCAAATTGAAACATTTTATTTTTAAACAATGTTTAACTTAATTTCAGACGGGAATAAAGCTATTTAAAACCACCTCAGCTGCTGTGTTCATACTCTTGTCGATCCCCCAACAACCATGTCCATCAAATCACAAATTTATCGCTGTCAGACGGTAGTTTTCTTGTGCAAAAAGCCATGTACAGAAGTCTAGTCAAGAGCTTGAAAAAATCAAGACGTAGACTAGACAGTTCGAAAGTACCGCCGCGCCCTACATTGTGGAGCCCGCCCTCTTGCGGTTGCGATGGCTAATAGACTGTCAACAAGGTGACTAGCGCCCTCAAGGTGTTGAAGGTAGTTAAATTTCGTCTGATACCTGCAAGGTCGTTTTGTTTTCCCCACTTCATTTCACGTGCAGGGTCTGGATACCGCACTCATTGCAATTATTATTTAACAAAAAAATAACAGAATCGTTTTTTGTTTCTTGGTTATCCAACAATTTTCGTAAAGTCATCGTCTGTTGCATCAGTTCGTGATGTCAGTGAGCTCAGCATATTTATAAACAGACGTTCCTACTGCAACTTTGCATCAAAATCTGCCGAGATTATTAGAAACAGAAAATGGGTAGCATTCTGTGAAAGAAAACCCGTTCTCGAACATTACGACGAGCGAAAATGCACGTAGGCCTATGCACAACATGCATGACATGACAAGCCACTAAGTTTCAGCGCTTGTCACACTAACAAACACTGTGTGATTTTTGTATCAAACTCATAATTTTGTCCTTACATCGTTATTGAATAACGATGGCTTTGAGATGTTGTGGATCACTGCAACTCGGAGTCAAAGGATTCAGCTTTCGTCTCATCAGCCCGTCCCTTCAAAATAGACACCAGAACGTAAGTTAAATAAAAATGAACATGATGAAAAACAAAGGGCAGAACGGAGGGGGGTGGGGGTGGTGATGCCTCAAATTTTATTTGTTGTGATGCATCACATAAATATTGCTTTCTTATTAAACAGATAGGCCTATGTTTTTCCTTAATTGTTACGGCGATCGTGTAGTGTAGGGCCCTGTTTTGTTTTGATCAAATTTGAATCAATTTTTTACTAAGACAAGTACTCAAAAATGACATTTTCAACCTTAAGCAGACTTTTCTCAATATAATGACACTTTTTTGTAATGTTTGAAAAGTTTCTTTGGGTAGAAATTACGATTTTCCTACATAGTTTACGGTTGGTGCCGTGCGATTCAGCCTGCCTTGCACGCTCACGGTACATCGCGCGGTGATCGCCATCTTTATTTTCGTGTTTTGGTAACAATAGCAGTTGGCAGTGGCATTATGGCTGCCATAACGATAGCCACGGCGTAAAACATTTGTTTCCTTTCACTTCAGTCGGATTTCAAAAGTGCATCAAGATTGCAGTGTGAGAAAAACCTGTCAAATATCAAACAATTATATTTGAATTTGTTTAGGTCAGTTATCTGGAATAGAAGTATGAATCATTTTGTGCCCTTGAAATATGTAATAACTTGCAGTAGGGCCTAAATGAACGGTAGGCTTGTAAACTAATAAGTATTTTCCTGTATTTTCTAGGTTGCTGTTTTACGGAGATGTAACCGACTGTTCAGCAGCACGCAGCGAGTGAGCAACGCCCTCAGGAAGTGGCTTGTCTTCAGTAAGGAGCCCCCCAAGGGCTTTGAGAAATTCTTCCCCAGCTCCAAGAAAAGTGCCGCACCCCCTCGGCCCAAGAATGCAGCATCTGCAAAAGATAAGGGTAGGTATTGCTAAATGCTAAAACCTTCCCAAATCCTCCAAAATCCTCTTTGCAAAATGGAGGATTTTGCAGGATTGAGGCTATATGGCAAAAAGGTGTTGCTGATTTTGGAGGATGTACTGTGTCAATGTCTTACGCCGAACTTTGTGTTGTTTATGGTCAGCCGTGCATAAATTTAGAACAGGATTATACTTGAAGTCCTCTGCAGGGCTCCAGGAGGTCACTGGCTCTGCCTCAAGATACTGACAGAGATTGCTGGATGATTTTGAAGGATTGAGTCAGTGATCATCCCTCCAAGGAACGCATTCAAGAAATAACCGATAATTTTAGAGGATTGAGGCTGTATGCTATTTTTACAAGGAGGCAGTTGGAGGATTTTGCAGGATTGAGGTTGCATCCTAGCAAAACATCCCAGGGAGTCAGGGTTAATAGGCAAAACTTCTCAATTGATTTGTCTTGGACTTCAGGTGTAAAAGATTACCTTTCTCTTGTTTTATTTCTGTAGGTGAGCCTACGCCCAGCAAAAGCAGCGAGAGTAGCCGAGGAGGAGACAAGCCCCAAGACTTCTGGAAGGGTCTGATGGGAGGGGGCGGGGCCCAGGGAGGCAAGCCAGGGGGCGGATTGCCCCGGGGTACCAACCCACCCATCGACCCCAACAATAGGAACCAGCTGTTGTTTAGTATAGCGGTGACCGTGACGGGGGCGGTGGCCGTGGCTTGGCTACTTGGGGGCGGATCGGCTCCGGAGATTACGTGGAAGGATTTTTGTCAGGAATATCTGATGGCTGGACAGGTATGGATTTGAGCTTATTTCAGGCATGCAACTTTTCCTCGGATCCGCTGATTTCCTCGTTTTTTACTTCTCAAGTATGCCATTACAAATTGAAAAACATTGTACAAAATGTTGTGTGGTTCGGAATTTCCTCGTTTTTTGTAAATTCCCAGTTGCATGCATGTTTTTGCAATGGGGCAATTTTAGCATTACGTAATGTGTCAGAGCTTTTACGTGCTCAGTGAATAAACCTGAAAATGTGTTTACAGGTCAAGTTTGAAAATGCACTCATTAGCAGATTATTACACACTTGTCTTCCAAACATGTAAGAGACTGTTAATACAGGCAGAGGCTCTTAGAAATCTTTAGCATAAAATGTACAATGAAAATGAATAAAACTGCTGCAAGCTGCTTGCTGACTGGATTGAGCTAAAATACAGGGTGAGTAAAAAAAAACAAACCAAATGTCGGGACCATTGTTTTAGTGAAGTTCTGCATGTAGCACTTTCAAAATCTAGGATATGAAAGCCCAATTCATAGGCTTTCTTTTAGTACAAGAATCATTCAAATCACTCATGTACTTTTCACGTTTCGGAATTTTAAACACAACTACCGTTTTCAGGTTCTGTCCATGGATCACAAAAAAGGCAAGTGTTCTTTCAGCAAAACGAAAACAAATCACATAGAGATGCACGTGAATTGTTTTAGTTTTGCTGAAAGAACGCACACCTTTTTTTGTGTTCCGTGGACAGAACTTTAAAACGGTGGTTGTGTTTAAATATTCCATAAGTTGAAAATTACATGAGTAATTTGAATGATCCTTGTACTAAAAAAAAGCTTGTGAATTGGGCTTTCATATCCCAGATTTTGAAAGTGCTACATGCAGAACTTCACTAAAACAATAGTTCCGAATTTTTTTTTTTACTCACCCTGTATAAAAATCAAATCAAATTAGACGGGGTAATTTTTCAATATTAGCAAAAATTTCAATTAGATACCATCATAATCAGGAGCAGGTAAAAATGTTTGTTTCCTTATAAATTATTAAGTTCTGTTCATTTCAAATATTCAAGGACACTGGGAACTCTCCAGTATACATTTGAATGGTTCGATGACATGCAGAAACTTTTGAATGCAGATTCTTTGGCAGAAGAAATATCTTTCCTTTGAATCGTCTTGTGGTTTTTCTTTCCTCTTTGAACAGGTTGAGAGGTTGGAAGTTGTCAACAAGAAATACGTCAGAGTGTGGCTGAGACCGGGCCATTCTAAGGGGGTTTGTACTTTTCTCTTATTCTTTTTATATGAACACTGTTAAAAAAAACCTTAAGCATTTCAAGATTGAAAATAAAGTTTTGTCCCTTTGCACTGTATGACAGCATTTTGTTCGTGGCCCATATGAATGTTTACAAATGTTGGTCAAGCCTGCTGTAGGTCTGCCAATTGTTGTAAGTTGGGAGACCACTGACATAGGATTCACTTTGAAGGTTTAGAATGCTTCTGGTGAGTTAGGGATTAGGGTTCAATTCGTCTGTTGCATCTTATAACTATCAAAGACAATATTATCTGTTTTGTTAAAAACAGTCTTTGTATTTTTTTAATTTTCTGCAGAGGTATGTGTGGTTCAACATTGGCAGTGTCGACGCCTTTGAGAGAAATCTTGAGAACTCCCAGGTGGATCTCGGAATCGAACCCAACAACTATCTGTCGGTCGTTTACAGCTCGGAAAGTGATGGGTAAGGCTGGCTGTGTATGCCTTATTTGTTTTTGTAATTACTACTTTTTTGTACAAAAGAAAAGAAAAATGGCAAAATTATGATTTGGTGAATTTACATCAAAGTTACGGGGAGTGTGGCCTAGTGGATTTAGTAAAATTAAGGATTTTTTAAAATCTTTTTAAAATGAAATTTCATTGTAAATTGTAAGTAAATTTAAACTCTAGAATAAAAAAAATTAAGAAAGTGAACCGATGTGTTTCCTGAAATGGAATTGGAAACCATAGCATGGTTGAAAAAAAATGTTGTGTAATAAACATCCTGTAGTGTGACCTCTTGTGAACTTTGTCCATTTATGTGACCTTTGACCTTCCACAGGAGTTTCCTACTGAGCCTGATTCCCACCGCTCTCATGATCGGCTTCTTCTTCTACTTGTTCCGCAACAACCCCGCTGCGGGAGGCCGTGCCGGCAAGCGAGGAGGGATCTTTGGCTTCGGAGAAACCACGGCCAAGATTATCAAGGAAGACGTTGGAGTACGGTTCAAGTAGGTTCAACATTTCCTGTTTAAATGTACCAGTGTGGAATTCCAACCTCACGTTTTGGATTGTAACAACTTACGTCTTACCAAACGTGCAGAGATTTTTCTAAAATCACTTTTTTTTTTAGCAAATTGATAAAACTGTTAAGGTGATTCTTCTTATTCGTTGACAGGGATGTTGCCGGATGTGAGGAGGCCAAGCTAGAAATCATGGAGTTTGTCAACTTCTTGAAGAATCCTCAACAGTACATTGACCTCGGAGCCAAGATCCCCAAGGTAAGAATGGAACAGTCTATTCTTATACATGCATCACAAGGAGTGCACTGTTGCCCTCATGAAAGTGGAGAATTCCATCGGTGACATTTGGGGAAGAGGTACTTTCCTTCCATCATTGTGATAAAGTGTCTTGCCCAAGGACTCATGTGTATCACAACAGCTCTGGCTGGACGTGAACCCACAACCTGCAGAATTACCCACAGATCTTGAGTTCTGTGCTCCAGACCACTAGGCCATGGAACTCTTTCAAACATGCACACTCACTTTTCTGTATACGTTCTTCATGCTACAGGGAGCCATTCTTAACGGACCACCAGGAACGGGCAAGACCCTCTTAGCTAAAGCTACAGCCGGTGAAGCTAACGTTCCCTTCATCACCGTCAGTGGATCCGAGTTCTTGGAGATGTTTGTTGGTGTTGGTCCGTCTAGGGTAAGAAAGCGTTTCACTATCTTAACTTATAGTCCAGCGGATATGTGACAAAATATCGATGAATTGTGCACTTTTGCATAAAAGCGTGAAACTTGGCACAGATGTTTATATTCATGCGAGAAAATGTTTTAGATGTGGAGCCATCGCAAATTTACCCTTTGAGGGGCGTGGCATCCATTTAAAAAAAGGGGGGCGGGACTTGTCATGCCCGCAGTAAAAATGGTTTTTCCCACTTGTTACAAAAGCAGGAAACTTCACAAAGACATAATTATATAGATTATTAGTGTTTTCCAGATTCGGAGCCACCACAAAAGTACCTTTTTAGGGGCGTGGCAGCCATTAAAAGAAAAGGGGGGGGGTAATTATTATGCCCACTTTGGAAAACATTGTGCCCATATTTCATGAACGAATAAAACGTCCCACAGACGTTTATATTCATGAGAAAAAAATTCCAGATGTGGAGCCATCTCGAACACACCCTTTTAGGGGCGTGGCAACCATATAGGAAAAAAAAGGGGGCGGGGTTTTCATTATGCCCACCCTGGATATATTGTTCCCACACTCAGAGAGAAATGGAAATTTCCACAAACATTGACATTCATGAGAAAACAAATTCCAGATGTGGAGCCATCTCGAACACACCCTTTTAGGGGCGTGGCAACCATAAAAGGAAATAAAGGGGGGGGGGCGGGGTTTTCATTATGCCCACCCTGGAAATATTGTTCCCACATTAATAGAGAAATGGAACTTTCCACAGACATTGACATTCATGAGAAAAACAATTCCAGATGTGGAGCCATCGCGACCACACCCTTTTAGGGGCGTGGCAGCCATATTGAAAAAAAGGGGGGGCGGGGTTCTCATTATGCCCAACATGGGAAAAATGTGCCCACATCTCATAAACGAATGAAGCTAATTCCCACAGACATTAATACTCACGAGATAAAAATCATACGTGGAGCCATCGCAAACACACCCTTTTAGGGGCGTGGCAGCCATAATAAAATGGGGGGTAGTCATGATGCCCCTATAAAAGAAAGTTGTGCCTTCCTTTCATAAATGGATTAAATTCCACTCGGACAATATATTCATAAAAATGTTTTTGTTTAATGTGAGGCCATCACAAACCTACCCTTTTAGAGGTGCGGCATCCATTTTTAAAAGGGGGGTACTCAATATGCACAACGTGGAAAATTTTGACCGCATTTCATATAATAAAATCCACCTCAGACAGCTGTTTAATGTGTTGGAGTAGGGCCGCCTTTATAGTTGGAATTTACTGTTAACAAACCCTTTGTTTTCTTACACTATGCATTCTTGCCTCATCTATATTAACCCAGTTACTGGTTCTTTCGTCTGTAGAATTATTGATAACCTTTCAACTGCATCAATATCTGAATTAGTTGTATAAACTGGGGTACCTCAGTTAGTCCTGGAAAGACTAGTGTTACTTCTTCAAATACATTGTTTCCCCTGCCTTTTTTTCTGATAAACCAAAAGGCATATGCAGTGTCGCACCTGTATAACGTATAATTTTTTTTAATGGATTTGGTCGGGGTAAAAAAAAACACTCATAAGAGCTTGATATACCATTTTTAAGAGAACAGAGGTGCTGTGTGGTGGGGGTACAGAGATTCATTGAATGTGAAGTCATAGTGGACGTGTCCACCACTTTGTGAGGCGAGTACATCGTGTTGTTACCCAATCTGCTGTCAATGTGGTGCAACGGGTAAGGGGTAGGGAGATTTTATACTCCCCCCCCCCCCCCCCCCGTAAAAAAAAGGATTTCCATGGCCCTTTAATGTTAAATGTTAGAGTTTAGGGCTGCCATTGTGTGCTGTGTATTTGTAATTATGAAATCACTCTGGAATTTAGATGTGCATGATAATATAGGTGCAAGTACACACATTGAACAATATAACACGGGTTAGCCTACCGGTACTTACCCATGCTCTTTGGGGTAAGTCATTGTATTACCAAATAATATAGGTTATGGGCCAATCAACATTATAAGAAATCAACAACAAAATATAAACATTGCAATTGTGGGCACAGTGAATAGGCCCCTCACACCTCTAAAAGGATGAGTTTGCTGTGGCTCTACATAAGAACTTTCTTTTATAGGGGCATCATGACTACCCCCCCCCCCCCCATTTTACTATGGCTGCCACGCCCCTAAAAGGGTGTGTTTACGATGGCTTCACGTGTGACTTTTTTTTTTCTCTTGAATATTAATATCTGTGGGAATTAGCTTTATTCGTTTATGAGATGTGGGCACATTTTTTTCCCATGTTGGGCATAATGAGAACCCCGCCCCCTTTTTTTCAATATGGCTGCCACGCCCCTAAAAGGGTGTGGTCGCGATGGCTCCACATCTGGAATTGTTTTTCTCATGAATGTCAATGTCTGTGGAAAGTTCCATTTCTCTATTAATGTGGGAACAATATTTCCAGGGTGGGCATAATGAAAACCCCGCCCCCCCCCCTTTATTTCCTTTTATGGTTGCCACGCCCCTAAAAGGGTGTGTTCGAGATGGCTCCACATCTGGAATTTGTTTTCTCATGAATGTCAATGTTTGTGGAAATTTCCATTTCTCTCTGAGTGTGGGAACAATATTTCCAGGGTGGGCATAATGAAAACCCCGCCTCCTTTTTTTCCTATATGGTTGCCACGCCCCTAAAAGGGTGTGTTCGAGATGGCTCCACATCTGGAATTTTTTTTCTCATGAATATAAACATCTGTGGGACGTTTTATTCGTTCATGAAATATGGGCACAATGTTTTCCAAAGTGGGCATAATAATTAACCCCCCTTTTTCTTTTAATGGCTGCCACGCCCCTAAAAAGGTACTTTTGTGGTGGCTCCGAATCTGGAAAACACTAATAATCTATATAATTATGTCTTTGTGAAGTTTCCTGCTTTTGTAACAAGTGGGAAAAACCATTTTTACTGCGGGCATGACAAGTCCCGCCCCCCTTTTTTAAATGGATGCCACGCCCCTAAAAGGGTAAATTTGCGATGGCTCCACATCTAAAACATTTTCTCGCATGAATATAAACATCTGTGCCAAGTTTCACGCTTTTATGCAAAAGTGCACAATTTTTTCACATATCCGCTGGACTATTAGTAACAGTGATTGCTGGAGCATTGTGCAGGATTGAGGCAGTCGTCACCCCTCCAAGGGCCACATTCAAGAAATAACAGATGGTTTTGGAGGATTAAGGCTGTATGAAATTTTTACATGGAGGCAGTTGGAGGATTTTGCTAAAAAAAACCCAGGAAGTTAGGGTTAACAATCATCTATATTGTATCTGGTTGATAAGATAGTTGCCTATCATTGAAAATGTAAACATTAGCTTCCTAGGATGCGATTAATGCTTGTAATGCTTCGTAAATGAAGAGGTTTTCAGGCATCCTTGATTCCTAAACTAAAACCGAGTGATTTATCGTCCGTTTTTTGTTGTAGGTGCGTGACATGTTTTCCATGGCCAGGAAGAACGCTCCTTGCATCCTCTTCATAGATGAGATCGACGCCGTCGGAAGGAAACGAGGCAAGAGCAACTTTGGCGGACAGAGTGAGCAGGAGAACACACTGAATCAGCTCCTTGTGGAGATGGACGGTGAGTTGCCATGGAAACTAAGGCTTTTGGGCGATGATCCTTCGTCTGAGAGGCTGCTGGGTTATTGGATCATTCCATGCAAGGGACAGGGGTGTCTGATTAACCAGCTTTGGCTTATGTCTGAATTTTAGCAGTCTTGAAATGGTCTGAAAAAATGAAAACAAGGGATTCAAGTTTAATACTTGATTTGGCCCTTCACAAATAAAACTTGTAATAGTACTTTTTGTACAAATGTGGAGGGCTACTCTGGTGGGAATCGAACCCACAGCTTTCTGCTTAATAGTGCAGACGTCTTGCCACTCTACTACCAAGCTTGCTAGGTTCAGCCGGCTGACTTGAATCTGCAATGGCAGCAGATACTGCAATTAATCTTGTTTGATGACCCGGCAAAACTTAGTCAATAAATTTACATCTCCCCAAGGCAGAATTTCCTCATACAGGATAGGTGTTAATCAGGTTGTTGATTTCTTTCACCAGCAGTAAATCCATCTCCTTAATCGTTCTTATTTGCAGGATTCAACACGACCACCAACGTGGTAGTCCTAGCTGGCACCAACCGGCCAGATATTTTGGATCCAGCCCTGCTCAGACCTGGTCGCTTTGACAGGCAGATATACATTGGAGCGCCTGACATCAAGGGAAGGTAGGTCACTTGATGAAAGAAATGCTCTGGAAATGTTTGTCTCTGGTTGAACTCTGTGATGATTGTTTGAGAGGTAGTTGTAAAGTTTGTTCATGTTGTTGTTGTTATTATAATTATTGTAAATGAAAACTAAGCTTTCATCCATCACTACTGTAGCTAGTTAGCCCAGAGAAACTAAGAAGTGGAGGAAAATGAAGAAATGTTCAATTCTCAAGATAAGGAAAACCCCAAACAAATATTGTGCAAAACCCATGGAATCAAGTACAGACTGAAAACCCAATCCACATGTGGAACCGGGCAGGATTCGTCCTTGGGCCAAAGCGGTGGAAGGCGAGGAAAGAATCACGGCCGTTTCAAGGCAAGAAAACCGGGTATAGACACATTACCTTATGAGCCATACTCCCAATATCATCAAATATTTTTGCTTGCGTTTGACAGAGCGTCCATCTTCAAAGTCCACTTGAAACCCCTCAAGACAGATGTTGACCAAGAAAATATGGCCAGAAAGATGGCGGCACTCACCCCCGGCTTCACAGGTCAGTACAGAATGGATACAGTTGGCATGACAACCAAAAAGAGTAGCATTGCCAACAAGAAGAAATGCCATGGCAACGGGTGAACAAAATGGTCGGAGAATAGTGAACATTCTCACATCAGTTATGTTTTCTCATATCACTTGTCTCCATTTTCTCTGCCACCGTATTATAAAATTATGAAAAATTATAAATAAATTGCCAAAACATCAATTCAATATTGGGTTTTGCCCTTCGCCGTCATATTTTTATAAATTTGGTTTACTCGGGTGATTGTGAGAAACAAATGCACAAACTACTCGGGTGGGACTCTAACCCATGACCTCCTACATACTAGTGCAGACGTCTTACCACTCGACCACCGAGTTTGCCGGGGTCGGGGGATGGTTCAAATCTGACATAGCAGTGTGTACAGCAACCAAAGTATTCATAAAATAGAATTTGTGTCGGATGATGTAAATTCAATATCATATAAATTCAAGTCATATGAAAACACTTCACTGGGGTTATCTCAAGTCTGGCAGATTATCCTCCCACCTCTAAGACTCACTTAAACGTACTGACAACCTTTGATCATACTGTTCTTGACTACAGGAGCGGATATCGCCAATGTCTGCAATGAGGCGGCTCTGATTGCCGCTAGATACGGCTGCAAGGACATCAACTCCTCCCACTTTGAGCAGGCCATTGAACGAGTCATCGCAGGTAAGACTCTTCTCTAACCTTCTATATCAGGCCGAGTTAGTTGAATAATTTCAAACTAGTTCCGTTTTATGAAGCACATTTATTGTACCAATGCGAAGTTATCAGCTGTGCTTACATTTGTCCTCCCAATTCAAACCTATCAAACTTTGTCAACTACTATATGTAATTTATAAAAATCAAATCTGAATCTTGAAGGTCCCATGCAATATAATTTTCTAATGCAATCCTTGAAAATATACCCTTGTGTCCCATTTAACGTTGTTTTCAATTTTCATTTTGCCATTTTCAAGGGTATTTTGGTGCCTTTGTGGTTTTTATGCTAGTGCAAATTTCCATATTCATGAGCAAAAGTGTGATGTCACTTCAGGCAGAAACCTCTATGTTACAGCTATCTCAGCACAAAAAGCAAACAGAATTTTGGATGTTTTGCTGTTACAAATTTTGGTTTCTTTGGTGTTTCGTTGTTGTGTCAGTACATGGGAAAGCCAATGAGCAAACTTTTCGCACAAATATTTTTAATGAGCAGATTTTTGGGTTCACATTTGGACAGAAAAAAAAACCTAAACTGAACAGTGTCTTCCTGAAATGACATCAAAGCGCCCTCAGTTGTCAAGAAAAGCATGGACAATTTTAAACGTTCAAAAAGTTCAGGGAGTCCTTCAGAACTTCTAAACAATTCATTTCCTCGATGTCCTGAGAAAACATGGAAGGGGAAAAAAAAGAAGAAATCTTTATGAAAACCTTCCCCACTATAAACAACCAATAAAGTCTCACAACATGGACAGTTTATTTCTTTTACCAGGACTGCTTAATCTTGAAAAGTCATGTCTCCTTTTCTCTCTAGGCCTGGAGAAGAAGACGCAGGTTCTGCAACCAGAAGAGAAGAAGACGGTAGCGTACCATGAAGCAGGTCATGCAATCGCTGGGTGGTTCCTGGAGTACGCTGACCCACTACTCAAGGTAAGCATCCAGCGGAACGAACATGGAACATTTTTCTCTTTCAACTTGAATGACAAGAAAACTGAAAAAGGCGCAAACTTTTAAAACTTCCAGGTAGATGATGGCATATGGTGTTTTTACCTTTAACCAGTTCACGCCGAGATTATTTTGACAAGAACGGAACAAGGCGCAGGATTACTTTTCACTGGACCTCAAGCCAGGTGGATTGAAGCCATCACCCTCGGACAGCACACTCATATTTCCAGCCTCGCTTGTTGCTTGTTTATCTGTCATCCAGTACAAAGGCTGCAAAACCTTTGCGTGTATACACGCTCTCCGGCGCGAACTGGTTAAACAACGACAACTAAAATCTTTTTAACCTTTTTCGGTCATTTACTGCCAGGTTTCAATCATACCGAGGGGTAAAGGTCTTGGCTATGCCCAGTACCTCCCTAGAGAGCAATACCTCTACACTAAGGAACAGCTTCTAGACAGAATGTGCATGACGCTAGGAGGACGGGTCTCTGAACAGATCTTCTTTGGTAAGATCACGACGGGAGCTCAAGATGACCTCAAGAAGGTCACGCAGGTCGCCTATGCCCAGGTCAGTCATACCCCTAACCTCCAACCCCACCCTTCCCCCTGCCGCACCCACCCGTAGTCCCATCACTGCAGTGGTAATACACCGACATGAAGTGATTTAATTGTAAAACTTTTCTAGCTAAATCATTTTATTGTACCAGAACTGTATTCAAAAATTGCTACATTTCACACGAATTAAATAGAAATTGGTGTACTCTGGGGCCAGCTTTACTGGTCTTGCCTTGCCTTATTTTTAAAAGAAATTCCTGACCTCGTTTCTTATATCGTTTCTTGAACCGCCAAAGATTGTCCAGCATGGTATGAGTGACGTCATCGGTAACGTCTCCTTTGACATGCCCCAGCAAGGCGAGATGGTTCTGGAGAAACCATACAGTGAAGCTACGGCCAAAATGATTGACGAGGAAGTCCGCAAGTTGATCGGATCGGCCTACGATCGCACTATGGACCTGCTGACTAAACACAAGGAAAATGTGGAGAAGGTGAGTTTCTCAGTGTAATATGCAAATATTAACTGCTATTATGACACTATGGACCTGCTGACTAAACACAAGGAAAATGTGGAGAAGGTGAGTTTCTCAGTGTAATATGCAAATATTGACTGCTGTTATGACACTATGGCCCTGCTGACCTAAACACAAGAAAAATGTGGAGGAGGTGAGTTTTTCAGTACAATATGCAAATATTGACTGCTATTATGACACTATGGTCCTACTGACTAAACACAAGGAAAATGTGGAGAAGGTGAGTTTCTCAGTACAATATGCAAATATTGACTGGTATTATGACACTATGGCCCTGCTGACTAAACACAAGGAAAATGTGGAGAAGGTGAGTTTTTCAGTACAATATGCAAATATTGACTGCTATTATGACACTATGGACCTGCTGACTAAACACAAGGAAAATGTGGAGAAGGTGAGTTTTTCAGTGCGATATGCAAATATTGACTGCTATTATGACACTAAGGCCCTGCTGACTAAACACAAGGAAAATGTGGAGAAGGTGAGTTTTTCAGTACAATATGCAAATATTGACTGCTATTATGACACTATGGTCCTGCTGACTAAACACAAGGAAAATGTGGAGAAGGTGAGTTTCTCAGTACAATATGCAAATATTGACTGGTATTATGACACTATGGCCCTGCTGACTAAACACAAGGAAAATGTGGAGAAGGTGAGTTTTTCAGTACAATATGCAAATATTGACTGCTATTATGACACTATGGACCTGCTGACTAAACACAAGGAAAATGTGGAGAAGGTGAGTTTTTCAGTGCGATATGCAAATATTGACTGCTATTATGACACTAAGGCCCTGCTGACTAAACACAAGGAAAATGTGTTCTATTTTCCCCAGGGTGGAGCAATATTCCCAGCATGATTTTAAGTGGCCTTGTTCACCAACTTCTAGTTCATTAATTTTTTTTTCAATATTACAATTCTAGGTTGCCTTAAGACTTCTAGACAAGGAAGTCTTGAACAAGGACGACATGGTGGAACTTCTTGGTAATCGCCCTTTTGCCGAGAAGTCGACTTACGAGGATTTTGTGGAAGGAACCGGAGGCATGGAGGAAGACACGTCACTACCGGTCGGCCTTAAGGACTGGAACAAGCAGAAAGAAGCTGCCAAAGATGCACCAGAGGGAGGGAAACTACAGCCTGAGACAGTGTGATGGGTGAACAGAGGGAGTAAGCCTACATCATGACACTGCAGTGTGATTGTGTAATATCATTGGTCAGGAAATGTCTTCCCTACAGCATGTGCCTGTTGGGCAGTTGGGCTGGTGACATTCCAGTGAACATGCCTAACCCCTCTGGAACGGATCGATTCCATGTTGCTGAAGATGGTCTTGACTTTTACTTTGCAGCTGGGGTGATACTGTTTAATGTAAAAGCCTAATGCTACACATGATGATTTACTATAAATAAATGTCATTCTTAATTCAGAATTTGTCGTAACAAAATTTATATCGCCACGTAATTGAGGGTATGTAAACTTTATTTTCAGAGAATTGTTTGAATTCATTGGAAAAAATACCATATTTCATAAGGTTTAAAGAAAAAAACCCAGAATTACTGTATCTGGATCATTCGGGTAGCTTCTGTTCAGAAATTCTCAAGATTCTTTTGGCCCATCTGTAATGTAAACTGAAAATTGAACATTGTCCAGAGTTGAAACACAAGTTTGTAGACAGTGCAGAATGAGCACAGTCAATTTAGAGTTGTCCCAAGCACGTAAATGATCCCAGCAGAAACGACACATTTTTTGTGTGTGTTTGAAAACAATTGTAAGAGATTACTGTGTGTAATTTTCACTGTAAAAAGTGCTGATAGGAAAGAGTAGTCACAATAAAAATTGTCATCATTTTGAATCGGTTTTCTGTAGTCAGAATCGTCACATTTTAAATGCTGTTTTTTGGCAACTGAGGGCGCTATTGCTAGCTGATGTCAACAAGGAACATGTACTTACATGTACTTACATCATGAATTAAGAACAATTTGTCTCGCCTTGGTTAATCTTCAGAATGGACACACGTGGTAGGTGATCGCATAATGCACCTGGGCGTCGCCAGGATTTTTCTAGAGGGGGCAAAGCAAATTTCCCCCCCCCCCCCCCCCCCCCGAAGTCCCTGTACTTCTCCAGCATATCCTCGATTTATCATTTTCCGAGGGTGGGCAGGGACATTTGCCCCTCCCACCCTATTAAATTAACAGCAATATGAAATCCCACCTCTTTCTCTTTCCTTTTTTCTCATTTGTTTTCTCCCCTTTTTTTGGTTTTCGTTTTGTTTTTCCAGGGGGAAAAACAACAGAGGCAGGGGGGGGGGGCAAGCGCCCCGCCCCCTCTTGCCCTCCCCCCCCCCCCCCTGCGATGCCCATGATAATGGACCACCTGCAATTTTATAGAGTCAAAATTGACCCTCAGAAATACCCCTTTCATTTTGCACTTAGTAAATTAATGGCCATAACTTGATACTCAATAGGCTTGACCTCTAAATTTTAATGGTCCTTACATCAGCTGTGAATGGCAGGACACTGTCCGTTGACAATTGAAAGCATTGGGTGAATCACTGGTCAAGTTTAACTGACCATGACCAAACCACTGACCGTTGTCCAGCTCCGGCCAAGGACACAAGAGCCCATACCTTGACCAATGCTGCATTATCGCTCCGCCTGTTTTCCTTCCTCCATGATTGAGTCAATCTGCCTGTGGATCAACTTGTGTGCAGTGCATTTTAATGACAATTCATTTCTGTCCTGGCCTAGACACACTTGTTGAGCTTTCGTATAATGCAGGTAGCTGTTGAGCATGATGTGACTAGCATAATGGATTTTTTTTTTTGCATAATATTTAGGGCCATCTGGGAGGCTGGTTTGTTCATATTAAAACTACCTTTATTCACAGCCACAAATCAACATATGGCAGTATTTTTATGAGTGCACGCAACCGAGTACATTGCCATTGTCGTACAGTCATATAATTGTCAGTCAACCCCTACCCTACCCCCCCCCCCTAATAAAAGGCAGGAAAAAACAGCTGTTTCCTAGGTCATAGATAGACTTACATTCTTCCATCCAAGTTCCAGTACATCAAAGCCAACAGCTTTCAAGTTTTCGGTAAAACATTTTTGGGCAATGGTTTAACAATTTATCTAAAACTGTACCTATACACGCATTTCATATTGGACCCAGAATATTCATATAACATCCGATTTGTTGCCAAATGTCAAAGTAAGCATTAAATCCCCAGGGTTCCCTGACGCCACGGCTGGCTTCCCTTTCAACCTGATTCCTTTTTTATTGAATCCCTACGCGGATGTATTGAGAAAAACAAAAGCTTTGACAAGACCTTTTTGGCGAAAAAATATACAGGCCGGTTTTAACACCCTGGTAAAAATCACATTCCAAAACATATCCCCATTGCATCACTGGAATATGCCTAGAAAAACTCGGTAATATATACTGCAGCTTCCAACTCCATGACCATATTTGTTTGATGGTTATCCCCCCCCCCCAAAAGCTTGTATACGAAGGTTTTTTATTGTGCCTTTTGCTGTTTTGCAGTTTTTATGGTTTTTATTGTTAACAAGCCATCAAGTGAATGCGTGGGTGGTTGAAGTACAATACATCGTTAAGAATATATTTTTGGAAGGAGTGGCACGTACTGGGAGATGTCTGCTGTACTACATGGACAAATCAGGACAGATACATCTTCAATCTATTTTCTGTACTTGGTACAATTGTTTATTTCATTTTACTGACAAAGCTACAAAATATTTTTATGACGAGTTGAGAGTCATCCTCCACTTCCTGCTTTCAGAATCCAACAACATATAATGAACTAAAAGACAATATTATGACATGAAGTTTGATAAAATTACGGCATAAAAACTAAAACCAACTTCCCACATGGGACTATCTATAACAATATGCCAGCATATAGATTGATCTTTAAAATAGTCTCTCATGCTAATTGGGGACAACCAGACGTTGTCACATATGCTAATAAACCATCTACTAATTATATTCAATGTTCGAAGCATGCTCATGATTCTATGCAAGTATATTGTGTTAAAGACCTTCAACTTAACGATCAAAGAGTTCATCCGAAGGTAAACTAAGTGAGACTACTAAGAGCAAGATCACGTTTGCAACTTGTACATGCTTCATCCGACACTTAATGTCATTAAAAGATTTGTAAATTGGATTTAACGCAAGTGATGTCAACATTTTGACTTAATTATTCAAAATAACACACCCGGTGCATATCCAGAGTAACATGTTTGAGGTAAAATAAAAACATCTTAAAAATACCTTTGAAGAGAAGACATTCAAACAAATTGGAACATTGGAACAGGGTAAATTCAGTGGCCTTTTCCCCATTCCCTAAAAAGAACCAACATTTTTCTGGAATGAATTAAACACTTAGTAACAAAATTTAATCTGTGAACTAATACTGCTTTACCTGACGCTTCAAACATAAACACGTTCACATGACAAAAGAGGAATTTCCTACATAATCCAAAAATTGGGTCTAATTAGCATCTCACTTTATAAGACAAAAACTATTGATGAATTCTACTTCTGAATGTATGCAAAAGTACTTCAAAGCACAAGCAATGTGCAAGTGCACATGAATAATTTGCAACGAATTCATTTGAGGGCTAAACGAAACTGTGACTCTTCTAAAATCTTGAAAGTTAATTACCTAAATACACGTTCCTTTTTACATTTACAACATGTCTTCTTTTCTGGGTAAAACAATGTTATACAATACAAAATATGACTTTATAACCTACTTTAACGATTACATGGAATCACAAAGCGTCACAGATATGATCTGAAAAGAAATTTCCTCATTTAACTGCTATAAAGAAATTGTTGGTTTTTTTAATAAATATGTACGACCTTGAGTAGTTCTGGAAAACACGCACACACACAAAAATGCAAATATGTTCATGTGACTTTCAAAAAGATTTTTAAATAGTTACAACATATATTTAAAAAAAAATAACAAGTAGGAAAGGGTTTTACTGCATTGCTAGTTTCATAAATTGCATTGATATAAGATAAATGATGAATAACATGAACTGATTGTTTCATTGTCTGCTGACACAGAACGACTAACAAAATGTAGTATCATGTATCACAATCACATATATGAGTAGACAAGGTGTTGTGATACCAGAGCTTCAGCAATGTGACTTTTGCCAATCTAAGTAGTCGTAATGGGTCGGGGTGGGGGGGGGGGGGGGGGAAAGAAAATAATAGGGCAAGAAACAAGTATATGTGACGTGTTAAAGTAATTTTTTTAACAACTTTTTTCTCCCAAATAAATTACTTTTTACAAACACCCGATAGTTGCGTACATGTAAGAATGTTTTCAAAACCACATTACAACATAGCAAACCTTACAACTGATCCAAAAATCTATACAGACAAGAACTAAAAATAAAGGAAAAGAAAGATCTTCAGTAACAAAACTTTCTAAGAAAGTAGCACGGCACAAAAGATGTTACATGTATCTTTTGTTCGCCATTTTGTGAATAGTCAGATGTACACTTCAAAGATATGTAAACAGATTTGATCTGTCAATAAATATGAAAAAATAGCTAATTACAAACGTTACAAACAACACCGAGCAAAAACTACAAATTACAAAACAGAAACAATGATATTTTTTTTTGGCAATTTTGACAAACTAAAACCTCATTAATTTTGACAACAAAAAAATTATGAAGAGATTCAAGTATTCAGAAACCTTCAGGAGATTTTGTTATTAATACTGTTTTTCACTTTGTACACAGACCTTTGATTAAAAAAAAGGCATTATAAATAAGGTGGGTTGATTTCAGACAGTCCATTGTGCAATTGGCGGACAGGAGTTATTTCGCAAATGTGACACCTTTCAAATTCTGAAAAATACTTAAAAGTTGTTGTATTATTGTGAGTTTAATGTTGGCCATGAATTATGACGTTTTATCAGACGAACCCCATTTTCAATGGGTGTTGCTGTCGTGTTCACGTATGATCCTTCACACACTGCCAATGCACAATAGACAGACTCCAGCCTTCAGAAAAAAATATTCACATACAGCAACTAAAATACAAACTTTCCAAACTTTGTCAGATCAATGACAGAACTTAATGTTTGGAAATTAAGTTTGCTTCCACAAGTTGTAATGACACTTAAATAATCTGTAGAGTTCAGATCCAACAAATGTACATTACACCGTTTTCTACGAATAACTCATTAAAACGCATCTTTAAAATTTGAAGGGGAAAAAAACCCACATTTTTTTTCAGAAACAAAAAGATGCAGGCACATGGAACAGAAAAGTTTTGACACCATGGTACCTTGTGACATTGAAAAACTTCTTTCACAAACAGATATTTTAGACTTCAGACAAAAAGCGTATATTGCACTCCTAAGCTAAACTGCTCATGTATTCATTAATGAAAGCTACCAAATGAAATCCTGTTGCTGGATTCAAACTGAAGCAAGTATGCCTGAGACTGAACAATAAAAAAGCATACAGTTAACTCGCATTCAAACAAACTCAGCCGAAACTGTTCATTTTTGTTTTATCTGAATTATATATTCACAGGAGCGCCTAAACATGCACGATCGGGACCGAGAATTTATTGTTCAGTTTATGTTCATTATCACCAAAATGTTGTAACAGAGTTTGAATTAATGAGAGTCAACTACATGTAAACATGAACAAAAGTAGGTAATGTATGATATGAGTGTCAAGCTGAGTTGTGGCCGAATCATTCGACTTGGATTGGACACTCATCAGAGAGGGACTCAATTGACAAGAAGATGCGAAGTCTCTGTTGGATCGGTCCCCTACAGTGAGGACAAACCTCCACCTGTTCAGCGCAGGCCCCACACAACAGGTGACCACAAGGGAAGAAGGCTGTATCCAGACGGGTGGCCATGCACACCTTGCAGGTGAAACCGTTCGTGATTGTCTCCAGTTTGTTCTGTAGGACTTTAACACTGGATTCTTCGTCCACGCCGGTCATTGCACAGGCTGCTTCCTCCTGCTCTGCAGGGTCCGTGAATGGACTCTTGGTCACAGTAGCCCCGGCACGATGCAACGTTCTTCTGGTGTGGTCATACACCTCTTTCCAAGTGCGCTGCACGTCAAACATGAACTTCTTGCCGTATTCGGTATTCTCAGTGAAGATGGAGGCCAGGGTCCCCTTGAAGTCGCGCACGCACTCCGATCGGATCTCCTTCTGGACCGTATCGCAGATGAAGAATTCGTGTTTCTCCGTGATGGCTCGGTACAGTGCCTCTGCGGCCTCTTTGCTCTGAAGTTTGACTGACGTGGTGACTGGAGACAACTCGCCGTTGACTTCGTGTGGATAGGTCACGCTGAAGCACTTGCCGTTAAGTGACTCCTTCAACATCAGATCAAGACCAATTCTGCAAGTGATAAATAGAAAAATACTTTGTAAATTGCCTTTAAATAACAGTAGAAATCAACAAATATTTTTTTCGAAAAAGGAGAAATGTCATGTAACAGAAAGTACAATTTTGAATTTTCTTTAGCTGCTCAACTTTTATTACAGCAAAATGTGCTTCATTCATTCATGTTTTCTTTATAAAATAACAAATTGAACTTCTTTAATCACAGATTATTTAGTTTGATGGATTTTCCCAGGGTTTAATTCAATGTCCAATCCGTCTATTTGTTGCGGAGATCCCTTAGCGCTTGTTTGCATTGAAATCCAGGCTATGTAAAGACCCTACAGTCCCAACAATAGCTGGTGCGTGTTCCACGCTTCAGTGAGTTTCCAGTTCAGCCCCACTGCCTAACACTTTGACATCCGTGTAATAAACAAAATCATAAATCACTGCGAAGGTGCCAGGATTCCTAAGCTTACCACATGAACCCCCAAAAAAGTGTCTCCACTCCTTAACAGGTGGCATTGTGTGCAAATCTCTGACTTATTATGTAAACGATTGGGTTATATAAATATAATGGAACTTCGAATGGTACAACTATAGGATATTATTGTAGCAAATCAGAGACAAAGTGCTCAGCTAGGCTAAAAATATTGCTCAGCATAAGCAATTTTGTGTGCGAAGCAAAAAACATACATGTACACGAGAATCAGTCACATGAACATCACATGTCACTTGGACCATTGCCACTAAAATGCCAGCCCTGTTTTTTTTTGGTCTAGAGATTAGCCACTACAAATGCCTTGCATTGCATGATTGGTGCATGAAGGAGTCATTGTGCAAGGCAAAGCCCAGAACAGATTTATTTGTGGTTGGATATTTACGCTCAAGTAACCAGCATAGTATTAATTTTGAAGAGATACTATAATACAAAAGTATCCATGTACTAAATAATATTTTTTTTGGACAAATTACCTTAGATGATATACTGCCTCTGCAAGTTTAGAGGAACATGCTTTAAAAATATGACCAGGATTGAAAATGAAACTGTATAAGTAAATGTAGACACAAGTGTCCATTAAAGGAAGAGGCGTAAAGTGTCTGTGACTGACAAAAACAGGAAATGAAATTCTTAAGTCTGTTAAATTGTTGTCGACGACTGTTTCAGAATATTAATCTCACCTTTCGAGGCATTCCATCTTGGGCTCGGTGCTGTACAGATGAATACCGTGTGGGCCGACGCCAAACAAGACACTCCTTCCGTTGGTATCCTTCGCGTCGTAGAGCTCCACTCCGTAACTCTCCAGTGCCGCCACCTCCTGGAAGAACTTGTGCTCGGCCTGGGACTGTTTCATACCGCGCAGCCTGATGTGCTCCGCCATGACCTGCGTGATGAAGTCATCATTACAGCAAGTGTCTGGAAGGCTGGCGTAGTGCTGGCTGTGTGGGTTGTAGTTGCCTTGCTCGGCCTGGGCTAGCAGGGCGGCGAGACGAGCTGTTTCCTTGACCGAGGCGATGAGTTTGCCGTTGACAAGGTCTAATTTCAGATCTTGGAAGAACAGCCGTCTGCAGAAATGAGAAAAAAAGGAATGACATGTTAATTCACAAGAAACACATTTAGTTTTTTTTTGTCTCAAATTGTCTCATTGTTTTCATGACAATAAATTTGATCTATCAAATATAAACGCAATGCCACTATCGCATGTAGAGATCAGCAAATAATTAACTTCTTCTACAATGTACGTTGTTATTAACTGATCTGAGAAGAGTCTGCCATTTACAGAAAAAAAAATCATCAAATTATTTTGTTAACTTTATTAGATATCCTGGCTACATTCAAAAGCCTTCAGTGTTCGTATTCTTATTTTCACCAACACTTTAGTTCCCCCCCCCCCCAAAAGATGTTGAACACAAAGATTATTTTCAAAATTATCTTAAATTCTCATCGATCTCAGCCTTTCTCACCCCAGGGTTTTTTTTTGTACATGACATGATCCAAGTTTCCTGTACATAATGTATACATGTGTATCTGCCCACTCATAGGCCTCATCATCTCATGAGCCCCTTTGGCTTTGAAACAATGTGATCTAGACACAAAATTCAATAACGCCGACATTCCTTCGGGGTAAAAAAAGAAGAGACAAAAGTGATTAGTCAGTCTGAATTTACAAATTCAAGTAGGGCTATATTGGGACAATTCTGGTATGAGTGTAAAAAAAAGTTGTCATTTCGTTAACAAAACTAGAAAAACCAATAAAATTTACAAACCCTACTTCTTTTTGTTCTGGGAGAAGTTTCTGGGTTTTTTCAAATTGAAATCCCGACCTCCCTTTTGTGTGGTCCCCGTGTACATGTTCCACCATGTACAAAAACCAACTGTGTGGATCTCTTGCCACTGAACCATGAACATGGATACTACATCAAACTTAAATTGCAAAATAACAGATTAAATCAAACAAAACTGTTTGATTATCATTCATGCAAATGCATAAAGAAAAAAAACAATGGGTTTAAACCATGCATACATAGTTTTCTTTTTATGCTGACAGACTTGAAGCATTTCACTGTCTGTTCGAATCATTAATCACATGAGCGGGTATGTGTGCAGTACGTGCATTAATGGAACAACACAAAACACGCCCACATTGCATTGTATGCTGATTAGCTACCAACAAAGCAGTGACTATATAGTACCACTGCATATTAGTTTTATTGCGCCATGAAATCTGGTTTCACAGAATAGTTGTTTGAGACTCATTTCCAAAGATAAATGCATGGCAACTTTTACTTCGTTTTACATAAAGTTATCTTATTAATAAATTAATTACTAGAAAATTAATATGTAAATTGGCGTGTAAAACTTAAAATACAATTTCAATATTTTTTTCCACATGCCGTGGTTAATCAATGTTAATAAAGTTTGCCACCACTTTGGTAATGTTCAGTTACACATGATTCATGTTCAGTTACACATGATGTTACACATGTAAGCCCATGATAAAAACCTGCACCACGTATGTATAATGCATATATTATTAAAGCCACTCCCATCAATAGTTAAATATTCATCGATCATGTAAGAATGCATTAATGTTCAGTCATGGTTCAGCCTTCACCTCACCCTGTGACCAGGTTGCTTGACCCATAATTGACCACTCACTGACCACAAGACACTGAATTATTTATGCCTGTGATGTCACAAAAATTCCAAGGCTTCTTCCCTGAACTGTTTAGCATTGAATGAATAGCATGCACAATGCATGCAGTGGATGCATGCTGTCATGTCAATATTGGGCCTGGAGAAAAAGTTTGTTGCACTGATGTTATTTAATTGTGAGTGAGATCGGGAGAGGACTAATGCCCCTGTGTAAACAAGGAGTGCCTGGGAGTGTGTAAACAAAATTCTTTTTACTGATCTGTTGACTTGAAGTACAGGGAATTCACTTTAGCTTTTCATTGTTTCTTTCTTTTTTGGAAAGGGGTGGGGCGCAGCAAATGGATACAAGACTAGTTACATAACAGGATATAAACGTACAATTAAACTCTCCCATTAAAAGAACCCAAAATTCTTTCCTTCTTGATCAACAACCTTGTTTTGAATTTGATGCAAATTAAAAAAAATACTTAAGACTGAAAAAAAAAAGTTTATATACAGAACCAATTCAGGGAAACTGGCCTAAATACAAACTGAAAAGGGTTGCTTGACACTGCATGCTCACAACAATCACTCAATTCGATAGCAAAATTAGGATTTGGTATCAGCAATGTCCCTAGAAACTATTATTGTTGTTTAGATTAGAAGTGGAGTTCAAAAGACAAGGCAGGCACCTGTGTACACAAAGCCTGGCATCTATCAGGGGAAAAGTTTGTCGACCTGATGTGTTTACATCTAGGCTTTATTGCCAGGATTGTGAGCTGGATTTCAAGGTAACACAGTTTTATAGAGGAACTTGCTCATAAAATAACACAGATTGGCGTCCAGAAAATACGCTTAAGTGTTTGTAAAGGCAGCCTCTTGGAAAGCTGTCTTGAAAACAATTGCTCGCCCAAGGTTTGCCTTTGTAAACAAAACCTTACATTCCCCCCCCAAAAAATGTAAAATCCTAGCGGTTTCAATTCCGATGCATATTTTTTTGAAGGGGCCACTAAATTTGTATTAGTTTACATGTATCACAATGACGGAATGCCAGCTATCACCGACACTTGTCGGAGGAATTCTATTCTTTATTGCTAGATAATAGCATCTAATTCTGGCAAAACATGTTGTCAGAGCCATGTGTACAATAAATGTCAAAAATGCAGAGCCTTTGTAAAAACTTTAACTGTAAACAGTGACTATACAACATGACTCAGATTTCAGATCACTTTTAAATAAGATTCTGAAAGATGCCAAATTCATCAAACTGACACTCCTTATAAATTCTTTTACAAAAGGTCCCACTGCCTGACCACGATGAGTAAACGCCATTTCAATTTGATTGTGGTGTGTGTTGCATGTCATGACATGTCTTTCCACACAAGTCAACCTGAGGAAAACTCCCCCACCATTTTCAATGATGATGTCATTGTATTGTGCAATCATTGATAGTGTCGGACTTTGCATGCATTATTGCACTGAGCAGTCATCAATGACACACAAAAGACTTCCCACTTCTTACATAGCTCTTCAACAAGTTATTCAATGAGTATTGTTGCAAATTACTTGATCATCTAAAGTAACCTAAGTACGAATACTGCAAACAGATATTGTTTACAAGAAAACATTGAGAAGTACATCATTGAAGTTTTGGAAAACTAGTAAAAAGTACATCATTGAAGTTTTGAAAACTATTTTAGAATTTAGCAAATTTAGACATATTTTTTTAGGCCCACATCAAATTCCCAACATTACTTTCTTGAAAAATTAATGAGTCTTGAATCTTCTGTCAAGAATATCACATGGAATACAGCTTACAAGGAAATATATCTTATAAGTGCAAAAGATGATTTTTGATTGATATTACCTTGCCTCCTCTACTATATTTAGTCCGGTATTTCATGCTTTTCCATAAATTTATAACTCTTAAAACCAATGGTCAGGCAATATTCTGTCAGAATTGTTCCAGTAAAGAGGTGATAGTAGTAGTGGAGAACTAAATTACAATTTCAGAAGATATTGAAGCTAGAAAAGAAAACAAAGACTGATAAAAAAAGACGAGATATTTTATAAGATCCTACCTCGTAACTTCTTGCTGGACTAAATGTGGCTGTACATGAAATTTGACACGAAGCTGCAGTCGAAGAGGTGACGAACCGGTCACCTGAGAGTTGATCGGGTTTCGTAGGTTCAGCCACATTGGGTCACCACCGTTTTTCCTCGTAAACTGCAACCCAAAGTAGTCACTCTCAATCGTTCCTAGTTTCTGACAGACCTGTCAAAAAAATAAGAACAAGATTTTAGTGAATTTGCAAAAACAGCCACTTGGGCCCACTTTGCTACAAACAGGACCGGTTAAACCTAGTTTAGTTATTATTAAATAAGTATAAACTCACGATTTTACAAAGACTTTGAAATTTTTACAACCAAAAGGAAGTTCTAACTTGCAATAAAACAGCTAAAACATTGCAATAAAATAGCTGAAACATTGCAATGAAATAGCTGAAACATTTATATAAGATAGGCCTTATTAAGTTTGAAAAAAGCTATTGGAATTTCAGTTCAATCCTTCAGCAGTGACAGTGTATGTTTGGTTTAAACTGGACCTAGTGTCAAAAACATTTTAAAGCTTAAAAATCAACATTATTAAAAAAAAAGTTCAGAGAGATTAACAAAAACTACTTCCAAAACTGTGGGTCCTAAACTAAAACGAGAGCAAAAAAGAGATAAACAATGAAACAGAATTTTATCAGGTGGAGTTTTATATGATGATTACAGACTGTTATTTTGACAAGATTGATGATGATGTTGTCGGTTGTATTTGTAATTAAATTCATTCCTGATTCTTTCTTCGTCAAACCATGGACGTAGATGTGAAATTAGAAATTAAGTAGGCCCTAAGTTAATTTTGTTTTCTTGTAACATTTTGAGCTCTATCCACCAATGAGAACCGCAATTAAAATACTAAAAATACCAGCAACCGGACTGATTAAAATTCTGGAAGTAACTTTTAAGTTAAGTAGTTGCGGAATGCATAAGACGGAACGGAAATATTAACAGAAAGAACAATGACAACTGGTATTTAATTTTAAACCAGCTGATGGAAAAGCTAGCTAAAATAAATTCAATGTTTCCTTACCTGATCGAGGCATTCTTGTCCCAGCGATTTGGGGTTAACTTCGATCTCACAGATGCTCTGATCAGGCTTTTTCACGAGCACGATCATTTTGGCACATTCAGCTAAACTTGATCAGCTAGAAATGAAGGATTTAAGCACTAACAGTTCCACAAACTGTCCTCATTTCAGGAATTCACCCAACTCTCTTGCGAAATCCTCACAATGGATTGGTAATCGTATCCATCCACTACACGTCACTTTTTTTCATTGAACGCAAATAGCAGTCATGCAGTAGGCCATGTAGGCAGTAAAAGACCTGCTTTCGATTTAACATTGGGATGAACCAATATCTACGTGAGGGGTGAATACTTTCAAAATGCAATACAATTGACTTGAAAAAATAAGTATAAAATAACAGTATTGTCAATATATAATAAACAAAGTTATCATTTAGTATTATTATATTTTTACCTTTATAGAAACGTTATATTATTATTGAAAACAAAACAGCAAATAAAATAGAAATTTTGAACTCCTATTTTGAGTGGTACATTCCTTTTGTATTTTGTGACAAACAACAGCGATCATGCACGTGCAGCGTGCAAGAATTACCAGAAAACCAATGGCACCGCACGGAGACAGGGGTCTAAATATTCTGACCAATCAAAAGGGGGAATCCTTCCAGCTGGCGCTACGTCATACCTGTTTACCGCAGGAAAACCCCTGCCCTGGCAGGCGTCCAGCTGCGTTACCAGGGTCGCTTCAGGACTTGTCAAATTTTGTTTTAACCAACAGAACTTCCTCAATCTTATCTTCAAACTCAGATAAGGATTAAGTTATGTGCTTTTCCTGTAACGGTTCACAGTTTGATGTAAACAACAGTCTCAATGGATTCAGCTCCAGGCTTTGTGAAAACGAAACGGTTTATTTGAAAAACTAGCGAGTGCAATTGTATGCTAATTTTACAATGTCAAGGTTGATGGGTCATGCATTATGCATTTCCACTCCATTCAGGTCAGCTCGTCAGCTGACTAAGCGCGTGACTACAAAGGGAATGTGGGCGGGTGAACAATACAACGGTTTTTAATCCCCGTTACTAAAACATTCTTTAGGGGATATGTCATAATATTCTACAGGACCATTTTCATTCAAGGCTCTGAAGTTTGACAGCTCAGCATCGTATTATTTGTAAGATCGAAGTGGTGTGAAATTGCGCCCACAACAAAAGTACAGGAACAAAACCGGACCGGAAGGTATTGGCCGGCTGCAGTAGATTCATCAGTTCAAACGGGGGCGTGGGTGCCGGTGGGGGTGTTGTCGGCCAGATTGCGAAACCTTCAATTCTCCCTTTATTGTGGATTAAAAATGAGAAATAATATTACTGTTTATTGACTATTGTTGTAATTATAAGTCTTCATAAAATTTTAAAAATAATTAAGAATGCAATGCAAGTGGCGGGGGAAGGGGGAACGCATGCCGGGAAAATGCACGTGCCCCCGCCCTCCCCCCCCCAAAAAAATTGTCCGTGCCCCCCCCCCCCCCCCCCCCCCCACCACCACCACCACCACCACCACCACCACCACCACCACCACCTCCACCACCACCGAAATACTGATGCCTCTTTTCCTTCCCGGCAACCAAAAGTTGTATTTTTTTTCAGTTAGCCAATAAGGCTTACTGTTTACAATTTCTTATGTCAATGGATATAGCGAGGATATATGGGGCCCGCGACCACTGGGAAAAACTGCAATAGGATGTTTGCGATATAATGTGCCATGATATTCTGATGCCCCCCCCCCCCCCTGTGTATGGGCGCCCCCCCCCCCCCCCCCCCACTAAAAAAAAGGCCTAGCCGTACGCCAATGTCTCGAGCTGCTGCAGAAAACTTGAAAATGGTCCTAATGAACAGGCATTATTGTGATGCGCATTATGATCATAATATATGGAATTTGCACAATATAACAAAATTATAAACTAATATTATTATTAAAGAGGGCGCTGTCGTAAATAATGTGATTCCGTGGATGGTTATTTTTTCAAACAAAAATGTTGACCTGTAAGCCCAACCGTTTACTATTCCTCCCAAGGTTTGGATTGGGGTTGTGGGACCGTATTCTACCGACTTTCCTTACACATTCAGTGTTGCCAAGGCCTTTAAAGGGAAGATACAACATTTGCAAACCTCACAAAACGAAATCATCAAATTATCACAAAATACCTCACTGGATTGTTATGGAATGACAGTATAAAGCATCCTGTAAAAGCGTGGCTCATGGTGTGCTGACATTTTCAAGAAAAATTGTATTTTTCCAACGCTGGTGGGCCGACCAGCGTTGGAGAAAACTGGCTTTTTCAAAAACTGCAAAAACTGCAAGAAGTCTTTGCAATCGATTACACACTTGTGAAGGGGCACAAGCCTGCTAATGCTAGACTTGATTCTCTGTCCTTACAATTCCCCAAAGTCTATACATTTTCCGTTTTATCTTAAGTGGGGTCAGGGAACCAGACTACAAGAACATGAATGGTTTTCTTGTTTTTCCAGCATATACAAGCCCAAAACGTGAAACAAGTCACTTTAACAATATTTGCTATAACATGCTAATCCTCCAAATCCATTTACTTCTGAAAATTGAAGCACACTAAGCAAGTGTTGTACATTCCCTTTAAGGCCATATGTTGCCCAGATTCGTTGACCAATGACCGGTCGTTGTTTTCGAGTTTTCGAGTTTCATCCCGAAAAATAAATTACTTTGCTATTTTTTTAGCAATTCAAAAGTTATTAAATTTTGGGGAGAAGGCGTTTTTGGGGTGTGACAAAAACGGACCAATCACACAGTCTGATTGCCGGCAACTTGCGCTCCACTGGCTCTATTACGAAATGCACTTTCTTGGTTTCTTTGGACATATTTAACCTTGATTTGCCGGTTAACGTTTCTCGGAATATTTGATAACACGTTTTGTTTTTTCCCCTGAAAATTATGTTAATTTTCCTACCTCCATGATTAAATTTAATACGAATTAAAAAAAATAATCATGGGCCTACCTACATATAACCGCGAGGGGGCGCTCTTTACTTTTCTCATATCGCGGTATTCGATCTTTGCAACGTGAGTTTAGCTTAAAAGAAAAACCGGTATATTTACTATCGAATTACTCAGTTTTCTCTTATTTTCCATCGAAATGTCGTGTCCTAGGCTCCTTCAGCAGTCTGCCAGTTTGTGTTCTAGAGTATGTAGAGCGGCTGTTTTGACAACTCGACCGAATTTTACAAAAGTAGGCCTAGCATTAGCAAGACAACAACTTCTGCCATTTTGCCGTCAAGGTCAAACTCCAAGAGAATTCAGTTGCACATCAGCTGTGAATGCAGGTAGGCCCTCCATTCTGTTTTCATTAATAGAGCAGAGTCATTTAGAATAGACCATAGCTCCATCAAACGTAGTAATAGTATAAACTACTCGAAACAAGTGCTAGAAAAAGTAGAAATGATAATACCAAAATGCATGCTGATTTAATTACATACACATACAGTCTCAGCTGCTCAGTGACGGTTGACTACCCCACTAGTCTCAGCCTCAGGAACATCAACTTCAAGCATCTTGGTCAGATGAAAAATAGAAAAAAAGTCAGTCCCAAGTTTATGTTTTTTTAAACGCTTCATATCGCAGTGGCTATTTGTTAAGGAAGTCGACCGTCTGGTTTCCTGACATTAGTATTCAACGTCAGGATCTTTACTTCTTTGAACCAGACTGTCAGAGCCACAGGAAAGATTTCCATATAAGAAGTTCACTAATTTTCCTCTGTATTGACTAACAAGCCCCCAGATAACAATTTTATGTCATCAAAGTCAATTTGAGCAGTGAGAAAATACAAGCATTTTCTTAGAAAACACTTAGAATTTTTCAGTCCACTCTCATAGGGTTTGTACACAGGGTGTTGAGTGAACTTCTTATATGGACATGATGGAATTGGAAATCTTTCCGAGCCACATATTAAGATGAAGAAAATGAAGTCTACTTCAATAAAAAGTAGGATTTGATTAAAAACCATAAAAGTAAATGAAAATAGGCCCTAGTAGAAGAAAAAAAAATGAAAAAAAAAATTGGCATTGTACGGATTTGATGCCAGGACCTTCGGCATGGAGTCAAGCATTTAACCAATTAATCAAGCTGCCAAAGCACTCTGGTTTGATTCGGGATGGTGTTTTTGCAATAAACGATAGCAGATAAAAATCATGTCACACTTAATTACAGCTGCCGTAACGATAACCACTATATTTGCAGTCAGTCTCTATGGTGAAAAAACATAAGCCCCTTGTTAATGCACTCCAGTAGTAGTACCATTATTTATTTTATAAAACTCTCTTTACATGTTTTGGCCTAGGAAATTGGAATTCAATATTTACTGGGAAAGTAAATCACGGTTTATCTTAATACACTTTGTATAGCCTACGTTTTGTGTGCTTTTGGTGAATGCTTGGTTTTACAACCTCACACTATTCGGTATTCCTTGGCCTTTTGGTCAGATCGTTTATTCTCCAAGGATCATGAGTGGCTTCTACCAGATGACGCCAAGAAGACAGCAACAATTGGAATCAGTGACCATGCCCAGGTATGTCAAGATGAACGTAATTTGTTGACTTTTTTTTTCTCTAACGTGATAGAATTGCCCCACATGGAACCAAGCTGAAGGCTAATCCTCTGAGCTGAGAACAGAGTGATCCATTACCCATTTGGTGTTTCGACCAATCCAAGCCATGATATCCCCTAACCTTCCCAAATCCCCCAAAATGCTCTTTGCAAATTGGAGGATTTTGCAGGATTGAGGTTACATGGCAAAAGTGTGTTGCTGATTTCGGAGGATGCACTGTGTCAAGGTCTTGGGCTGGACCTTGTGTCGTTTACGCTCAGTCGTGCATAAATTTAGGCCTAGATTATACGTGAAACCCTCCGCACTGCTCCAGGATGGCACTGGCTCTGCCTCAACATTATTGACAGTGATTGCTGGAGGTTTGCTGGGGCAGTGCTCACCCCTCCAAGGACCACATTCAAGGAACAACGGAGATTTTGTAGGATTGAGGCTGTATTCATAGTTCAAGTTCTAATGTATACATGTATAATTAACCACAGGCCCATTTTTCCTGCAGTGAATTCTTCTCCATGTTTTGCCCATTTTTCTTCTGCAATTTCAGGAGGCACTGGGAGACATTGTATTCATTGAACTGCCGGAGGTCGGAGCAAAATTTGCACAATCCGGTAAAGACAGTTAAGAATGTTTCCATAAAATTAAGTTGTCAAAATCTCCTCAGACACCCATCATGTCATTCTTCATTTTTGTGAAGATGGTAATGGTTTATGGTTTATTTTTTCATATATCACAAAAACATAAACAAGAGTCTATATATAAGAATGACAAAACTGATACGAGGGATCTAGGTAAAAAGCATATGTTTGTACAAGACCTGGCACCAGTAATAACAAGTTAAGCTAATAAATTAATATTTACATACTCTAGGCTGAATTATATCAGGTGAATACATGTATACTAATTAAATTGAAGAGAAATTAAATTAACAGCAAATATTCACATTCGTATGTATATACATGTATACTTTTACAAGGAAATAAATCAATTAATTACAATAATACCGGAGAGAAAGGAAGAGGGAAAGGAGCAAGAAGTGGCCTAGGAATTATAAAACAGTGATACTTTTCAACAATCCGTGACATGACATGAAATTTAGTACTTAATTATCAGTATAATTTGTCAATAGCAACGGTTTCATGTAGTTTTGGAAGTGCTTCATTGATCTAAAGATAAACATTGGTTTGAGGTGGTTTGAGGCTTTTGAGAAGTCCAAAAATAAACCGACTGTGTGAAGGGAGTTGTCAAGTGAGGAACTTACGTGTATTTTATCAATGAGGTCAATCAGTGCCAAATAAGTTCAATAGTTGCCCCTAAAACCGTACTGAGTCGATGACAAAATATTATATTTATCCATAAAGTTATACATTTGATTTGCTACAAGTCTTTCTAATATTTTTGAAAAGTATGGTAAAATAGAAATAGGACGGTAGTTACTTATAAGGGATGGATCGCCATTTTGGGAATAAGTTTAGCTATTTTCAAATGAGTAGGTACTTTTCCTGATTCGAAGGTTAAAAATTGTTTTCAAAGGATTTAGGATGTACAGTGCTATATCGTTAATAAAGTGATGATCGATCTCATCATGTCCTCTGCTTTTTTTTTACCGAGAAGTTTAATAATACAATTACAAAGTTCTTGGCTCTTAACCCTTCAGAGAATTTCCGCTGCCTCAACTCATAATTTGAAAGCTTGTAACGGAGTTACAAATGTAGCCAAATATTGCTTTTGTTGTCTGGGGCACCATTCAGAGCCAACATGCTAGCTCTCCGTTGGCAGGGAGTTAAGTTTGGCGTGCCTTAGTTACATTCAGCCATAGTATTCTTTCACCAAATCAATGAACCCATTCGTGATTTGAATGAGCTTACCAATTCCTATCTGTACTAAGAAGATTTCTTTATTAGAAAACTGCAGGTCATTGGTTCGAATCTCACCATGTTCTTAACTTTTCATTTTGGTTCCTGTGTTCAGATTCCTTTGGTGTGGTTGAGAGTGTGAAAGCTGCCAGTGACCTCTATGCTCTGATAGATGGAGAGATCACGGAGGTCAACGACGCGTTGTCTCAAACACCGGAACTTGTTAACAGTGACCCACTAGGAGCAGGTTTGAAGAAATCATCCTCTCTCCCCCCTCCCTCCACTCCCCCTCCACTCCCCCCACTGCCCTGAAAAGTTTTGAAAATAACCTGGGGAAACTCAACGTTTCGAACGACGGAAAAGAGCATACTGTCCCAGATGTTGAGTTTCCCCCGTTCTTTTCAGAACCTCACAAACGCACAAATGAGATTTGTCACATAGTGCTACCGTAAATCTTGATCTTAATAACTGACCATTTGTTGTAGATTAAGCCAGTAGCACTTGTATTACACTGTATTACATTGTATTTATTCCCTAATGAATCCATATTCATTATAGAGAGTTGGGGCGGTTTGGGGCAGTACAGGGAGTAACAGGCAGGGCAGTTTAGGACTGTACAGGGGCAAATGGCTTAAATTGCAAAACCTACCATAGGAATTTTGAAAAATATTTTTTATTTACCCCTTTCTCTTAATAGGATGGATGATCAAAATGACCATTGCAAACCCAGCCCAACTCAACGATCTGATGACGGAAGATGCATATCAAGATTTCCTTAGTGAAACTAAAGAGGAATAATAGAAACAAAATATGATTTTCTCCATTTTTTTTGTTTTGAGAGTAGAACTTTAAGTCCTGTAAATAGGGTGATGTGACAGCGGCAGATGCCTGCCTGGAATGTGCAAGTGTTCCCTTCTCCAAGAAAATGAAGCAAACAGCAAATTATTGAAAGTCTATGCAAAGTTGTGTGATTTGTGAATTTGAAATAGTCATTGGACTCAGTGTATGATATCATTCACTTGGTGTTACCGCAAACCTCCCATTCTTTAGTACTTGGCACTTTTTTGCCAATAGACCATTTATCATGTTGCGGCCATCTTGATTTTTCCCATTCAAATCAATGTAACCAAAGCGAGACTGGAAGGGAAAATAGTCAGGTTTCTTTTTGCGCAAAAACAAATATCATTCAGTACTGTTATTGGATACAGGGAACATGACTGAAATGGTGGCAGCATGATAAAGGTCTATAGACCTGAAACATTGCAGGTGTCTCTAATGGTGTTCTTTGTTATTTGAACCCTCCTATGCAAACATACATTCTGTGCCATGTTGTCCTTGCAGTCAAAATCAATCAAGTGACTATTTTCAACAGTTCAGAGCTCCCAGCCTACATAAAGCAGAATTGACTGGCTGTGACTGTTTATGTAACTTGATACAGCTATGCTTTGACTGTAGGTGATTGATAAGCCAGCTGTGCCTACCACTCGCCTGCTTTTGTCTGCTGACTGAACTTGACTAGTCACAGTGCTTGCTTGAAATATGATCTGACTGTTGGTGACTAGCCTGTGTAAAAGGCATGGCGGGGAAAGAGGATTGGTTTTTTTGACTGTCTGTGACTGTTCAGATAGAAGGAGGTTTCAATAACAATGCATGCACACACAAGTCTTTTCATGCCTATCCTGGTGATGCAAAGCCATTGCCCTCTAACGCCGCCTCAACGCATAGGGTCTATGCTAACAAGACACAAAGTAAGCATGACTGCAGCGTCTCTGTGTGAGCGCCTCATACAAGGTTGCAATGGCATTCCCGAGTTTACCAAACTCTCGCTTTGTCACTGATGGGGGGGGGGGGATTTAGAAGTCCATAGTGTCAATAGTTAGCTCACATTTCCCTGCAATATAAAAACAAAATTGGCCTCAAAATTATAAGCAGTTTCTCTGCCCAACTTTAAAGTTATTGTAGGGTTTTAACCCCAATGAGCATGGGTTGATGTTGTTACTAGCCCAGGTGGTCGCCCTTACCTCCCTACGTTACCTCAGTTGTAATGCCATGAAGACGTCGTCCAGCCTGGGCTAATGTTACTACCCTGGCATACAAACTCTAGTGTCTTGAATTGAATTTTTGTTTTGTTTTTAATATGTAATGGTTTTAAACCATCTTGGAAGTCGTCATTTTGGAATGCTTGGTTTTAAGCAACTGGTATAAATGACGGAAATTTTTCAAGTCTATTTTGGTCAGTAAATCTGACTACAATCAGAATAGGCTAGGAAGGATTGAGCTAGATCTGTGGTGATGTGTAGCATGAGAGTGATGGAAAAAAAAGAAGTTTCTTTTCATTTTTGATTCATTAATACCTGTGCACTTCAATTTAACTTGCACGACATTAGTTAATGACATAAAAAAAAAATCAGGATCAACTAAAACCCTCTTACGTACTAGAATGCTTCGTGGTCGGTACCGACTTTTAGAAGCAAACCTTGGCCGGTACTGGCTGGGTTATGGCTGTATAATGGTTTGGAACTTAACAATTAGAGTTGTACTTGTCACTTTTTCAGCCTGCACTGGTTTGAAGCTATATAAAAATGGGGATTTCTTGAGGAATTAAGCCTTTGATTGGCCAAAATAGAGCTTATTTGTCTCCAGCACAGTGCGTACTGGGGTCATACTGCTTGCTCTGACATCAACATGGAAGTTAGGATGAAAAACTTTGAATGAAATAACTTTAAAAAGTTTTGCAGTGTGTGTAAACCACAAAGGTTTATAGTGAAGAAACAAATGGTGGAAGGGGGCTTGGCTAGATCGATCGCTCGTGGTCCAAAACATAAATGTGCCAAAATTTGTGGGGGTAGGATAAGGTAAAATGAGGGTTAGGGTCTTGAAAGTTAGAATAGTTGTGTGCACAAGCCTATGGGAATGTCTCCCCTAAGGTATTCTCGGTAATAAGAGTCTTCATATACGACTTGAGGGTTTGCATGGTGGACATGATCGATAGGAAGGGAGGTTTGCGTCAACATCATGTGAATGATATCTCTTTTAGTGAGTTGTGTGGTTCTTCTCGGAACCGGTTCCTGTCAGAACCACACAACTCACTAAAAGAGATATCATTCACATGGTGTTAACCCAAACCTCCCTTCCTATTAACCCGCCGAAGCAGAAACTAGCCCTTTTGGGGACCCAATTTTTTTAATTACCTTAATTTAAAAAAAAAAATTCGAACCAATTCTGGTGATCTTCCATCTAATCCTAGCCAGAGACACCCACTACGGATATATGCAGTCACTTTTAGTGTGTGACCCCGGGTCAGGCATATCTGAGCCTGACAACATGGGCTTAGGACCGATGCAATTTCTGCCCACCCGGGGACCCACCATATACACGTGCACAAACAAGATCACTTGCGGGTAGACAGTGCACGGCTTGACCACAGACTATGTATACAATACACCTCCTTAGTCCACAGACATGGCAAGATTGCGTTCATTTGGATACAGTGTTGTGTAGCCTCAAACCGTGGCGCTAAATATTTGGGTCCCCGGGGGACCCCTTACTGTAAGTGTGTTACTAAATGGGCTTTCTGCGTCGGAGGGTTAAGAGTCATCACGAAATGCTTCACAGTATTTTTTTACATGCTTGAGGTACTCACTGGTACTTATTGCTGATTAGTTGGGTGTGTCCTCGATAAATGCACCAATTGATTTAATACGTGTGTACCCAGAGATATATTACAAACTCTCTTTGCCATGTCTTAACTAAGACAGACTGGTGTATGGTTCGTTTGAGATTACTTCTTTTTTTTGTTTTTGAAAGTATTCTGGAAATATTACTCATTGTTTGTTTTTGTGACAAAAGCAGATGAAATTCAATCACCGCAGCTGTATATATAAGAAATACAAACCTAGAATGGCACTAGTTGCCTTGGGCAATAGATGTGTTTGAGTGAACTATAAATACATTATCTTCAACGAATTTTGGAAATACTGAGAACTGCGAACAGGGCATTAATTTGAAATATTGCATTTCACTTTAAATATATGTTCGTTTATTTGAGCTCCCAGGGGATATTTCTTTTTCCAAACAGCATTTTGGCCCAAAATCCTTTCTTTTTCATTGTACACCCCACTTTAGGCGCCATTCAAAATTATCAAGGTTTATTAAATTTCAGGATTTTTTTTCGCAATTTCTTTTTTTTTTGATCGATGGCTTCAACACACCCTCCCTGAAAGGCACACATGTATTTGGATTGTGTCGAATAGCAAGTCAAATTTTTCAAAACTTGGGGTGGGTGGATCAAAACATTTGAATTAAATTGAAATTTAAAAACTTTGATAATTTTAAATGGCCCCTGATGAGTTGTACAGAAACGCAGTATTTAAAGAACTCAATATTGCTTGGGTTTACGCAGCCTATGTTTACTTCAACTAGGTTTGTCATAACTGTAAGAAAGACGGGTGTGAGATTTGATCAAGATTACCTCTTTTTTTTAAGTAGTTTTGGAGAGTAATTTTCTTGGTGTTAAGTTGAAACCAAGTTAGAGATCATAAACCATAGCATTGGTAAAGTTTTAAAAATGTACATTTCTTGCTGTTGGTTTCAATAAATAATACATTGGTTCAACTGATGATGTTTTCCCTGAAGCCTGAACTGTTTTTTTTTTTAATGTGATCCTTTCATACAATTCATCTTCATCTTCACAATGTGCACAATTTTTCATTGCCAGCTACTCACATAAAGATTATGTCAAAGTCAACTTGAAGGTTGGATTTTTATGAATTTTTTTCACAGAATCTTTTATTATTTAATCATTCAGAATCTTTGTCTTTTCAAGTTTTTTCCCTTCAAATTCCTGGAAATGCTTTGGGAACTTGTTGCCTTTTACAAAGTTGTGATTGTCCAGGCGTGCAACTTTTCCTCGGATCTGCTGATTTCCTCGTTTTGTACTTCTCATGAATGCCATTACAAATTGAAAAACACTGAACAAAGTCTTGTGTAGTTTGGAATTTCCTGGTTTTTTTTCAAAATTCCCAGTTGCATGCCTTCTCACCTTGGAAGAAAATCAAACATTAAGTCCAATACTAAGCGACACAGAAATAAATTCCTTTTTTTTCTCACAAATATTTATTCCAAATATACTCTGAAAGACACATATATGTACCAACAATCCTCCCCGCAGAAACCATTTCGACCCGTGAATGCAGACGGTTTGAACCCGCCACTCGTGATAAAAATCAGTTCGTTGACTTCAAGAGAGTCTTGAGTTGGCCAACAAACGTCATGGAAAGTGGACGCGAACAAAGAAACAAATGCATTCACCGCAAAATGAAGCGTTTCATGTGGGGAAATTTTCCATTCATAATATAATAATTAATGCACATGCTGTACTTATTAGTTTATAAAAAAATTCATATTAGTTGCAGAGTAGGGGATGACTGGTAACTTGATTTTAGTCAGAACATGGGCTGGTTTTTCTAGGACTTTAATTGGGTCAAATAAAAAATGTTGCAAATTTATGCACTGGAAAGCCAGAGAAAAAAAATCAGGATTCAACCGAACTTAATGAATCTGGACTGTAATTACAAGATCTTTAAATATCCTAAGATCAACTTGGAGTTACACATGTAGATCATTGAATAACAGGATATGAACGTCTGAAATGAATGTGAAAGTTGGGCCTAAGGTCTCGAAACCAAAAATGTCAATTTCTGATAAATCACGAGTCCATGAAGTTAACAGTGTGGATGCTTGATATACATACCTATTACCTAACAAACTTTCCCAATACTTTCCACTTGAAAAGCTTAAGCCAACGATTAATCAAGGATGACAAATTCTAAGGTATTTATTCATAATGTAAATAAAGGGGTTTAACAATCCAAGCTTTTAAACTCTGATGCCCGACAAACAAATCTGAACGGAATGATCACAAAAATAATCTGTGACTACACCAACGAACCTAGTACTGAAAAAATAAGATTTGTGCATAAATTCTGTAAGTTAACTTACAAATAAACCTCTTACAAAAATAACCAGGGCGACCTCAACCATTAAAAACCTAGAGTTGTAGTCAAGTCAATCTAAAGGTCACAATTAAAGGTAGAATGGACCATTTGTTGTTTGTGCATTTTTTCTTTCGTTTGAAGCAACAACATTGCTCAAATTCTAAAGGCGGGTGCTTAATAACTAACCTGCTTAAGTTTTCGCTCTGTGAATGCTGTATATTTTGAGAAAACAATATTCTGGATCTCGATATCAATTTAAAAGTTGCCGAGTCATATATTGAATTGCGCCCTCTCGTGACATAATCCCAAAATTATCATTCGGGACATGATTCAGCCGATTGAAGTTACGTTATGTCACATACTGAACCGACAAATAATAATACAGTGCGTCGTGTCAAGTCACTTGCACCTATCTGCCCATTCACGGATTCGCCCAACTATGGACAAACATTTCCAAAAAAGCGTCACTTGACACATCCTTGGGAATGACCTATAGATTGTTTTCTTCAAAATGACAGCATGCCAGAAGGAATAATTTCACAGGGAGTTTAGTGTCATTACTATCTTTAAACCAAGTAAGTTTTTTGAACAATAATTTGGTGGGTTACTTTTTGGATAGCTGCAAATGGTCTACTCAACAGTTAATGGGATGAACAATGAAAATAATGCCTTCGACACATTTTGTTTGAATAGATTATCAGGTTGTCAATTAACTTGCGACTTATTGACTTGTTATCCGTTGATGAACTGTGACTGACTTTTGGTTGACTGGACTACAACGCATGATCCCACTTCTGCCACCGCTTTTGCCTAATTATGCCCTCCCATCTTGACCTTCTTGCGGACATATTCCAGCTGTTCCTCATTCAAGCCCAGGTTGTCAACCTCCAGTTCCAGGTTCTTGAGCATTCCGAATCCTCCCAGGTAGCCGTTGAGACGGGCAGCCACGTGTGAGGTGATAATCTGCTTGGGGCTAAGGCTAAGGCTCTTCAGAAGGCCCTGGTGGTGACGCAGCATGTACTTCTGGTGGTAGCTGTGAAGTGGATTTTTTTGTAAACAAAATATGCGTTAACCCTTTCACTATATTACTTGATCATTTCGTCCTTACTGAATGCTAACATTTGACCTGTAATGCTATGCTGTTTCATTTACCTGTTTCATTGTTTGATTAACCAATAGCCACAAAGAAGTCGCACTGGGAAACCTTTATATTTTCAAAATATATACTTTCTTTTAAATTTTTGGCCATATGTGACAATAAAAAGTTTGAGGCCGACAATCTGGCCTGAAAAGGTCCAGTAAGTCAGGTTATTGTAACCACACAATTTTTTTAGGCGTCAACATTAGATTTACTATATACGTGTAGAAAATTTCCACTGAAGGACGTGCTTTTTTCCATACAGATACGCATGAGTAGACAACCTCTTGTGCACTTATTGTTACAGAATAAAAAAACCCCAAAAAACCAACAACCTCAAATATAGCCCATAAATGCAGAGGGTATGTTCTTGCTGCAGTTAATACACCACTTATTCTTACTCTTCGGCATCATAGAAGGTTTCAGCAAGCTTGATTCGAGTCTGGATTGGACGGGTGACCTTCTTCTGATGTTCTTCCTTGGTTTTCTCGGCTACTTGTTTCTGCTCTTCGCTGTGATAGAAGATGGCAGACATGTACTGGCGGCTGCTGCACGCCGTGCTGTCGTGGTTGTTCCAGAAGATGGTGAGAATGGTTTCATAGTTGGTTTGCTTGGGATCAAACTCAACTTGTATGGTCTCCGTGTGATCACCACTGTGTAGGAATACATGTAAATAAAGTCAAGATTAAGGATGTGGCTCCGCACATAACCACAACTTCAAATGCGACTATCTCGTGATAAACTTTTGCCAGAGTTAGAAGTTTTTGTCACTACTTCTCATATGTCACTTGTCGCTCATTTGACACTTCTTCTCATGTGAGTATGTTACAATGTACTGGTTCGTACATGTACATGCTCACTTGAAAATGTGTTTCACAGTCTGCACACCAATTTTATGCTGGGCTTGACTTTGGCAGTGGTAGCTTGTTTAATAAGTATCTGTTTCAAAGAATGTGCATAACTTGTTCAGACACATATAAATGCATACTTGCTCTAAAAAACGATAAAAAGATTTCACTTTGAGTAAAGAGCCAAAGACACTTTTGAGAAATACACAAAACTAGTTGGACTTTGGCAGCAGTCGGCATAAATGACTACATTTACATGTAGTGTTATTTTAATATTAATATTAATTTTAATATTATTTTACAAGTACTTCACTTTTTCGGTTGTTAAGAATATTGAGATACCAGAATAAATTGGTTGAAATAATCAAGGATTCTTTTTTGGCTAGGTAGTCGTTTTTAATCTGATACTTACAGGCTGTGGTAGGTAGGGGACTTTTTGGTCCCTCCCGTGTACCCCACCCTGGTGTGGATGATCCCCTTAGCACAGCCAAACTGTGCCTCGGGGAACCAGAATCAGCTCAAGGCAAAGGTAGCCTTCTCTGTGGGCATGTCTGGCTCCTTGCGAGGCATGTTGGAACGTGGCAGCTGAAATTCATGAGAAAAACAATTGACAAGTTTTATCACTAATATTAATCAAAAGGTGAATAGTTATTTACAATCTGTGCAAGCTTATTTTGTAATCTTGCGTAAAATGATTCACGAAGCAAATGATTGACTTGAAACAGAACAAAACTGAATACAATATGAAAAAAAAAATGATTTCAGCGGCTGTGTTGAGACCAAATTTCACCGTCTCTGTCATTTTTAGACCACTGGCTACTCTGATGGACCTCCAGCAATAAATGTTGAATTCCTGATGAGCAATGGAGCTGGAGCTTGGAGGTTCTCAAGCTAGGCAATAGGCCACAATGCACCAAATATAAAAACTTGGGGTAGCGTACATGATTATGAAGAGTATTAAAATGTCCATTGTTACCATAATTACATTATTTTCCTTTACTATGTTTTAATAATACAGCCTCTCCAGGAAATTAAATTAAATTATGCCAACATTAATTAACATTTTTTAAAGCGAATGTTATTTTAACATGTTTAATGGTTAGATACTTTAAACATTCACTGACAAGTGACATTGTCAAATGTCAGAAAGCTTTCCAAAAAGGTGTGTTTTTTAAAATCTAGTTTAAATTTACATTCAGACTCTATTTATATTTGCAATTACCACATTTATGAACAATTTAACAGAAATTTTACCTGAAGTTGAAGATCTGCAAAAGGTTAGAAATTTACCTCTTCTGAATATCCTCCGCCCATAGGATTAAACTGGTGAAATGGCGGACTCAATGCTGATAAAATAGACCAGGAAGAACGACACCTCGACCCGATAACACTGGTTCTAGAAACAACGAAACTGCGTGTTAGCAAACGGATGGCAGTATTACCAGCCAATCTCGACGACATCAAGGACGTGAAGGAAAAACGAAATAGCGCAGCCGGCCGCTAGTACGGAAAAAAAGTGATCTGACGTCACTGCATATGCAGGAACAAAACGAGGAAGGAAGGTGCTCAATGAACAATGTCACGAGTCAGTAAGCTTCCACTACCTTGGGAAGGTCAGTGTTAAACAACTTGTTTATTACAAACAGCAATGATTTGGCATTTCTTTTTTATTTATGTTGTGCCCATTCTTGAAAATCACGCATTCTCGAGAATGGGCATGCACATTCTTGAGAATGTGCAACTGGATCCTTGCTCAATCTTGGCAAAAAATAACTCTTCCAGATTGAGCGCACATTCTCGAGAATGCGCGACAAGATAACGGTCTTGTCGATGCCGAGCACCGGCTGCGCTTGGCAAGTCTAGCTGAATCCTCGTTCACTGATTCTCAATAATTATACTGTTGCAACGCAAGGCTCTGAAAAGTAGAGTGGATATGATAAGTAAAGGCGTATTGATATGGGGGGGGGGGACCGGGAAAATATAAGAGACATAATAATACTAGTGCAAAGAATTCCTATGTTTGGGATAATAAAAGCGGGGGGGGGACGTAAGAATGAAGAATGTGAAGAATGAGAATGAATACTGCGACATCCCATAGTGCTAATGCTATTTCCCATTTAAATTGCCACCAATTTATTGTTCACATCCCACCATAACGTCGCAGAGCTGGATTCTATCTAGTCAAAAGAGCAATTTTGGCAGCTTCTGGACATCGTTTTTTTTTTGTGGCACGCATATGATACATGCAGGGACTTGTAACTTGTCTAGCCTAAACAAAGCACTTCCCAGACTAGTTCCCAGTCCTCCGTTATTACAAAACTTCCCATAGTGGGCAGAAAAAAGCAATAATAACAGGTTTAATTTGATTCAAATTATCGTAATTATACGAGTACAGAAGCATAGCACATTTTCTTTCCTCTTTATATGAATTGTTTCCCTTTTAACCGCTATACAATTCATTTAACATAATTATGTCGTGCAATGTTTGTTAAGATTGGGCAAAATTCATAAATTGTGCACGTGATATTCCCAACCAATCTTAAGAATGAGCGCTCATTCTTAAGAACGCGTGCTCGTTCTTAAGAATGGGCGCTCATTCTTAGAATGCGCGCCCATTCTCGAGAATGTGCATGCCCATTCTCGAGAATGCGTGATTTTCAAGAATGGGCACAACATTTACACTGGACTAATGCTGGCGCGGCCGGCGCGCTCGCGCGATTGTTTATTTGGTTTATGTAATTTATTTAAACAAATTAACGTGTAGTTTGAGCGACTACGGAAGCCGAACACACAATCCGCACCTGTATGAAATACGAAAATTGGTTAAATTTAATATTACCGTTGTATTTCAAATGTTATCCAAGTGGAAGTTGTAAGTCTAGAGAGCCTCCTGAATCACATAGATCTTCAACTTCCTCTTTAACTACTTTCCTTTACATATTCCAGTATTAATATCTCAGCGTTTCCTGGTATATTCGGGATTTGTTCATGAGGAAGCTGGAATTTTGTTGCACATGCATTATGTTCAATCAGATTCAGTTCAAAACCCTTTATAAAATATTTTAAATATTTGTTTCATGTTCATTTGAAATAAAGATTCCTTCTGTCGTAATAAAGTCAAAAAGTAAAATTGTTTCTCCAATTCCCTTTTTTCCCTACATTTTTTTTCCCAGTTCCTTCCCCAACGTCCCTTGTTTTAATGGCTTGCATTTGCATATCATTCAGAAAATGACGAAAAAAATAAATAATTTCCAGCTAGCCCACAGGTTTCAGCAGTACTTATACATATTTATTTTAGAAAACAATCCAGATAAACTTATTTAAAGATTACAGAGTACATCCACCTGTATTTTTATTCATCACTTTAAAAGAAATGAATATTTGAAATCAATTTTGAGAAACTGTGGTTTATTCAATACCCAATTTGAAAGAAAAATCTATAAAAGTTAGAAAAGTAGAATAATTCTAGACTTTACAAGTAAACAAGGCTGTTATAGCATAACATTAAGGACAAATGAAGTTCACTAACGTTAATCAAATTATCAACTAACATTACATAGATCAGTTTGCATTTGAGAATAGACCTTATGCATTAGGGCAAATATGAGAGACGGAGGGCAATGGTTTTGTAATGCTTGGAAAGGCACAACTACACTGTAAACCTTTTTGTGCACAGCACATTAAAATAACAACTAACACGAAAAAAACTCAATACAACAGATTATCCAGGGTTTTATCCAATTATGATAACGGAAAGCTGGTACCCAACCCTCCTTTACATTCAAATTCCCAAAGGATTGGGCGGGAACCAGTATAGAAGTGGGAGCTTTTCCCTCACTGGTTCACATGCACTATTATAACACTTTAAGAATCACTGGATACCAGGGGATAATCCTCAAATTACAGCAATGTTTTCAAATTTTCAAAATGAAGGGTTATAGATGGTTTGCACAGCGGCCATGTTTTAGGTGTATGCTTTTGTTCAACAGGGGTACAATAAGTAGACTTTTTGTGCATTCATTGTTAATAAATTAACATAAAGCAGAAAGTAGAAATTTCTAATCTCGCTCTAGTCAGTTTTTTTTGTTCAACCTGAACCACTTTTCCGGGTTTTTTTTAAACATGAACATATACATGTGTACAATGTACATGTATATCTAATCCTAGACGATAGAGTCTTTGGTTAGTACTTGATTATTATTGCATCTCTGTTGTTGTTGGTGTGATATAATGCCACGTTAGGCAACCTACAGATCAGAAGGCTTTTCCATGTCAGGTAAAAGTTCAACAAAAATATGACAGAACGTAACGTACGAAAGGACAAGCATATACAATTTGTGAGAGCTGCGAGAGACAAACGGAAAGTAAAGGCAAAAAAACAAACAGTGACTGTTCGGTAAAGCACAGAGCCAGGAGTGCGGAGCGCCAATGATCCGCATCTCTTTCGACACTATTTCATATTACAGTAGCAAAGAACTAATGTCTCCTAAAGACTTCTAGCGTTATACACTGATAACATCGCCATAGGAACAGCTGTTTTCTATTCCTAGATTGTACTGGCCTCCCATGCCGTTCTTGTAGGTGCTGGTGACGGTGCGGTACCATCCAGCCTCACCCTGCAAGGGGAAAAACAAAGAATAGACGAGTTGAAGCACAGGTCAATTAAAATGCTTGAATAATAACCCCTTACTCGAAGGTGTTTTTACAAGAAACCTCCCGAGCCCTCCAAAATCTTAAATTCTCCAGAAATGCAAAGGCACATCTTTTGTACTTAAGCATTCAAGGGCCATCAAGCCCCATGTAAAGCAATAGTGGCTGAGCTCTACCTTCCTCAATCCTACAAAATCCTCCACTGTGCGGGAACCCAATGGCACACTCTTTGTACCTACCAAGTTTGAAGGGGCATCAAGCCCTATGTAATGTAATAATGGTTAGGCACTACCTTCCCCATCCTTCAATTCCTTCCAAAATCCACCAAAATCTATCAAAACCTATATACCTCCAACTGGATTATAGAAGATCAAGGACTTGGTAAGAGGGCTGGGGTTAATAAGGTGAAGATAGTAGGTATTTGAAAATACTAATAACTCAAGAAGCTGGGGGCATTATTCAAAAACTTGTTCTGAGCATTTGTAAGACCTCTGATCACGTAGACACTTTCTCCCAGATTGTAACCAATGACCAATCAAGGAATTCTTACCCAGGGTTGTCCCCAGGAGTTGCGGACGACCCAGTACTCAATGCCAGTCTCATCCACTCCCCAGCCAGCTACAGCGATGGCGTGGTTGATCTAAAGCCATAAAACGGTAAAAAAGGGCCAAGAGTTGAGCACAGAAAACACATACTTTAAAGAGTTTCTGTTCAAAGTTTTAGCACCTAGACAAAACATATTTACAGAACACAGAAAGCACACACAATCACAGACTTTCAATGACATCACTTGTTGATACTTGTTATTACAATTAATTACAATTGAAAGGTAAATAACAGCAATTTTTACCTCAGGATCTGGTACATACTGTGTGTACACTTTGCCTCCTCTGAATTTCTCCAGTTCTGGTGTAGCTTGGATCCCGCAACTGTGGACCAAGAGAAACAAATTTAGGAAATTTCCCCAAAAATGTTTCTGTTTTTTCCCTGAGAATTTAACAGTGTGTACAAGAGCAATTTCATAATTTTTTTGTTTTGAAGGGGGTGGGGGGGGGGGGGGGGGGTGGTGGCTGGGTCGGTATCTTTATGTCTGCCTGTACATATTTTGAAAGGGGGAGGGGGAATTCAGTTTCTCCAAATGGTCACTTTTGAAATAATAATTTTAGAATTTAACCAACTTTATTTTGTAACCTGAACCTTCCTCCATTAATTTAATTTAAATCAAGATGTTCTGTATTAACTTTTGAGTCGTTCATAATTTCCTTTTACCTGATTGGTCCATTTTTGAAGATTTCCTTCATCATTGTCTCGCGGCCAGAGATTGGTCCGTAATCGCCCACCATCCAACGAGTGTAGTTCTTCTCTGAATAGGCAAAGCAATCTCCAAACGTCGAGCAAGTTCCACACTCATTGAAAGGGGTACAATCTGTCCAAAAGTTGTGAATTGACAAAGAAGCAAATTTAGAAATGTATTTACATTATCTTGGCAAATGGAAAGCTAAGTTTAACACCTCTGAAAAATATACTATTATCATTCTTGTTTCAATTAAGTAAATTTAAATTTTGAATAAAATATGCTTCCAAATTGAAGAAATTATCCAACATCAAAATCACATCTTAAGAGTCTCCCAAAAATTGTTGGACTGGTTTGAAAAGTGTTCTACTCATTTCCATGTGACTTAAAGGGAAAATACAACATTTGCAAACATCAAAAAATAAAACTACCAAATCATTTTGAAATACCTTGCTGGACTGTTAGTGAATGACAGTGTAAAGCATCCTGTAAAATCATGGCACCTGGTATACTGTCATTTTCAAGAAAAGTGGTATTTTTGTATCAATTTCCAACGCTGGTCGGCCGACCAGCGTTGGAAACAACTGGCTTTTTTTTTTCAAATACTGGCCCCAATTGACCATCGCACTTGTTTGCAATCGATTACACACCTATGAACGGGTACAAGCCAGCTAGACTGGTTCCCTGACCTTACAATTCCCCAATGTATGTCAACTGCTCTGTTTCTTCTTATATGGAGTCAGGGAACCAGACTAGAGGAAAATGATTGTTTTTCTTGGTTTTTATAGCATTTTCGAACCCAAAACCTCAAAAAAGTTAGTGTAACTATATTTGCTATATATTTCCAACCCCCCAATTCCATCCATTTCTGAAAATTACAGCAAAAGCAAATGATGTATATTCCCTTTAAAAGAAAAAAAAAATGTCCATAAATAAATTGAAAATGTATACACACTTTGATTCTTGGCCTGGTAGTTATTACAAGTCTCGTCGGGAATTCCTTTCTCATGAGCGTAGCGATAGACTCCAATTGGACTCCCTCCTTCACAGCTACCAGCACCGCCACAGTCGATGACATTCTGTGGGGACAAGTAGGCTGATGGCCAGGCACCTTTGCGAAGGATGTTGATGCGATCTAGAAAACAAAAAACAAATCTATTACTCACTGGACACAGATGGTCATTGCAAATTTTTACAAAAAAAACTCCTCTTTCATTTATGTGCCATTAAAGGGAATATACAACATTTGCAAACATCGAAAAATAAAACTACCAAGTTTTTGCAAATTACCTTAATAGGATGTTGGTAAATGATAGTCTAAAGCATCCTGTAAAATTATGGCACCTGGTATACTGTCATTTTCAAGAAAAGTGGTATTTTTGTATCAATTTCCAACGCTGATCGGCCGATCAGCGTTGGAAACAACTGGCTTTTTTTTCAAATACTGGCCCCAATTGACCATTGCACTTGTTTGCAATCGATTACAAACCTATGAACGGGTACGAGCAAGCTAGACTGGTTCCCTGACCTTACAATTCCCCAATGTATGTAAACTGCTCTGTTTCTTCTTATATGGAGTCAGGGAACCAGACTACAGGAAATGATCGTTTTTCTTGGTTTTTATAGCATTTTCGAACCCAAAACCTCCAAAAAGTCAGTGTAACTATATTTGCTTTATATTTCCAACCCCCAATTCCATCCATTTCTGAAAATTACAGCAAAAGCAAATGATGTATATTCCCTTTAAAAACTGCCATATCGTTAGCAGCATGTGACTAAGCACTAATGAAGTGGTCTATGTGTTGGTTCCATGTTACTCAAATTGACCATTGAATGACTCATAACTCATACTCACCAGCTAATGAGCTAGTTGGGCCCATAGACCAGCAGCTACCACAGTACTGAGGTATGTGTTGGTTTCGGGTTGTGCTTGCGTAGTTCACTCCACTGATGTTGCGCCAATCCCACTGTTTGGGGAGATCAGACACCTTCATGTCCCAGTGAGGCCTTGGATAGGTACTAAATGAAAAAAGAAAAACAATTTTATTTTTCAATTTGTTTCACATCAATCACCAATACATTGTTGAACTTTGTCAAATATGGCATCATCCAACTCTAGACGGAGACCTCAAACATGATAGCTCGCATCACATTTCAGGATCAATAGCAACATTCCATCACACGTCATTCCATTATGATCATGGTAAACAATAACTGCCAGTCAAACATGTTAATTTATTGGTTACATATCTCATAATAAAAAGGATTCATTTGTATAGCGCAAATTCCATCATAACATATGTTCAAATGCGCTTTTCATGTTAAAATTCTTAAAAATACACTTAGAAAAAAAATATCTCAGGGAGGAATTAAACAGTTAAATGCTGGCTTTAAAACAGCTTGAGTAATTCCAGCTCTTATGGGATAAGCATTAGAGCTGGAGTTACTCAAGCTAGCTTTACTACATTACTAAAATACTAGCAATTAAAACACTTATTATAAATACCAAAAAGTACAAAAAATAAAAGTTAGACAATACACAAGTTTTGCAATAAAATTAAATTTTAAGTTTAAGATAAGAGACAGATAATATCAAACATTTAAAATCATTTTGAAGGGCAAATAAAATTGGCATGTTTTAATAGAAAAAAAATCTACAATTAACATAACAATTAAGAATCAAAAATCAAATTCACAAATAACCTGTTTGATAAATTGATAATGACATGATAAAAAGCAAATACAAACTAAGGCATAAGGGAAAAAGCAATTAAAAATCACAGGATGTGGAAGAAAAAAAAAATACTGATTTTTTTACCTGACCCCCTTTTCCTTTTTGTCCATTTCAGTTCTGTAACATGGTTTCCCCGGTTGGAAATATTTCTGGGCCGAAATACAGACAGCAGCGCTGAGAACAATCACAAGTGTTACAATCTTCGCCTCCATGATTCGGCAAATGACATCAACTGTAATGTGCCAAACAAAAACGATCCAAGTTTATATACCAAGCTGGTTTGGAATTTAATCTGTGTGTCACAGTCGAAAGTGTAACTGTGTAACGAAAGCTTATGATGATGCAAGTGTTGTAAACAGTGAGCATGTGACTGTGCGTGTGACCCTGCACGTGACAGTCTGGTCCCCAATTCAATATTACCAAGTAAAAGCGTTTAAGGACGACTGGGGACAAGCCAAAATGATGTAACCACAAACGGTCGTCAACGTGTAGTTCATGCGAAAACGGTGGCCTGGAAAGGTCATGTCACACCGGGTGGAAGTGGATCTACAAAGGGGGGGGGGGGGGGGGGGGGGGGGGGAGGGGGAGGAACTAATAATTGAATATGATATTTCTAACAAGGGCAGAAGAAAGTATAACATCCTACTTAATTGTATCCCTCGGGAATGATTTCGTGATAAGCAAATTGAGGGAGATGTGTATTACAATTATTTTAAAGAATAACCTTATCATTGCCAAGAAAATCCCTATTTTAAAAGTATACTTACAACATTATGATTGATAAATTCATGTCGGAAAAGCAAAAAGGCCTTTTGGAATAGTGCTTTAATATCAATTTGGAGAATGAAGACTTAGAGGTGATTCATAAATGCAATTTTAAATGTACTATTGAAACCAGACTGAGATCTTTTTTATTATAAGATGTTCCATGGGGCCATTGCCTTTAATAATTTCTTTTCAAAAGTGGCAGGGAAAAAAAATCCCCAAACTCTTCTTTTTGTGGAAAATATCCTGAAACTTCACTTCAATGTACGTATTTAATGACTGTGAATGTGTCACACCAATCATGTAAGACCTCCTTTGTTTCAATAATCAAAATCTAAAAGATTCTGTACAAATTGGGAAATATGAGATCTTATTTAGTTGGCTTTTTTTTTGCTAAATTTTATTTTTATAGGTGTAAATTTCAAACTCAAAGTCCCTCCTTTACTGGGTTAAGACTAAGATATTTTTTAAAAAATCAACACGATATCAAATACAGGATTGCATAGAAAAATCAAACCCTTACTCTTTATTATAAGAAATGGGAAATTTAAATATCTCAAAATTATTTTTTTGGCGTAAATATAATATTTTATTGACTGTTCTTCATGGCTTCGCTCTTTGAATAAGTGTTGTTTTGACTGAGTATTTCTCCTAATTACTGTATACTGTTCTTCAACTACCTTAATTTTTCGGGATTCCTGCTTTTGTTTTCCAATGTATACTTGGCTAATCAATAAAAAATAGAAAGTAAAAAAAAAAAATAAAAAGGGGGGGGGGGGACAATTGCAATATACATTAAAATTCATTTGGATAGAATACTTTTGGGTAACTGGCCTTACGGAGAGGGTTTTACAGTCTCTTGTGTATACTCGTTTTGAATAAGATGGTAATTAAATTCATTTGAAATTTTCTTTTATATAATTACTCATCTAGTATTTCTATTATTTTGTCCTAAAGAACTCTCTCAAAGATTATGCAAATCACTCTTCACTTGTTTCGCCAACCACAGCGCGCCATATCAGCGAACTCATCACGTGATCTAAACATGACGTCACATAACTAGTCGTCTGTGTTTTTATTGACGATTTGCCGTGAAAGCTCGTCCCTGGTGCGGAAGTAACATCATAAATACCTACAAATTTGATGAAGTTCCCGGAGCCCTACCTCTGAAGTGGACCACCGAAGACGGCAGACGTTACCCAAGGTTAATATTCTCACAAAAATTCCTGCAATTTGCATGATAGTTTGATTCAGAAGCGAGAGTGAATTAAGTGTTTTGTTGGATCCTGAACGAGAGGAATTTACATTGGATTGTACACGTTTTCACGAATCCGGATTTGGGCGGTGGACGAACTGCATGTTCCACGACGTGACCGGTGCGGCTGTGTACAAAAACACTGTCATTTCGTTTGGTATGTAGACTTGCAATTTGAAGTTGGGGAAGGTCAGTTTTGAGGATTTTTGAAGCGTTAACATTTGGGTGATTGGGTAGTTAAGGGTCCCTCTTTCTTTTTGGTCCTTAACATGCTTAAACTGTTTTTATTCTGAATCTAGAATAACTTCAGCAAGTTGCAACCTGAAACATTCTTCATGGTTTTATTTTAAATCTAATGACCTTTAGTTTTTGCAATTTTGAACCACAGCAGAGTATCATTACATCGGCCGTAACAAGGTAAATGTATATACATGTAGTACTAGGTCGCAATGGTGTTGTTGCAATGCTGTAACGATTACGGGAGCCGATTACGATAGCATTAGCAGTTGAAAATTACGGCTGTCGTAACGATAGCCACTACAATTTTGAATAGTAGCTTTTGGTAAAAAAAGCAATTTTCACATCATTTTTTTTTTCAGTTGAAGCCATGCGAATTAACACGGTTTTACGCATTCGCATTTCGTGTTGGTTTTGTCGTCAGCATTGTCATTTTTACCCAAAAATTTCCCTATAAAATCAAAGCCTTTTCCTCTTTCCACAACATTCCTGTTGGTTTTGCTAACTACTTGGGTAAACTAAAAATAATTTTTCAGTTCTGTAAAGTAATATAGGAATGGGAATGTAACTACACGATCGACAAACATTTAAAAATGGATGTATTTGAATGATACTGACCCGGTTAAATTACAATTTATCTGTGACATTTCGTGACTTAACATTTTTAATCACAGAGTCTACTTAAAATTATTGACAACTTAAATTTGAAGTGTTAAATTTGTGAAATAGTCAGCTAGCGAAAGTGCAGTGGAACATCATTTAATTTTCAACAAGAATTTCTTTGGTCGTTGTACTTTTGTATTTTCCTGGTTTTCTTCAGTGGAAATATTGTTTAAACTTGGTCCTTAAAAATCATATCACCAAATATAAGCTGCGATAGTGCGAACACTTAGAACTTAGTTTATGATGCAAATATATGTGACGCTATCAGTAAATGGCTGATAGACGTTAGGCAAAGTGCCACATCAGCATAAAACACTTACAGCCCTAACAGTCCTGAATCCTCCAAGTTTAATATGATTTTGCACAACCCCTAGGGAGTTAGGGTAAATGCATGATATCAAAAGAGTACATTTTAAAAAAAGTATCAAATTCTGATGTTTTAAAATTTTGAAGACTGGTTTTCATTTTTAATAAGAGAAGAACTTATTGCCCAACATACATTTATAAGGGGACCAAGGTACATGTAAATGACAATTGAAACTAAATAATTGGTTTGACCAATTAATAATTGGTTATAATTTTTTTAAAATGGCATTTACAAAAACTGGCTATTGTTGCAAGTTTGTCTATGATGTCAATCAACTTTACACTGTCTACCGTACATCCTACACAATCTGACACCACATTTTGTTTGATTTTGGTGGATTCGGGACGTTGTAGCTGAGCCACCATTACTTCATGAAGGAAAACTTGAGATCAGAATTCACTTTAAGTAGCAGTACTAGATTGTAACAAATTGGTGTAGAGCATTATGTTTGATTTTTGTGAGGATTGAGATTCTTGGCCAAAATGCCCATTAAGTTGGGGTTGAAATTACTCATTAATTTATTCATCTATTAATTAATGAATTTGATCTTTCCCTTGCTTTTGGACAGGAATCCTTACCAGTGTTGATGGAAAATCGGAGATCTGTCCTGCTTAACAGTCATTTCATTATCATCAACTTTATATCCGACGGAGACTTACCTTCCAACGCTTGTCAAGATGGAGCAGTTAGCAGGCAACCCAGTCACGTTATTAATCAAAGCGCCTAACCAGAAGCTTGGGGACCAGACCGTTCAGTGCTTCCTGGACTGGAGTGTGCAGAAACTCAAGAACCACCTCGCCAACGTTTATCCGAGTAAACCAGTGAGTCAAACCATCAACAACATTTTATTTTCAAAGTTTGAAATTTACTTTTTACTCAGTCTGAGTTATTCACGGGTATGCCCAAGAAAGTTGTTTTGATTTTTATCTCGTAGAAGATGAGATGGGAAATAAAAGATTTAGACATGGGAGAAAAAACATTCTAGTGACAATCATCAAAATAAGGCAGGGACTGAAACCTGATCGACATGGTGGCCTAGTCGGGAGTCGAACCTGGGTCAAAGTGGTGGAAAATATTAGTACCTCAACTCGATTCCCTTTGTTTATTCTCTGGGAGTTAATCTTGCACTAGTAGCACTGTACTGACTGAGTAGTACATGTACATTGTAGCCATCACCATACGTCCACACGATTTGACTACAATTTGTGGTACAGTGTCGTATCGAGGTCCTCACCATAAAATTAATGCAAGATGCATGCATACGTTTACTTTCTGAATCTCACAAACAATAATATTGTGGTTTTTACGTGGTATCAATAAAAGGGCAATAATATTTGTGAATATTTTTTGAACACATCATCTGAAGGGAAGGCCATATGTATGCATTTTACAGGTGATTAACTTTTATTTCTGTGCTGAAACCTTGCAGGCCATTTAGCATCCCTCACTGACTAATGACAACATCTATTATTTAGGTACTCAATTGTTCAGCCTTGTTCTATATCAGAATACTATGCTGGTACTTGGATACGTCATAATTATGGGATAAGTTTTAATACGAATATGTGTTGGAATTTTGGAGAATCTCCAAGTTCAACCCTTTTTGCCAGATAAGTTCTAAATAATGTTATTGGGAGATACTTTTTCACTTTTCTTCTAGTTTTATGCTGGAATAAAAAAAAGGCATTTTGCATAATAATTTCAATACCTTAGAAAATGTCAAAATAAAAAAAGGCATTTTGCATAATAATTTCAATACCTTAGAAAATGTCAAATTATACGACACTATCATATTATATGTTGCTATCATTCATGTCATTTGCTACCATGTTGCTAGGATGCAACCTCAATCCTGCAAAATTCTCCAACTGCCTCCATGTAAAAATTGCATACAGCCTCAATCCTTCAAAATCCTCCATTATTTCTTGAATGTGGTCCTCGGAGGGGTGACCACTGCCTCAATCCTGCAAAATCCTCCAGCAATCACTGTCAATATGTTAAGGCAGAGCCAGTGACATCCTGGAGCAGTGTGAAGGATTTCAAGTATAATCTAGGCCTAACTTTTTGCACAGCTGAGCATAAACAACACAAGATCCGGCCCAAGATCTTGACACACTGCATCTTCCAAAATCAGCCACACATTTCTGCCATGTAGCCTCAATCCTGCAAAATCCTCCATTTTGCAAAGAGCATTTGGAGGATTTTGGAAGGTTGGGGTTAAAATACTTTTTGTATTGGATGATTTCACAATGTAAGAAAGTGATGTGTAAATGATGAATGGATATCCCCAAATGAAAAAGAAACAGCTTTGCGGTAAGAATAGTAACACAACTGAAACCGTTCTTAAAATCATATTTCCTTGACGCAATGCTTGTATTTCCTTGACGCAATGCTTGGATAAAATTTTCATTTTCTGTCACACACAGATTTCACATTTAATATTTTCTTTAAATCAGTCCCCCATTACTCACAGTGTATTGTTTTCTGTTTCTACTTTTAGAATGAGAAGAACCAGAGAATTATTTATTCTGGTAAACTCTTGAAAGACAACCTGCTGTTGAAAGATGTTCTGAGATTGGTGAGTATTTGCGTACAATATTATTATTGATATCTAAATATAAATGCATGTGGATAAATATTTGGAACAATCTTTTTTGGGTATTTTTTGTTTCTGTTTCTACTGTCATGTGCACGTGTTGATTTGGTTTTTCACTTTTGTATTGCAAATAATGCCATTGAAAAATATGTTTCGTTTTGGAAATGTTGCGTGGCCATGAATGCTGTGCTTCCTTGACATTACAAACAAAAAAGAGATTCTCATGAAGCAGTTTCCATTTTTTTTTTATAAACGATGATAAATGTTATCCACAGAAGTAATGATTCACATAAAGAAATGTATTGACTCATAACTTCTCCAGTTTTGAAATTTATTGTCAAACAAGAATGTCGTGATTAACACAAAAAAATTAAACCTCATTCTATAAGTTTTATATCTTAAGTCCTTAAACATACTTTGCGATGCATATCAGTTTGAAGATAATTACACTTTGTTAGGTTTAAAGTTATGGTTTACTCCTACCTTATATTGAAGATTTTGTTCCAATAAAATGACGCTTTTGGTCTTGTTCTGTTTTTGTTTTAGGATGATAAGACCCTTCAGCAGCACACCGTCCATCTGGTCTGCTCACCCTCCCCTGAAGATCTCATCCAATCCTTCAAGCCTAGCCCCGTCACCCGTCAATCCAACCCATCCCCTTCATTCAGTCCCACACCATCAACAGTACCAGGCGGCTCTATGGCAAGCACCTCCACAGAGGGAGGGACGACCACTCCAGTAACTGCACACAGGAGGCAGAGTACACCTGTTGAGCCTGCACTACCAGCCACCGGTGGGCTGAGGCATAGGACTGTCAGCACTCCCTCCTTCTCCAACTTCTATCCGTACAGGTTTGTACTTCATGTATCTGCCGAGGAACTGGATGGTTCCCTTATTTTACAGTCCCGTAATTTTTTTAATTTTATTTGCCATTGAGGTAGTTGTTTTATTTGGGCTTTTAGGGGTACTGGCACTGCAATAGGATCAGACACAAGCTAAGATAGTAGCCACTCTGTGGCTAAATCAGAGTGGCTAAATCAAGAATCTAACTTGGGTGGCAAACTTTCACTTAGTAACTTTTATACCTTGTTGGAGAAATCTTCCATTTTTTTTGTGTCTAACTGTACTTTAGTGACAAACTCTGGAAAGTTTTTTGTCCAAAAGAATGTTCTGTCAGTTTTGAATTAGCTTCTTTTAAAATATCTGAGAAAAGTAAAAAGTAGTAAAGTCTGTCACGAGCCTATGTGGCCCGTCAGGCAGGTGTTTATCTCAATTTCAGTATCATGAAAGGACTGAGTATATTTCTTCTCCCTCTGGATTGGATGCTAGTCCATTGCAGGTTACTCCCTAACTAATGCGGGTACCCATTTAAACTCCTGGGTGGAGAGAGGCAAGTGGGGATGAAGTGGCTTGCCCAGGGACACACATATGACCGGCAGTTGGATTTGAACCCCTGACCCTCTGATCATGAGTAACAACCCTAACCACTAGGCCACACTCTCAACAAAATATCTGAGAGTAGAAACAAACAAGTATTTGTACTAATAAGCATGACTTAGCCAGCAGTAATGGAATAAACCCCCACCTGAGCAAGGTTGTGCCTTTTTTTCCTTCCAAACTTTCAGCACTGAGCACTGAGTATACCTTTCTAAAGTTCAGTGAACGGCAACATTGAGTACATGTACTAGAATTAATATCTCCCTGTTGCAAAACTTTGTAGTGTTTGTTTTTTAATGAAACAACAACAATTGTGTCTTTGTCAGTTATGGGAACTACCCGATGCAGTACGGACCCAGAGGTAACCAGCCAGGCTACATGGCAGCTAACCACCAGCAGCAGGCAATGTGGATGCAGCAGATGTATGCACAGCAGATGGCGCAGTACATGCAGTAGTAAGTATTAAGAAAACTAGACTTTCCTAGTCAATATGGCCCTAAAAGTCTCCGTTAGGACATTATTTATACCAAGTGACGCATTCAGTTAGTCACTAACTCAGTCATTCATAGAACAACTAGGCTGTGCCTTTGGATCCATCAAGAACCTGTAGCAATATTTCGGGTACTACAACTAAAACCATTTCTGAAAAATTGTTTCGAAACAATTGCAATTTGTATTCATTTTCATTTCAGTGAAAAATTTCATTTCAGCAAAAAAGTACAATAAAGTGTCCCTGATTTTAAGATAGGTCCTTGTGATACAATGCTTTGCTCACAAATCACAGATCAATGATTAAAGACTGATCAAGCAGACTGCCTCATCGGTCAGCTTTAGTGGAAATAAAATTCTTTGCATCATTCATTCAATTTCTTTAAACAAATTTCAGGTTAACATGCAGATTTTTATTTCAAACAGAGATGGTAATTGTCAAATTATTTGTCACTTGTTACAGCTCTACCCAGTTTCAAGCAGGCGGTGCGGGCCTCAATGCCAACCTCCCCCCAGCCCATGCACCTGTCGTGGTCCCTCCGCCTCAGGTCCCCGATCAACCTGGAGTGGGAGTGGTCAACCCCCCGGTAGCTCCAAACGTCGCTGGGCCCGACCAGAATGTCCGCATGAATGCCGGGCTGGGGCCGGCCGTGGATGACGACGATGACGAAAACGTGAACCGCGACTGGTTGGATTGGATCTACACGTTCTGTCGTTTTAGCGTCATGCTCAGTTTGGTGTATTTCTACTCGTCCCTCAGTCGGTTTCTCATGGTGGTCGGCTTCATGATATTCATGTACCTGTGAGTGTTCTTCCTTGTCTTTTTTTTTTTAAATTTCACCTTGCAGTTGGCGACATCTGATTGATTGTTTAAATAAATAATGTGCTTTGCCTCATCTACTGTGGTACAGCCACTTATCGCCAAACTTTTTATATTCAGTCTGAAATTCTAATTGATGAGTCTTTGTTATTGATCTCAGACCATTAATTGTGAAGTGCCCTGTTAATTTTTTACAGTATTAACATTGTACATCCATACAGACGATGACATCTTCATTGTGCATGCATACTGTTTTATATGCATTTCTATTGATATGTTTCAGTGAATAACATTATGCATAGCATGCATTAGTATTCGTATAATATAAATATTAATACGTTGCAGTGTACAGTAGTACTGATGAAAATTCCTGGGGGGGGGTAATTTTTCCTTGGCAAAAGTTTGAGAATTTGGAATTCTCAAATGATCTGGTTTCACTGGTTGATTTGTATGCAGAACTAAACAGATGGGAAATCAACCAACAGTTGAAAAAGAAATTTTGAATGGTGTTGCAGAAAGGAGTTTGCATCCTTAAGTTTCTAAGTGAAATCAAATGGCTACGTTTTGGGTGAAATTCAAAAGTTGAAAAAAGTGATAACTGTAAAACTGAGTATTCTGAAGCAAAATTCGTTTACAAGTGATTTTCTTTTTTCACCCCAATGCAGATATCAAAAGCGTTGGTTCCGGCTACAACGGACGCCTGTCGCCAGGGAGAGACTGGAGGATAATGGGAATGTTGAGCAAGAAGACAGGGAACCAGACAACAGTAATCAGGAACAGGTAGGAATAAGAACCTTTAACTGTTTGTCAGTTATGGAAGGTGAAGTCAAAGGAACATCAACAATATCCATGTATGGTTTGTTCAGTGTAGGTTACAGTATCATACATGTGCGTGGTCACTGCTATACATTGCTATACCTCATACATATTCATGATCGAGAGCCGAGTTCTCACTGGTCCATTCGCCATCATGTGTCAGCCTCTAGTTTTGCTGTTCACCAAGTGTGCATGCGAGGTTTCATGCACAGGTTAAATATGCATGTGTAGTAGACTATCTCACTGGTTACCGGTGCGCTAGCGCACAATATCGTTGGTCTCTGAAGGCACCAACTAAACTTGCCTGTTAATTGACAACCTAAGTTTTTCTTTCTCTGTGCTTCAACAGCCGCAGCAGGATGAGTCTTCTGAAAGAGAGAGCAGTACGGAGTCACAAGAGGAGCGAGAGACAGACTCCGATTCCGCCGAGAGACCACCAGCTCCTCCTGAGCCACCCAAGCCTGGTGTCCTGACCATCGCCTGGGTGTTCCTGTCAACGTTCTTCACTTCCTTGTTTCCTCAAGATCCCAACGTGGCCGCTGCAAACTAACCCTAACCAATCAGAATTAGTCACACTCCATCCAGAGCGAGGTCGGGTCCCCAAAACAGGCTCCCCGAGCTGCGGCTCGACTACTGTCGGCTTCTTCCCACGTGGTAGTATGTGCGAAGACCTAGACAATTGCTGTAGACAAACAATTTCAGCCTAAGGCTTCCTGAGACATCCCCATTATTTCCCTGTAGCTGTTTTGGCAGTTTTGAGTACCACTTGTACGGAGAGCCATGAACACAATAGTCAGGCACCCATCAGGCAGTGATTGGTGTCCTAACTAGTTGTGTGTTGGGTTCTGGTATCAGACCAAGATGGCGACAGCCTGAAAGACTCTAATTTGTCAGAGGTACATGACTAATTTGTATATTAAGCCTTCCCCGTCCCCCTTCCCTCTCCCTCGAAAATCAGAAAAAAAAGACCATGTCCATCAAAAACCAATACTCACTCTGCTTCACATAATGCTTCAGGACCAAATCCGTTGAAATCCATCACTGATTCTGGTGGATTTTGATGGACTTGGTACACATGGCTTATCAGCCAAAATCCCCCCAAAAATGAGGGGATGGATTTTGATGGAGTTCGTAAGATTAGGGTTAATTATTGAGCTTTGCAATCGATGTTTTCTTAATGAATACATCAGTTTTGGGGATTTTTTTTTCTCCGCATATCCTATTTTATTTTCATTCAGTTGAACTCAATTTGACTGACTGATCTTTCCAGTCAATTTTTTTTTCTGTGTTACCTTGACAAATCGTGATGATGAATCAGTAATTATAATTAAAATGTAAAAAAAAAAAGACAAGGTCCCTATAAAAATTCATGAACATTTTTGGTTTTCCACTTGAGGTTATTAATTAGGACCAATTTATATAGTTAGGTGAAGGGTATGTTCAAACTAAATTTGCACTCGTTTATTCCCTTGAAGTCCTTTCATTATGTTAGATCCCTGTAAATAGAAATTAAAGTCGAAAAGGAGAAAAATGCATTCACGCGTCAAAATAAAAAATAGCTTAGCTTGAACTCTGCCTTTGAGAAATATCAGCGAATTGTTCCTTCCAACAGATTAGGTTCAATCTTTTATCCCCCCCCCCCCAAACAAATTTTTTTGGAGTCCAATATACTAAAATGAAAAACACCTAACGTGCCTCTATTTTATACTTATGCATTTGTTGTATAATGTGTAACTGACAAGGTTAAATGGTTTTTAGACCTTTTTCAGCCTGCATACAAGTTTTGAGCCCCTATTTTGAAGGGAGGGGACCCTCCATCTCCCCCTTCAATGGAACCACGCCTCTTGCAAAAACTACACATATAATCCAATTACATGTGTGTGCCATGTTTTTTAATATCGGCTATTTCTAACATCTTGCATGTGAATACAATAAAATAAAAAAAAAGGATTCAAGAATATATGCATATAAAACCATTTGCATGAAAGTACAATAAGCAGTGCAAACAGGAATGTGTACCTTGAATACTGTATGCGTAGAAAGTTGCTGCAGTTTCATTTTAGGTAAAAGCCCAATAAATAAAGGGATTCGTCTGGCTGTGGTGTTGGTATTGTTAAACGGTGGCCAACATGGGATGTGTTTTTGCAGTGGGGTGATCGATAACAATAAGTGCTTCCAAAAGTGTCGTTTAAACATCGTAATCTTGTTTACGTGGACTTTGTGAGGTAGATGTCGGGGTAATTTGCATGACACTTTTGCCCTTTCTGATATTTTTATCATTTTTATCACCATGTCATTTGTATTCATATTCATAACGTCAAATAATATGCGTAGTGCGAGAAAGCTTTTTGGAAACGATAATCATTTGCATCTCTTGTAAAGAAAATTAATATATTATATTTTTTGGGGGGGGGGGGGGTCAGGATGAGAGTTTGTCTTGTCTTGTCATGTATTAAATTGGGACTAGAATATTTCCTTGTATTTACTAATTGAAACAAATTACCTTTTATTTTTTAAGAGAACTTGGAGTTTTGTTTTGTTTTGAACAGATGATTGTTTGAAAAACATAAATATTTAATTTTTTTGTCCAAACATGAATTTTAGCCAAATGCAGAAATGGTGGTAATGGCAGCTTTTGAGTGAAGGTTTTAACATTTTACTTTTAAAAAGTGTACTTGTTTTGGTCGCTCTACATTTTGCATTTTGCAACAAATTATCGCAAGGCATGGACTGCTCCCGACAGGAGAGGCCATTATGCGACTGTTGGAATCAAGCTTTTTGGAGCTATGACTTGTTAGTTATAGATTTACTGTGGCTTCACAAGGCCACATTACTGGGCTGTCTTAGTTTAACCTTAAAAAAAAAATAACAGATTTAAAACTAGGATTGAGTGGATTTTTTTTGAGTTGTTAACTTTCTCAGTTCATTTGTTAGTGTGGCTTTGTCTGCCCTCACTAAGTTCCGGAGAAAATGGTTCATTTCTATAAATAAGTGTAAATACCTAAGTCTGCATATCCAATGTTATTCTGTAAATTAAAAATGTACAAACATATAATGTATATAAACTATCAACGTACATGTAATTGAGATACAGCTCTTGCTTACGATTAAAAACACAAATTGAAAAGGAATTTTTGTGACGTGTAATATTTGTGTGTCATGTTTACGTTTCAAAATCAGTTGTAAAGGCCATGAGAGTTGCAGATTATGAAAAACAAACTGAACGATTTACATACCTATAAACCGCGTGATTTTAGTGTCTGGCATATTTTGTGGCCAATACGGGCGATTCCCAATAGTGCGCCTCCAAGAGTTTGCAACGCGTTGGCCAATCACAATGCGCGAAATCAGTCGACCTTTTCCAAACGCGCATTGGGTCGACAGATTTTGCGCATTGTGATTGGCCAACGCGTTGCAAACTCTTGGAGGCGCACTATTGGGAATCGCCCGTATTGTGAAAATAAGACGAATTGACTAGGTTTTGTGAGTTTTTCAGCGTTCACTCATTTTCGGGGAAAATTGTATCAGTTTTTGGATGGTTTTCTTTTTCCTGCATTGATGTTAAATTTATCATCAGGTTTCCTGATAACTGATCTTAATTGGTTATTGGTCTCAGTGCTTTAAAAAAAAACAATCATAAAAGTTTCATCTATGCATTAATTTAATTTGTTTAAGTGGGAACAAAGGTTCCTCATTTACTGAAGTATGCAGGCCCATTAATGTGGAATGGCGCCCTCTGTTAGTTTGATTGACGGTCAATTGCTCTTCCTATAGTTGAAGGCTCCCTGACTGCTCAAGTTATTTAACATCGGCCTTTTACTAGGAACCCGCCTATATTTGTGTTTTCCACTTAACTGGTTTCCATCCCAATGTAATTGCCATACGTGATGACGTCGGTTACCACATAAAGTCATTTGCTATTTTTATATTGTACACTCACCTACATCACCTACATACGTCTGTGAATCGAGTGTTTACGTTTAATCACACTTTCGGAACAGGCAAATCCCGAATTTTCTCTGTCTTTTTAACTAGTGTGAATAAAGATGTCGTTTCTTTTCGGAAAGAAGAAGCAAGCGGCGCCACCGACAACTGCCGAAGGAATCCAGAAATTGAGACAAACAGAAGAATTGCTTGAGAAAAAGCAGGCGTTTTTGGAAAAGAAAATCCAGGAAGAAATTAAAATAGCAAAACAAAATGGCACGAGAAATAAAAGGGGTAAGTTCGGGAAGTTCAACCACAGGCCTAATTTTCATTCTTTACATTTTATTAAAATTTCAACCATGTATGGATGGCAAGCATAAAAACTGTCATCTTCAGCATGTTCAGACGGGATCGCTGAGTTTAAATTTAACCCTGCCTCGCTTTGTTACAATTTACAAAACACTTCAATAATATTAATATTTGCAAATTTTGCTTGTCATGCTTCACATACGAACTTGGCCTATGCATCGTGCGGGAATTTGCACGCCTGCGCACTTGCAGTCATTTTTAGAAAAATATGTCGGTGACTTGCCTACGTCACAGACAACCCGAACGTTTGCGGGTCAATCCAGGTCAATTCCCGCGCGGACCATCTATTTTTGAACCGATCGATATTGCGGTCGGCCGATATGTAATCTGATACGTTCCCACGCCACGGCCAGGCACTATGCATACATCCTGCATACAAATACGTATACGTGTATGTACATGTATTGGATGATCCAGGGGATCGGCGAGCTTCAAGTCAATTTTTTTCAAATCGGAGTTCGACTCGAACTTGCTTCATTTTATTTTTGACCAAAATGCAATTTGGGATTACATGTATATTCAAAGTTACATAATAATACAGCAAATATGAAAGACCGTTTAGATCTGTACATCATTTGTTGTGAATTAGCCACTGGAAAACACAGTACAAAATAACTTTATTTAAGTTTAATAACTATTCAAAATCTGCACCTGTGGTTTTTAGTATTTTACGACGATGGAAAAAAAACATTTTTAAAGTTCTTTATCCTTTTTTCCCCGGCATATTTTTAAAGTTATATTTCATTGTCATAGTGCTAGCCCAGGGCGGATAGGCATCGTGTCTTTTTGCTATCAGTCTTTATGTTATCATTTTAAAAATTATTGTGTTTTACAGGCATGTTTTATTCATAGGTTAATTTAAGTGTAAGTTTTACTATTGTCAGTTCTTGCATGCTGTTTTTACTGTTTTTACTCTTTGATTTACACCAGGACAAGAATGTGTTTGTTTTTAACTTAGATGACTAATACAAGTACGAATATGAATGTTCACCACTTGTCAATAATGTCGAGAAGTTATAACAACAAAGGCATGAAAATAAAAGGAAATACACTTGATGCCAACTTCACGAAAGGGGTAGATCATGGGGGCAATTCCGAAGAGTCGTCAAAGAACAGACGCAAAACAAACAATCCAGATTATAATCTCCCCCAGGCTAATACATAGTCAAAAACCCGTTCTTTAAAAATCGAATCAGAGTAAGTAAGCAGTAAGCAGTAAGCATGACAAGTCTTTTAAAAAATAGTTTTGAAATTTTTGAATCAAATTGCAAAAGGTTTTCAGCGTTTTTACGGAGGGACTAAATTATCAATCCAAAAATCATACCTTTTTTCAAAATTCTTGTTCCGGCTGAAATTGCACGCAACGAACATTTTTGGAAAGAAGTCTGGGTCAAAATCAGATAAAATCAACGAAATCATAACAATCAAATCAATGTTGAGAAAACTTCACCTGAATGTCTTTTGATTTTTTACGAAGAGACAAATTCGTGCAAAGGGTGGGGAATGGGTATCGGCAATTTGCCAAAACAACAAGTGTGTGGGATTTAGTTTTCACGACCAGACAAACATCTATGGGGATTAGTTACGATACCGGTACCTCGCAATTGTTGTTCCATTATTCTGTAATTGGTACATCTTTGAAGTTTCATCTGTGTTTCAAAAGTTAGTCAGTAGTATGCGAAATGTTTATTCCAAATCGTGACCAACTTAAAACCTCTTTTCTGACAACCACTGCAAGTTCAACGGGTGCATTATGTTATACCTGTTCCCCAAACCTAACCCTAACCGTTAAACCCCAACACCTATTGCGGCAAATTCACCCCTTCGTGAAAACGCTGACAAATTGGAATAAGCGAAATCTGGATAAAGTCAACACTGATAACTCAAAACCTGAAAGTCAAACCATCCCTCCATGGTCAAAGAAAACTGCATAGTACTACGAAATAAAACAATATATATACCCTGATTAACCAAATTTCGAGTTGTTCCGTAGCTGCATGGGAGGCTATACTATCAAGGTTGGGGCCTTAGGCCTATATATCGCAAGTCCGACTCCTCCGATGATAAACCTGGACCCCCGCCACGCCTCGGAAGTCCGAAATTTCCAAATTATTAGGCGTCGGACTGATGAGGTGTCGGACCTAGGCGTCGGAATTTTATAACAGTTATGGGCCTTATATTAGATTTTGCCGGACTTGGGGCCTATATGCGTCTGACATAATTATATGAGGCTTAGCGGAGCCCTTAAGATTTCCCTTTAAGTCCAATGTTATTGAAAGGTCAGAAACGATGGAAAATGATGAATACTCCGAATACAAAATACTCTAAATAATTATGGAGAACTAGTGATCAAAGGCATCTTGTGAGCGAATAGTTCGACAGTACTGATTGTTATTCTCCTCTGATGTCATTGTGTATCGTCTAAACATGAGAATGCAGTTTCTATTTTGTTGGTTTCTGACAAAGGAAGGCATTTCAAATACATGTATTTTGCTCCAATTTTTAGAGAAAATATTCTGAACTTGCGGAAAAAGGACCCACCAAGTCAGAACGTCGGCCAAAGAGGCGAAAAAAGATATTTTTTTTTTTGCATGCGGGAGGTGCTTGGTACGCCCACGGGGGTACGGACGTGCGGATCCAGATAATCCACCCTAAGAATTTCTGTGTAATAAGCCATGCTAGAGTAAACTTTTAAATAATAAAACATGAATCAATGAAGTTGGAGGCTCACTCAGATTGCAGGTAAGGGAGCCGCTGGTACGTTCAAGTTTGACACCACCGAGGAGAAAGAGAAGGCTGCCGGCCAAGGCTAATGCAGCTAAGGAGAAGGAGAGAATCAAGGCCAAGAAGGAACGGGAAATGAAAGCCAAGATTGCAGAAAAGCCAAGAAAGCCAAAATGGTGAATAAAGTCAAGAAACCCGCGCCGAAGAAGTCACCCAAGAAAGCTGCCAAGAAAACGCCATCCAAGTCAAATATACATCTGTCAGCCAAGCCAGCCAAGCCAGCCAAGAAGCCAGCCAAGAAGCCAGCCAGCAAGAACACATCGAGCAAGCAGAAGAAAGTGTCGGCCAAGCCTTCGAAGAAATCATCGAATCAACAAACTAAAACCAAAACGGCTCTTTTCAGAGCCACAACATTTTCACAAAATAGATATGAGATATTCGTTTCTGCAATTTGCATTTTTATTAAATTTTATATTTTTCATGATTACTGTTTTTAAGTTTTCGTATAAAGCCCCCCCCCCAAAAAAAACCCAAAAACATCATTGCATGAAAATAAGATATTTTCACCCCATATTCCATTCCGCGCCAGGGGACAGCGCAAAGGGTGAATAAAAAAACCCATGATATTCCAACCTCCTGATTCGGAGTACTCTAAACTCCCCCCCCCCACACACACACACACCCACGCTTAATTGCACAGGCGTAGAAGTGGGGACGCGGCCCCATCCCCCATTTGCCCCCATCCCCCATTCGCCCCTCCCCCCGTCCCTAACGCCCCCTTCCCCGGGGTCTGGATAATGGTGCACGGAAAAAAGGAAAAATTAGGAACAAAGGAAATTTTATCCCCGCCCCGCCCCAAGGGGTCGGGATAATTGGCAAGGCCAAAAGGGTCAATAAAAAATGTGCATGGAGTGTTCCCGGTGCACCGCCCCCTATCTCCCCACCCTTCCAACCTGCACTCCAACCCGCGGGCCTCCCTCACCCCACCCACTCAACCCCGTCCCGTCGCTTTGGGATAGTAAGGGACGAAAAAAAGGCCATCAACAAACGGAATCCTTGCTTTGTAACGCTTCTTCCATAGCTCCTGCACGGGTGCATGTCTATGTTCCCCAATTCCGATGTTCCCTAATACCGATGTTCCTCGAAATCCTTACCAATATAACCCTAACTCTAACCCTAACCCTAATCCTATGGATTTGGGGGAACATCGGTATTGGGGAACATCGGGTAGATCCCCTGCTCTGCTGCACGTACGTACGTGTATACTGTATACAGACTAACTGATCATTCGCAATTTTTGGCATTTCCTTCGAAAAATGTCCATGCATATTGCTCGCGACCATCGCACAATCAAACCGACCACCCACATGTGGCACACCATTCGACAGCTAAAATCCTCAACTATTCGAAATAAATTCATTTGAATTTGAACCAAATACTGGAAAGAAGACAAACGGGATTGAAGAGATGGACTCCTACTCCTAGCGAGAGTGGCCGAAATTGATCGACGACGATGTCATGCGCGTATTTTAAAGCAAGAATTTGACGATTGCGTCATAAAATTCGGCGCTGTTCACCTAATTTGCATACGAAGGTTTCTGTGAATAGTTTGTCGTGGCCCCCACCCTCTGCCCCAAGGATCGGGATTATAATGCAAGGACCAAATCAAAAGAAGATTGAGAAATTCCAGGCCCTCCCCTTCTGATGCTCCCCGGGATATTCAACCCTCCTGGTTTGGAGTACCGTAACCCCCCCCCCCCCCCCCCACCCCCGACTCATGCGGCCCCACCACCTCTCTCCCCCCAAGAGCAGCACGTCTAAAGATTAATAACTAAAAGAACATAAAGGACATTCCACCCTCTTTGTTTTGGGAAATCCCCCCGCCCCCACAACCCCTACCCGGCCTCAACGGGGTCCGCTCATAAGTCCGACGCCTCATAAATCCGACAAAATCACATCCCCTAACCAAATAAAGGCCCATAAGTCCGACGCCTCATAGGTCCGACGCCTAATAAATCTGACGCCTCATAGGTCGACGCCTCATAGCTCCGACGCCTCGTAAGTCCGACACTCGTTTTTCCGTTGTCGGACTTTTGAGGCGTTGGACTTATGAGGCGTCGGATCTATGAGGCGGAATAAATAAAGTCCGACGCCTCATAAGTCCGAAATTTCGGACTTATGAGGCGTCGGACCTATGAGGCGTCGGACTTATGATACGGTCCCGCCTCAACCCCGGCCCGGTCCATGATATCGCAGTAAAAGAAAGTCTGGTCGGGAACGTCATTGCACCAAATTAAAAGACAAACTTCACTTGTTGGAAAAAACAATTTCAGCCCTCTTGGCGTGGTTTGAACACCACGATCCGCCCCCCCCCCCCCCACCGCCCCATCCCCAGGGTCGGAATATGGTATCCAGGGCAGGGGAAAGGAAAAAAAGAAAGTGGTATTCCCAATAATAAAGTCACATCATTTATCAGAAAACAAAACATCTTGATTATTTGCTGACTGCTCTATGTTCCGACACCCCTGTGTTCCGACAACCTAGATTGTGTTAATACTCCCGGTTAGGGTTAGGGCTAGGAATAGGAATATGTGCAGTCGGAACATTGGGGTGTCGGAACATAGAGGTGTAACCGATTATTTTATTAATCTTGGGTTTTTATTAGAACGCGCACGGTGCCGGCGGGCCGGATATAACCGGCGTGATCATTTGAAAATCATTCGCAATTTTTGGCAGTTCCAGTGATGAATTTCCATGCATTTTGCTCGCGACCATCGCACTATTAAACCGACCACCCACTTAGGCCACACCATTCGCCAGCTAAAAAACTCAACTACTCGGAATTAATTCATTTGATCTCAAACAAAATGTTGGAAGGAAGAAAAACAGGATTGAAAGATGGACTCCCTTGGACAATACGAAGTTTGAGTTACAAAAAGGAAAACGCTAAAACAATATTTTAATCGTCAAAACTCACCCTTTCATTTAACAATTTTGACTCTGTCTTCGGCAAAAGGAAGCGGACATGATTCTGTTGCTTTCAGCATGTAAATTTCTGGCAGGTGCATCCTCCGATGTAGGCCTACAATGATATTATTCATAAAACTGAAGGAGTCTGGCCGAAAATTGGCCGAAGTAGATGGCATGCGCGTAAGCAAGAATTTCATGATGATGCTATAATGAGCGGCGCTGTTTACCTAATTTGCATATCATGATTTCTGCGTTGGTTGGGGCCCCCACCACCCATCGCCCACTAGGGTCGGGATATGTTGCAAGGACCGAAAAAAGGAAAGGAAATATGAAATTCCACCCTCCTCCTTTTGAGCCCCCCCCCCCCCCGGATTTTAAGCTTCCTGGTTTTGAGTACTCTAACCCCGGCCCCCCTCTACACTCACGAGGCATCCTCCCCCACGCCCCCCCCCCCCCCCTCCACCGGGAACCCCTTATGTGCACTCCCCTTCCATGGGGTCCTGATATGGTGCAGGTGTAAGAAATGAAAGACAGGAATTATTCCATTATCCTGGTTCTCAGTACCCCCCTCCCGTTCCTTTCCCCCCACCCAGGGGACCCCACCCCGCCCCTCAAGGTGTTGGGATATGTGCAATGGCCATTCAACCAAAGAATGTGCATATTCCACCCACTGTGTCTTTGTTCCCCCGCCCCCCCCCCCCATCCCCTCCCCCTCCCCCACCCACCTGCAGGCCTCCCCCACCCTACCCGCGGGCCATCCCCACCCCAACCCACCGCCCAACTCCGTTGCATCGGGATACAGGGTAAAAGAGACAGAAAAAAAAGAGACACACACACATTTCATCAAACGGGATCCCTTTAATCAAACGGGATCCCTTAATCTTCGTAACCGCCTTTCACTGAGCTATATATATCTCCTGCACGTTGCACGTGTTTATATCACGTGATTACTTCACTATCATTCGCAATTTTGGGCAGTTTTAGCGAGCAATTTTTATGCATATTGCTCGCGGCCATCGCCGTATCAGACCGGCCACCCACATGTGCCACACCATATCAAAGCTGAAAACCTGTTCTATATGGAACTAATTCCGGTTTTCCCGAACCAAATTCGAGAAGAGAGAAATTTAGGATTAAAAAGATGGACTCCCTCGAAAAATAAGAAGTTTTGGTTCCTAAAAAAAAAACCGCTAAAAAATGTTTCAACTGTCAAAACTCAAGCAATAGGTCATCGATTTTGATGCTTTCTTCGGCAAAAGAAAGCAGATATCATGAGCTTTTCTACTGTAAATTTCTGGCATGTGCACTCTCCGATGCATAATGATTTCATTCATAAAACTGAAGCGAGTCGGGCTGAAATTGATGGCATGAGCGCAAGCACGAACTCAACGTTGACGTCATAATGAGGGGCGTGTTGACCCCAATTTGCATAGGTGAATTTCCGCGATAAGTTTGTATGTGTGCTTGTTACACTACAGTAAAGTCAATGCTAGCATGGCCTGTAAGAGTCTAGTCCAACAATGCATGCTGAAGGTATCCGGATCAAATCTGAGATCTTGATGGGTTAATTGTTTCCTTTTAAAAACAATAGTTTTCTTTAGTCTTTACTGATTTCTTTTCATGTTTTTAATTAATATCCTACTTTTTGTAACTTGGTCTAGATTTAATTTGTTTCCTAGTGATTCGTAAAAAAGTAAAAATCGATAAACACACAAATACTAGAATTTGTATCCTTGTGGAGTCATTTCGTTGTTCTCATGTGCTAACATTTTAGAGTTTGACATTGTAGTTTCAAAATTTCCTATTTTAACCAGAATTAATTTCCTGGGCTGAATGGCTGAAATTCAGACCTATTATCTTCTTCTTCATTCATTTTCATGATGACTTGATGAGTTGGGCCCAACTGTCCCTGTCGAGCATAGCATTGGAAAGAGATGGACCACTCAAACCAGTTTCTAGCTCGATGGATGTTTTAATATCCCTTACATAAAATACTTCAATTTGCGATGGATCAACACACCTTGGAAATTCCTAGTTTTTGAGCAAAATCCATATCTATTTCGTGATAACCTTGAGGAGACATATTCACCTATAGAAATTGCCTTGTGGCGACGTATAAAATCTGTTGTTCTCTATTATGCACAAGTCTCCACAGGGTAGGCCTACCGTGTATCAGGTCAAGGCTTTGCCTCGCCTGCTTCATTGGTGAGGCGAGGCGCATGAGCCTGTTGCCTGCTTCACAGGTGAATCAACCACAACTCATGAAAACTTTGTGCTTTATTGTTTAGCGGTGATATTACATCAGTTTGAAAACTTTTACTGCCTTTATTACTGTAGCGGCTATCATGGCATTGAAGAGGAAGAAGAGATTAGAGAAGCAACTTCAACAAATCGACGGCACATTGTCGACGATAGAATTCCAGAGGGAAGCACTAGAGAACGCAAACACAAACACCGAGGTTGTCAAGACCATGGGATTTGCCGCAAAGGCCCTCAAGAGTGCACAACAAAACATGTAAGACTGTAATACATGGACTTGACATGGATAGTTCAACCCTAAGCCCTTGAGCACTTTTACTAGAAAATATCCTAAATCCGCCAAAATCCAATTTTGTCATGTACAAAAAAATGTTGGTGTCCTGAGTCCATCAGAATCCACCAGTGAGTCCATCAGAGTCCACCAGTGAGTCCATCAGAATCCACCAGTGAGTCCATCAGAATCCACCTGTGCACACCAAACTTAGCCAAGGATCGTGAATCCATCAAATCCCCCAACTGCTCAATATGGATAAAAGTTTTTTCAAATGCTGTATTAGTTCAAGTTTTGGCACCAATTTTTAAGGTGCACGGTAACTTTGCTGACTTTGATATGGGAACAAATATTCAATGTTCAACAGAGGTTCGACTTGGACATGCTGGATGCTGTATATTGAAAAGAGGTGTCATAGCTACGTGTGATTTCATGTTCTATGTTATTATGTGTGTAGGGGTGTAGAGGACGTGGATGATTTGATGTCCGACATCCAAGAACAGATGGAAGTATCCAATGAAATCAGCGACGCAATCTCCAACCAGATCGGATTCGGCCAAGATGTCGACGAGGTAAGTCTGTCAGGGTTCGTTCTCAAAAAATTGAAACATTAAAACTGTGCAGGCATGGTTCTATAGCAGAATCCGGCTACCAGAATTAGAGGCCGTTACTGCAGTGGTGTCCCGCTCACGGGATTGCTGCACACGTTCTTAAAGACAAGGCGTGCAAGTTTTGGTAACTATTGGTCGAAGAAGCCCAAAGTGCATGCGTACAACCTGAGCGTGACTCACTATTTGGTTGGAAATTACCCAACTCCCCAAATTTCTTTTCTAGATATTATCCCCATGGAAAATCTTCTGAAAATTTTGTTCTCTGAAAAATGGATCATCTTTTTGAGCCCTCTCCCCACCCCCCCCCCAAAAAAAAATGGTCTAGGGCCATTCCTGTATCTTTGTCCCCTGTGAATTATGATAAGCTTCTTGAAGTGGGTGTGATATTTGTTTGATTTCAGGATGAACTATTCAAGGAATTGGAGGAGTTAGAGCAAGAGGAATTAGACGAGCAGCTTCTGAGTGTTGGGCCCAGCGTTGCTCCGGAGCTACCCGATGTGCCAACAGCAAGACCTGGTCAGTATGCTCCCCAATCAAACCACTGGCAGATCCAGAACAAGTTTTCAGGGGGGGGGGGGAGGAGCTTGGCTTGATCCCATTTCATCGGGGGGCGGGGGGGGGTCTGTTAAAAAAAAAAATGCTGGTTTTTAAAAAAAAAAAATTATTTCACAATCCTTGGAAGGAAGGGGGTTGAGGTAGACTACAATTTTGATCCTGGTTTTTCTCAAAAAAAAAGTTCTGTTTTAATACCAACCCTCCCCGATCTGCCAGAATCCAGTTTCACGCTAATCGAAATTGCATTTATTTCTTTGATATGACTGAAGTAGATGGAAACTGTGATGGTTGACTTAGGAGCAAATTCGTTGGGAGGATCCACCGTTTTGGAACAACTCCCGATTCTAGTCCATGGATTAATACCAAAATAATACAATTAATACGAAAACATTGCCTGTCTGAAACGAACATTTTTATGGTTCGCGGAAACTCTGGAATGCAGGTCTGAAATGTTTGAGAGAACCTAACGAAACTTGAAAGTTCCACCTTTGAATTGCTTGGAGGCCATTTGACATTGCCCATAAATTTATTAAGCTTTAATCCTGTTCAAATTTAGTTTTACCTTTTGTCTATCTCCCAACCTTTGTTGAAGGCTGATTTGTTTCCCCCCAATTGTTATAACAAAGGTTCTAGATTGCCATTTGACACTTGGTTTTACAGAATTAATTTTGGAGGATTCTGGACTTTAAATCTAACACGTATTACTTTACGTGGGGCTTGCAGTTTAAGTACCAAAAAAGGTATCATTGCTTTACAGGAAAGTTGAATTTTGGCAAATTTTGGATATTTTTTAGCAAAAGAATATTTTGAGTCCGGGCTAATTTTGCTTCTTTACCCTTTTCTTTTCAGCCAGAGTTGCAGACCAAGAGGATGAGGATATGAGAGAGCTGGCTGCCTGGGCGTCCTAGCTTGCAGGGAGACTATCCGATCCAGATAAATACACTCTTATTATATTCCGAACGGTACTTTCATGTCTGATTTTGAGCAGAGCAGACAGTCTGTTTATATGAGACAGCTCTGAGCAGCTTTGTCCGTTAGAAAGTCAGTCAACGCTAGTTATCTAAAAAACTTGTAAATAACGTTAGAAATCACTTTTATGCTTTTTTTGCAAAATCGCATTTATTTTGTTATCTCTTTTTATGATTTTGCTGCGTGACAAGCTGTGATTTTCCATATTTATGACTAATTTTATAGTCCGTAAGATCTCCCTGTGTCAACATTTACCTGTGTAAGAAGTAATACCCTCCTAACACTAATGCTTGGGTGGGCTCTGTTCAACCTCGACATTGCCAAGATGTAACAAAAAAATCAAAAGAAATGTCGAACAAAATATTTATGGGATTGTCATACCACAACTAGTGGTCCCCCTGTCATAACCCATAAATTGCCCTTAACAATCCAGAGGCTTTTCCCCAAGGGAAGGGGCTTACCCTCCCGTACGTTCACAGGAAGGCAAAACAATTTGATCAACTCATGGAAAAGGGAACAAAATTTGTCGGATAATAAGCAAAACGCAAAAACAAACTCGAATGTTGCAGCATGTAGACCTATATCGGACTCTGTCAAATTGACAGAGAAGTTAATACTTACCTTTCAGAGTCTATTGGTTAAGCATAACTTAGCTTGCGAGGTCGTCACGACCTCTTCATTCAGCATTGTGGCTAAATCCCTCCGCTCACGTGACCACCTTTGGGGCGGTCACGTGAGAGCAGATCGTCATAGATGGCGGGCAGGTCATATCCCGCGTCCCTGTTGAGTGTTGGGTTCTGGGTCTTGATCGGTATGACCTCCCTCGAATGTAGCATTTTGTTTTGCATGTTTTGTGAAATCGGTACTTTTCTAAGAAGGCGTTCTTGTACATGTTTGTAAAGGGAGATTCATTTAGAATGCATTTGCTGTGGCATATTCTCAACCAATCCAAAGTTCACGCGCTAGCTTTTTGAACAAACAACAGGCAAACCTGGTTTTTGTATGTGTATCACCCTGTCGCCCACCTTAATATTCTTGAGTGTATGTATTTGTAATGGTGATGAAACATGAGAAAATGTTAAGTATTGGATCAATGGTCTCAAATAGACAGATCTGTTAAGCCCTACGCATGTGGGGAAACAACACATGTGCCTCTTTGATGCCACATTGTGCGTTTCAGCTAGATACGTGCATCTTCTGCGCGTGCAAGCATGTCAGACTGTTGTGCAAATTGTAGAAATGAACAGATCCTACAAATACACCCCCCCCCCCCCGAGACATGGTGACATCACGCTTTGTTCATCATACAATGTACTTTCTGGTCTGCAGGTAATTCTGCACGTTGTGGGTTCGGGTCTTGCCTGGGGTCATGGTACATGTACCATTGGGCAAGGCACTTTGTAACACATTGCTTCTCTCCACCCAGGAGTAAATGCCAATGGGTACCTGTGAGGGCAGATGTGGTTATAAATTGTGGTTGATTTAGCTTTCTTGCGCCTAACAGGCAGCATCAAGCTGTATACTCCCTAAGGGAGCTGAGGTTTCAGGAGTGGTTGCTCGTTGTGACAGGGAAATAATAATTGTAAAGCACTTTGATACCCCGTTGCGGCGTGAAAGCGCTATTTAAATGCCTACTTTTAATATTATTATTATTATTATTGGAACTGGGTGGGGACAATGTCCCCTTAGCATCCATAAACAAAGCGGTTTCAAAAGGATGATATGAAATGGAACACTTTATTTCTGGTATATGTAAATGTACAACGTTTCTGTGAGATACTGATTGAGTAGCTCATACATGGCATAGGCGCAACATCTGATAGTCTTTGTAAGATTGTGGGGGACAAATTGAACCAGTTGTGAAAGAAATACACGTAGTTTTATTGGTTTATTTGTCATTGGAAGAAATCTCTTGATAATTGAATTCATATTCTGTAGATACATGCAGCAAATTATCACCATTACAACAAAAAGTTGACGTGCTTTAAAAAACCAATTCGGCTCATAAAATTGACGTACATACATAGAAACTCAAAAAATGGTAACCTACTTCATGTAATTAAAATGTATTTAAAAAATAGTGTAGGTAGTCACATGAATGGAAGAAAGTGACCTAAATAGTTAGCATTCACATGAAATTATGACAGTTTGATTTTTGTGTAAATAAAATTGAATAAAAATGGTGTATAGTTACTGTACAAGAATCTACAAATTTTATTCCAGTTTGGCTGTTGTCCGAAGCTTTTGTAATTTTGGCTATTATACGATACAAAGACTACAAAAGTATATGTATGTAACTGAATAGTGATACAAAAAGCATAAAAAGTCTAAATTTGGTTGATGGAATGGAGATACATGTAATAAGTACATTAAAATACTTTTTATTCATTGAAGGTATTATAAAATGCAATCTGCATACCATAATCAAACAATCAAAATCTTGTTTAAAAATGCAGAAAAAGGGAAAAAAAGTTACAACCCCTTTCCTCCCTGAGAGAAAATTGCAGTTTCCCATGACGATGAATATTATTCCTTACAAAATCAAGGATTTTCCAAGTTTGTTAAATACCTTCTGGCAAGCAATCTAGACCCATGCTCTGTGCAAAAAGTGTACATGTATTTCAGATATGAAACCTCGCATTCTGTATTTCATACAAACATTAAAAACAAATTGCGCAGAAATACGACTACAAGTCTTAACATCTTCATACCTTCGTCGGTCAAGTAATATCATGCTTGCTCCAAAATGCCAAACAAGGAATACAGGGTCTTGGAGTGATTACATATACCTGTCTATTTCATAACACTTTTCAGTTGGTTACAAGATATTTTTATTTTGGTATAACGTTGAATGCCATGGTTCATACGTGTTCACAATTCATACTTTAATAGTCATGTTTGCATAGCTCGTAAATTGAAATATTAAATTTTTAATTTAAAATACCTTTCTTTAATACATGCTATAAACTATTAAAAAAACCATATTAAATTGGAAGTACGAGGGCACTTTAAAAACAATAACATATCAAAAACATTACTTTAAATATACCAAATTCAAATACATGCACATGTATTATACAGATAATAATAAATTTCTTTGGACCACTTTTTTACTCACCGAGAGACGCATCCTGCAACCATCTTTTCTCATGATTTAATCACGTCACAAAGAAGCGTTTCAAATCAAATTTGTACAAGTGTTCTTCCAGGCATTGTAAAATAATTATGTACCCTGTTTTTTTTTTTACAAGTGCCTGAGTCGTACATGTATGTATAAAAGGCAGACAATAAGGTCGTGCATGTACACTATGGAAAATTGGGTAAATTTTTCAAGTTGAAGTTATGTTTCCACATCTGCAAAATATCATTTAAGTCAAATAGTGGTCTGGTTGGAATGTGGCATCAAACAATACATCAGTTTTGGGCCATATATGTTAAGTTTAAAAATCAAAACTTAAAAAATTTGAACTTTGTTTTGTTTGGTCCACAGCGAATATTAAAAATCGTTTACACATTTTTTTCCTGTCTAAAAAGCTTTAACTAATGTTAAAGCAGTAACAGAAATTAACATTTTCTATTCCTATTTACACGACTAGTGCTATTTTCTATACAGTCCTAAAACATGAGAAACATGAATGAATTGTATCATAGATTTTGGAGTTGAAGTTTCTCCTCAAGGAATGTAAATTGGTCTATCATCTCATCAAGGGGTTGTGTAGCATCCAGAACCTGCAATGGAAAGTTACAACTTGAAATGAACCACGCAAAACTTGGGAATGTGGGATTAACATTCTGCAAAAATTTTAATACGAGCCTGTTCATGTGTGCTGTACTGGTATAAAAAAAAACTACTAAAGAGTAATATTTTCAAGACCTAGCCAAAAAAACCAATTTTTTTTTCAACATTGCTCACATTTCCATAGAAATTTAAAATACATGTACTTGTAATTAATGTAAGCAAATTAAAAACCTGAAAAAGAAAAAGGGATGAAAAGTTTGTGTTTGGGGAATTGTAGCTTGTGGTCAGAAAGTAACAAGCACTTACCAATACTGGCGCAGGAAGTTCAAACTTTGTCTTCCTGAAAAGCCAATCCTCGTGCATCTCATGAAGATCTCGGAGATAGTCTAGAGGTATCCCGCACTCCTCTGAACGACTCCGTTCCATGATACGTCTCTCACACTGCTCAGGGGTGCTACGGAGGTACACTGGATCAACAAAGAACATGTACAACAAAATCATTAGAGAAAATAAGAAATGATAGCCTTTTACACAAATTGCTTGGATTTTACCTCAATATTGCAGAATACCGTCTCCAACTGCCTCCATGTACAAATTGCATTAAGAATCAATCCTCCAAACTCGTCCGTTATTTCTTAAATGTGGCCCTTGAAGGGGTGTCCACTGCCTCAATCCTGCAAAATTATCCAGCAATCATTGTCAGTACGTGGAGGCAGAACCAGTGGCATCCTGGAGCAAGGCCTAAATTATTGCAAGGCTGAGCATAAACAATACAAAGTCCGACCCAAGACCTTGACAACGTGCATCCTCCAAAATCAGCAACACACTTTTGCCATGTAAATGATGAAGCCTCAATCCTGCAAAATCCTCCAATTTGCAAAGAGGATTATGGAGGATTTGGGAAGGCTAGGGTTAAAGCAGATTGTGTTCTTGTCTCACCTATATGGTCAATGTGCAGGTCTTTTGTCGTCCGCAGCCAATCAAACCACTCGCTCAAGACATTGTACTCGGGCCTCTGTAGCTTCTTCGACTGGTACAGGTTTTCAATGAAGCAGTACTTGCTACTGTGCAACGATCGTTCCATCATCTTGACCTGTTTTTTTGTCTTAGCCTGATGCACCTGCAGCATGGTAAACTGCACGTAGGATTGGAAGGCAAAACTCCAACGACTCAGATCCTGATACAGTAGATCCAACATGTTGGATCCTCGGTTGTCCTGCCATTTGTGCACAGGCTCAGGGAAGACTTCGATGCCCTTCTTTTTACCAAAATACTGCAGTAATGTTGATTTTCCACTGCCGATGTTGCCCTCAATAACAATCTGTCAAACCACAATTATTTTCAAATACATACATCAGGGGTCAATTTAGAAAATAAGTTACATTATACATGCACAACTGAGATTTACTTATAACACAAATTTGACATAATCATAGTTCACAAACAATTATTTAACGTGATTGGGATTTTTGAATATTATAAATGTTTTGAATTCTCTTTTGAACTGTTTCTGTTCAATAGACAATAGACAAAATAACCACATTTTTGTAAAAAAATGGGGAAAAAAAATGTTGCAACTGACGCCACTTCAGTGGTTGTGTACTAAGTCTATGGAGAGTCAAGAAAATTTTGTAAGTAGGCCTAGGCCTATTTGAGTATTTCCTAACAAAATTGGAAATGTTTCTCAGTCCCAGATTCATGGCTTATCATTGAGATGATATATGAAGAAAACAGTGGCGTCAGGTTGCAACATTCTTTCTGTGACGGACTATTACAACTTTCTTTCCAAGTAAAAATAAAATATAAAATTGATTTGATAGGCCTAATTAGGCCTAATAATATATAAATTAAGCACAAACTAAAAAAAAGTGATTAAAACCGACATGAACCAACGCAATAGGGCCTACAAGAAAAAAAAAATTAATTTGAAAATTTCAAACATCTTAAACAACATCCTTGTTTCATACACTTACTGTCTTTGGTTTGTCAGTTTTAGGACCAATGCTGCCACTTTCATTGACGATGTTGGCGACTGCGCTGATATCGCCCAGCGGTGCCCGATCGTGCCGATGTTGAGAATTTCTTGAATTCATTCGACTCACGTCGAATCGGTTTTGTCGAGTCAGAATCATATTTGTAATGGGGCTGTGCAACTCCCCATCACCAGAATTTTCCTGATTTTCGTTTGACATCTTTTACAAATTATTTTCGGAACTGCAGAGATTGAGCCAAAAACCACAAACACAAGTAGCAGGGATTTTTGTATGCGGAACTAAAAATTTACTGTTGAAAAATCCCGCGCATATTTATGTCGTCTTAATCCCTGATCAAAAAGTATGTTTTGTATGAAACAAGTGTACGGGCGCCTGTCTAAAGTAAAACCTTTGTTGAATTCAAAAGCGATACCACTTTTCGTTTAGGGGGAAAATAATGTAATTGTAACCGGGCGTTTCGTTCAGAATTTATTTGCAGTCAATGAAAAGGAAGTAATTACAATAAAGGTGTAACACCTGTTCTATTTTAAATCATTTTAACTTGTAAAGTTATCATTGCATCCAAAATGTTTGTTTTTAATGGCAAGAACTTTATATCAACCCGTTGCGGGCATATTTACAATGACCCGATAAGGCGCGGGGTTTTTAAGAATTATGCGCGCCGGCCCCGATGGTGCATGTTTTGTTATGTACAACTTGTAAGTTGTAGTGGCATTACCGTAGTCTAAAGTTGATGTTTATGTGCATTTCCCGACCATTTTGTCGAAATTTCCAACGTTCTTTATTATTCTTGAAGAATACTTCATTCCAAATGTTGGGGGAAAATCAAGAGAATTCCGAAATCATGTCTCAAAATCGATCAAATGCACCTGCGGCAGAAATGAAACGAAACCGAAATCGAAACCGGCGCGAAAAATCTGAGGGGACTGGCGTTCATCACAGCAGCGCACCCACCAGCTGCGGCAGTAGTGGTACACAAAATCGCGTTCCACTGAGTGATATAAGTTCACACTGCAACATTACAATTAGTGGAAATGGCACCAAATCTGCTGAAAAACCAAGGACGGTAAGTTGCGTGGTGTATCAGGATTTCCGTGTATCAGTTGTATTTTTTGTGTTGACTGTTGACTGTTGTTAATGCAATAAACATGATTAATGTCTGAATGTTGCCGTTGGACAATCCTAGTCCTACGTTGAAATGTGGGGGGGGGGGGGGGGGGGGATGCCAGGCAACTAAAGGGTGGGGGATGAGGGGCATTGGGGGAATACTTAAAAAGCCGAAGAACTAGGCTAACTTATTTATATTTTAACAAGAATTTAGAAGGCAAACAAATAAGTTACCAGGTTGACACTATCCGACTACTCTATGACTCTCGCATTAATTTAATGTCATTTTCTTTCAAATTCAAGCCAAAAAAAGCGCAAAGGAAAGAATGTTGCAACCTGACGCCATTTTTTTCTTTACAATAAACAGATATCATCTCAGTTAATAAGGTAATTTCTGCAAAAAAAATAGATCTGCTTTCGGTTTCCCTACCTACTCTATTCTAAATGTTGAAAAGACATGAATATTTTCTTGGACTGATATTAAGAGATAATGTGATGATATGAATGAAAAACTTTTCGAATTTTGTTAAAAAAACACAATGAAAATACACTCAACTCTTTTTTTCTTCTTTTTTTAGACTTTGTACACAACAAAAAAAGTGGCGTCTGGATACTAGGGGCTACATTCTTTCCTAGAATGCCTGCAGCCTAGGCGAAAATCCAAATTACAAACTGTGTAAAATGTTTCTTCTGCTAGATTGTTGTGGAGGGAAACATCGGAAGTGGAAAGTCGACGTTGCTGAAGTATTTTAGCCAGACAGACGGCATTGAGGTCTTTCCTGAGCCGGTCCATAAATGGCAAGACAACAAGGGACATAATATATTGGTAATCACTTAACAGACTAATCAGATTTACTCTCTAGTCTTAGTCTTACCAGGATTGCTGGAGGTTTGCCAATCAACATTGTGCAGGGTCTGGGAGGATTTAGGGCATGTAGGGTTGCACATTCTGGTCTTGAATCTGACTATTTTATTAATTTCTAGATTGAGATTCTATACTGGGTATTGAGTTTTGCAGATTCTGGAAGTGAAAGCTACGTAGCAAGACAAATTCTGAGGAGATTTTCTGAAATAACGATTTATTTATTAAACCTCGAGACATTAAGATCTTTAAAAAGAATGAGATTTCATCTCATTTCTTGAGATGATTGCATTACTTTATGATCTTTTACGATTTAATGAAATTGAGAGAGTTGTCCAAAAAACAGATGGATTTCAAGTATATATTGGGATCTCGATTGTGCTTTCAGATCCCTGCAATATTAACACTTTTGAGTTCACCTTTTTGCCCTTTAGGATCTTTTCTACAAGGACCCAGAGCGGTGGAGTTTTGCCCTTGAATCCTACGCTCAATTCACCAGACTACAGGTGCATGAAGCAAAAACAAACAGCAGGGTTAAACTGATGGAACGCTCCATATACAGCGGCAAATATTGCTTCACTGAAAACCTGTACAAAAGGTAGAGTATTTGTTATTTTTCCGTTGTGGTGTTCATTGATCATTTCCAGGTCTGAGTACTTGAGCAAATGGTGGAAAGACTGTTGCAACCTAACGCTGCTTTTTTTCTTCATCATCTCAATGAAGGTCAGTCGTTGCAAAAAATGATGATAATACTTGAATCTGGGACTGAGAACATTTCCAAAAATGTTAGGAAATACTTTCTTCACTCTCCACAGACTTTGTATACAACCGCTGAAGTGGCGTCAGGTTGCGACATTCTTTCCCAAATGGTAGTAGTGGTCACTGTGTCTTAAACTGGAAAGGCAACTTCATATCCACTGTCCAGACCCGATTGCAGCCTAGGCTCAAATTTGGTCTTTTTTTGATGTCAACTTTCTGTTTTCCTACTGTTCCATTTACAGTGATCTTCATTTTAAATTAAGCTTCAATGAACAATTGTCAGAATTTTAGATATTAAGCTTTGAAATTTGTCCTTGATCTTAAGAAAACAAATTTCAGTATACCAGATGAGAAAGTATTCTCCCTCTCTTGAATTGGATTGACTTCTACAATTTGCTTTCACTTTTATTTCACAGTAAGCAGTTGAAGAGGCCAGAGTACAATGTGTTGTGCGAGTGGTTTGATTGGCTGAAAACGACAAAAGATCTTCACATTGATCATATAGGTAAGAGGCAAGCCTACAGATCCTGTGCATTGCAGCCATCTTTGAGGCAAATACTTGAGTAGACCTGGTGTGTATTCACTGTTACTGAATTAAAATATTACAAAAAGTACCCCAAATATGGCCGCTGAATTGACAGGGTCTATATAGTATATTGCTATTTAGGCCCAAAAAAATAGTTCTGCTTCCAGTTACCCTACCTACCCTATTTTGGCAGCCCCTATCCTAATTATATTTTTTTGGGGTGGGGGAGGGGGGGGGGGAGGAATGAGAAAAAAACCAGAAAACAATCAATTACTACAAATTTACCCCTGACTGCACACAGACACCTCCATTATGATTGTACACAAAAAACATCCTCCCCCCCCAAAAAAAAATCCCCTACCTACCTACCCTATTTTCAAATGCCATGTAATCGGAATCAGATCTCTTTTTTTTTTTCTTTTTTTTTTTGGCCTTAGGATATGGGCCTTTTATCCATTTAATAAATCAACTTTTGACTTAGTTTTTCGAAAAAAAATTATTGCATAAAATGTTATGCGCACTAATGAAATGAGTATTTTACCTAAATGTGGCAGAATATGATAAAGTTGTTTTTCCCTTAATTCACCAGTGTACCTCCGTAGCACTCCTGAGCATTGTGAGAGGCGTATTATTGAACGCAGCCGTTCGGAGGAGTGCGGGATACCGCTGGACTATCTCCGAGATCTTCACGAGACTCATGAAGATTGGCTCATCAGGAGGACAAAGTTTGAACTCCCGGCACCAGTGCTGGTAAGTTTCAAACAATACATATATATAAATAAAACTGATGAACACATTTTATGCTTTATCGTTTTGACTTTATACAAAAAATGTCTTATTTTTTCCTTTTATCGTCAGGTTCTTGATGCCACAAAACCACTTGATGAGATGGCCAAGCAATTTCAACATCTGGAGGAGGAATTGAATTTAAAATCCATTTGATTGTTTCTTGAATTTCATTTCCATTGGGCTATTCACAATGCAGTGCGCCACCAAGAGTTTGCATGGAGAATCTACTTTTCAAGTTTACAGTCGACAAAACATGGCCTATTTGAATGAGTGTCAGTAGACAACTTGAGCTAACTTGTTATAGATTGGGGCATGGCGTTCTGCGCCTTACAAAAAACAACAAATTGATAAGAAAAGAAAAAGGCAAACATATGCTCGAAACAAATACTTACGAAACTACTGACTGGAAAAACTAACAATTTCAAATGTAACGCGCTGCGAATTTGTCAACCATCTCCCACAATGCAATGGGAAATATGCACCCTCGTGGCAAACTCTTGGTGGCGAACTGCATTGTGAATTGCCCAAATTGTCATAAAGAAATATTGTAGTTAAGACATGACAAGTCCAGTCATGAGTAAATCACAAGTCCATACAAGTAAATGTTCTCGTGTCTGGACTTGGAACCGGGTAAATTTGAGATCAACTTGACTAAAACACTGCTATAATGGGTATTCTTTATTATTTGTTTAAATGATGGTATGTTTCTTTTGTACACTGCCAATTTTAGGCCAAAAAAAAAAAAAGTCGGTCTCTGGTCAGCGCGCGTCGATTTTAAGCATGCGCGTCGATCTTTTTTTTTCTCCAAAATGTTCCGCGGTAGCTCCAACAGCGCCCTCTATTTCCGCACCTCCTCAATTTTTTTTTACCAAAGAGCACCAAGGAATGGGAAATTGCACCAAGACAAATGATCGAAAGCACCAAGGCAAATTATGGAGGACACCAATGTACATGAGGACACCAAAAAAGCAAAATAGTACCCCACCTTGTCTGTACAATCCAAGCTTGAAGAAAAAAAAAAAAAGCAAAAAAAAAAAAAAAAAGCCGCGTGGCTGCGTCAATTCCGGAACTTTGGTCTGACCAGAGACTGAATATTTTTTTTTTTTGGCCTTAGACGTACTTTTTTTCTTCTGTATTCTGTACAAAACCTTTTGTATTTTGGTTTATCCTGAAGAGTTAAAATAGGCAAAAAGTGTGTGTGAGCTGTTCAGGAAATGTGTTTTTATTTTATTTTATTTTCATTTTTTCCTAAAGTCAATGCAATTAATGTACAACTTTTGCACCAATAATGTTTATATGTTTTAGTTACATTTTAAGCTTTATGATGTACATGTACAGGTTTTTCAAATTTGAAAAAAAAGAAGCTTTTTAATGTTAGGATTTTATTCAATCTCAGGTACTGTCGCAGGGTTGTAATAATAACAGGTTCTTATATAGCGTATTTAACTAAGATCAAAGCGCAAGTGTGAGTAGCAAACAAAAAAAACCACAAAAATTTAAAACGATTTCAAATCTGTTTTTAAGAATGTAATTTCAAAAGGAAGTACTTTTGTACATGTATATACATGTAGAATGAGATTTACATCACTGACCTCAAAAAGATTTGTCAAAATCACAATTCAGGGACAAAGCCTTAATTTGTTTTAATCAGGTTTTTTTTTCATAAAATCAATGCGTGTTGCATTGTTTCTCCACTTAATTATACTGCAAGTACCTCGTTATGAAAGCCATGGAGCTTGAACCTTTTGTCACCGACGGCATTTTTGTTTAAGGATGTACATGCATTTTCTGATTCAATCGTAAACTCTGGTGTATTGTAAAGAAATCTTAGTGCACATAAAGTAGACTAAATGTAGATGCAAGCTCCCATTGTAAAATACTTATGGTCTTGTATGAAAATAAATATTGTTATACAGTGGCAAATTTCTAAATATGCATTATTGGATTGTTTTTTCTTGTGTCGATAGCAACCAGATATATAAGTCCACATGACTGTCACTGATTTCATATAGACCTTTTGCGTTAAGGCGGAGTTTTCATATTGCTTGGATAGACATGAGTAAATCTTTTGTTTATTCATTGTAACTGAATTAAAATAACAAAGAACACCCTCTCAGACACCACACACGGTGCATAAGGTCTGTTTACAATTACATTGTAATTCCAAAAAAGGACAGAAAAAAATATTTTTCTGATGATCAGAACTTCAGGTTTTTTTTTTACCCATCCAAAGCCTTTGGCTGTGAACTGCAACATTCAGAACTATGGATCCGCCGCACTCTTCATTCCAATAACCATGACACCACTTGCTTCTCAATCCAAAACAAGTCAAATTGTACATTCATTCATGTAACCATTTCCAGTGAAATTTTTATTGATTCTCATTACTGACAGTATCTTTACATGAATATTAAAATTATTTGCGCTGCATAACAGAAATGGAAACTAATTCTGGGACTGAATATACACATCGTATTTCATTGAAACCTGTAAAAGATTGTAGGAGGCAAATCATTAGTTAACATTCAATTCATTAAAAATCCAAATGATATGAACAAGGGTCATGTCATTACTTGTTATAAAGGTGATATTCATACAACAGAGTTTGAATTTGAAAATAAATTTTCTTGTAATCTGTGAGCGGTTACAATACATGTACTTTGAAGAATACATGTACACAATGTAATAGTAAAACTTTATACATTGTAAGTATCAAATGAAAAACTAAAAAGAAACATTTAATATGGAAGTAAAAACACTTTCATGTACAATACATTTCATTACATGTAAACATTAAAAAGGGCACACTGGCTGTAAACCTTAACAAAATGCATTGTATTACATAAGAGTGACGGGGCAAAAGACCAGTCTACATAAAAAAATGTCTATAATACATGTACAAATTCAAAAGTTTGCCTAACAAAACACTGAAATTACATACTTTCAGGGAAAAGGAGGATGCTGTTAAATACCATCTCATAATTTTGACCCCTAGTTAGAATGTGCTGCCAAGAACATTTTTTTTTACTGGGAACACCCTTGTTACAGAAAGAAACACTGAAGAGGTATTGTAGTTTGTGTTTTTCAGTCAAAAATGGGGCCAAATGAAATACATGTATCCCCGAAATAATCACCAGAGGATTTCGGGGTTGCCAAGGGCTCCAGAGAACCCTACAGTATATGTTTATACATGCATAAAGATACCCCTAATAAATTAACCATTTCTTTTGAATTCCATATTTCAAAAGGAAATCTTAAAAATTTAAAATCTCATCTACAAGGGTTTACAAAACAGTTTTACTGAAAATCTAAGTTTGGATATTCTACATAAAACAAAATTCAAATATAATATTTTTACAATGTACTAAGTGTAAAAAAAAAAATCATAGTTGATCAAATTCTAACTCCTCCTCGAGGAATTTGAACTGTTGTAACATCTCATCCAGAGGCTTTGTGGCATCAAGAACCTGGGAAGAAGATACAATGTGTTGTCAAAAGATCAGATTACAGCAAGAAATGTGAGCTAAGAAAATAAGTTTATACACAGCAGCATTTAAGAACAGGTGGCAGCCAGATTATGTCAGAAAAATTAAATGTGAAATATAAAAGAATATATGAGATTTAACAAATATTATTGTTATAGACAAAGCTGGTGTTATGTGGTTATCATATAGGGTTAAAAGGGACTTGTATATACAGTCAACTCTCATTAGTACAAACTGTGTTAATACAAAATTCTGGTTATAACAAACATAAAGCCTTGGTTCCGACTGTGCATTTATGTGCACAATGAATGGGACAGATGTTACTCTTAATACACAATTCTGATATAACAAACAATTTGGCTAGGTTCGAACGAGTTTGTTATAACGAGACTCGACTGTATATATACTGCTGCATACCAAGTGTAGAACAATAAGCGGCATTACAACAAATGAAAAAATGAGTTATATCTAAAAAACAAACTGCAGTGATAAAAAAAGCCAGAAAATCAAACTTACTAATACTGGTGCGGGTAGCTCAAACTTTTTCCTGATGAGCCAATCTTCATGTCGCTCGTGAAGATCTCGTAGATAGTCCAGCGGTATCCCAGACTCCTCTTTGCGACTACGCTCAAGGATTCGCTTCTCACACTGTTCAGGTGTGCTCCGAAGGTACACTAGCAGAAAGACAATTGAAAATCAGTAACAGTTGGAAATGTCATTCAATGTATCATTGAAACATCATAGCTGAATCTTTAAAAAATTATAAAATAAATCATTCTTGTTTCATCTGACTCACCTATATAGTCAACCTGGACGTCTTTTTTGATCAACCAATCAAACCACTCGGTAAGCACATTGTACTCGGGTGTCTGCAACTTCTCACTAGAGTTTTGCACAGAAAAAAGTAAAATAGATACGGTCATCTGAAGCAGAAATTGGCTGTCGTCCTGTCGAATAAATAGGAATAATTTCATGAATATTTGGCTTAGCAGGAAAATTATAATGTCGACCTTACCTTTCGTACAGGCTTTCAATGAAGCAGTATTTGCCACTGTAAATGGAACGCTCCATCATTTTGATTCGGCAGTTGGGTTGTGCTTGGTGCTCCTGAAGTAACGTGAACTGATTGTACGATTCAAACGCAAAGCTCCAACGACTTGGATCCTGGTAGAACAACTCCTGCGAAAATAAAATCAAGGAATGGCATTAAGATAATGTCTTGCATTCATGTACTTAAGAATAAAAAACTGCACAAATTTGTTATTTAACTTCCATAAACAAAACAGATAAAAACTCTGATGATGTGTTTATAATAACACAGCAACAGTATTCATTTTTAATTGCATTGCAATATGTGAGTCTACTTTTTTACTTTGCATATTTGAAACTTGACAAGAAAAAAGTATACAAAATATGCATAGCAGTTTGCTATATTCAAAAGTTTTTAAAAAAAATTGCTCATTAATTGAACAATAAATTTCTCCCAAAGTCGCAAACAATATGGTTGCATTAGGGTTTAGCATTTTATTTCAACTTCGTAACTTACTTCAACGACGTAACTTCAACTTTGTAAGTTTGAAATAATATTAATAAAATCTTGAACGAGTTGAATTTTTCAAGTTTATTACCAGCATATTCTCTCCTCTATTGTCCCTCCATTTGTCAACTGGTTCAGGAAAGACCTCAACATTATCCTTCTGGCCAAAATGTTTCAGTAATGTAGACTTTCCACAGCCAATGTTGCCCTCAATAATTATCTGAAAATGGAGAAATATCAAACAATTGTCATTTTTAAAATAAGTAAAATAAGGTTATCAAACTACACGGGTACTTATACGCACAGAATTTCAGAGACTATCAGTTGAAATTTAAAATGTTAAAAGGTAATTAATCTAATACACTTCTGTACTTACTGTCCTTGGCCTGGTCGTATGTTGGTTATCTTCAGTCACCTTGATATTTGCAAGTTTTGAACTGATGTCACTCAGTGGCTGACGATTTTCGCCTCCCCCTTTCGACTTCGACTTCGGTGTTCTGATGGATCTGTCGCCACATTTCGGATTCATTTTCGTCGATATGTGCTGCTGGTTACATTCTTTATTTTCTCCCAACATCATTGGAACTGCGTGAAAATAGGAACAAATAGATATCCAGTACTGTAGGTAAAATCAAATCACAGATCTATCTGTGTGATACACGAATGATATTAAATTCTTATGATAAACAATCAGTTTCGCGCGTTGATGTTGAAAACCCCGCGCTTCCTCAATTTGGAAGATTCGAACAACCCAAACATCTTGGGGTCAGTTTTAAAATTGTCTGATGAGATGTAAATTACCACGAAATACTACTCATATTATAGATACCTTTATTTGATCATATTATTTTGATAACTGTTTTGACATCCAAATCTTCCAAATTTATCTTTATACATATTTTCAGTGACTGGAAGTTTGAACACAATAGTATTTGAACCCCCTTGTAAAAAGTGGTTTTGCTTCAGATAAGGTTAAAAGGTCATGACAAATAGAGTGATACCCGACTTATCGCGAAACTACTGTGCGCGTATAACCGTAAGCAAGGTGGGAACAAGACTTCTATGTTATGTGTGCATTTTTGGGGCCTTGCACAAATAAACGAATGTAAAATAAAGGGTATAAAATAAACACCGGGAAAGTTCAACACCAGTGGACTTTGGATTGACGAAAACTGTTGGTTTTGGGGAGATAATCACCTCAGATCTTTATCGAAAGCAATAATGAGTCTCCTGTCGAACCATTTACGGGCGTTTCTAGGTTCCACATTTGTGAGAAAAGTCACTGCAGGCGGTCACAATCGGCAGCATAGTTTAGTCAGAAGCATGGCGAGTGCTGTTGCTTGCAAAAGATTGGTTGGAAAAGTTGCCGTTGTAACGGCATCTTCCGAGGGGTAAGTAAATGAGTGAACAGCCGGCCCTGGTAATGCGGGCCTGTTTCTGATTAACCGATAAGTTCATGGTCGAGGAGGAACCAAATGGTGAGTGCAAAAACGGTGGAATTAAGTTTGAATTTGCCTCTGCTGTGTTTCCAATTAATTCCAAATAAAATTTGAGATGCCAACCCCTCCCACCCCCCCCCCCCCAAAAAAAACCCAACCACCCAAATATTGAATTTTGGTATTATTAAGATAGTGGATATTTTGCCGGAGGTAATGACGGCAAACTAACGTTTACTAAAGGTTTGCCAGCGGCAATCCATATCAACAGAGGGCGCTGTACTCTTTAAGATAGGGCTGAATTATAAGATGTATTAAATTCCCACCAAAAATTTTGAAGCACGTTTGGTGTAGTGGTTAAGCAATAGCTCTAGTGAGTGGGATGACCCGGGTTCGATCCCGATCACTGCCACATTTTTAAGTTATTTTTTCCCATCCCCAAATAAATAAGAATATTCTTCTTTTATTATTTTAACATGTCTCAAACATTTTATTGCAGATTATTACATTTTCTTTTTCAGATTTGTGGCTCTGGAGGATTTTTTTTAAAAGGGAAATAAAGTCCGAAATTATAAAATGGTCTGCATCCCATCTTGTGAATACGAGGTAACAACGATAATTTTGGCATGGAGCAAGACTAAAACTTGTCACTGGAAAATGTTTAAATACAAAAAAAACAGTAACTGCGCATGTTCAGTGCATATCCGGCAAACTAACGTTTACTAAAGGTTTGCCGTCTCCGGCAAAATATACACTGCCTTAGGAAAATGTTCTTGACTCTCCATAGAGTTTGTACACTACTGCTGAAGTGGCATCTAGCTTAAATGCATTCTTTCCTAAATTTTTCTATAATTTATCTATAATTTTTCTAATGAGTACTAACTACACTGGTGAACATAAAAGGGCTTTGCTTGCAGTTGCATGCACAATGGCGGGTTACCAGTTTTGTAGCAGCTTTAACTCAAAAGGGAAGATCCATGAATATATGTCCCTTTTGTATAAGACAGGTTTTGTTTGAATGTTTTGGAAAATGTGTAAATAGATTTAGAATTTTTTTTTAAAACATTGAAACGTGTAAACCTCACATCCTTACTTTTTGTTGATGTTCTTCAGTGGAACTAAAAGTAAAATCTTACCAGTTGAAGACATCTTCTCAACAGTTTTGGAGATACACGTCCCTCAAACTTGATCACAAATTTAACTTCTGGCAAACTTCAAACCTGTTGCTGTACAGACGGATACAGTTCTAATGATATCCACAGTCTATTTGCATCCTAAATAATCAGGAAAAAAACCTCTGCTGACAGTCATTACAATGTAGGATGCATGGTTAATATTGATGCAAGTTTAGTCAAGCGTGTCAAGTTGAGAAAGATGCCCAGATGTAGAGGGTTTTTGGACACAAAGAGGAAGAGACAGTCAAAGTTAGATAAAGGAGGGTGGGGCCTGACAGAAGATTAGTGGTTGGGAGGGAGGGGAATCTAGTAACAATAGCGGGAAGTTGGAGGAAAAAGATGCAGTAAAATGAGTACTTGTGCATGTGCATCACCTGATTGTGCTTGTAGTTTGCAATCTCACTTTTCATTGTGGAGAGTGACACATGGATTTAACGTCACAATAAAAGACTAAAAGAGAGAAGACACAAAGTTGGAGGAGTCAGGTTGGTGTAGCGGTACTTTTCTCGCCTCCCACTGCTGTGACCCGGGTTCGAATCCCGGGTTCGAATCCCGCCTGGGCCAGCGTGTGGATTGGGTTTTCAGTCCCTACCTGATTCTAAGGGTTTTTCACAGAATATTCTTCTTGGGTTTTCCTCCCAGCTCTAAAACTGTAATGTCTTCACATTGTCTCCTCTCTACAGGTTTCTTCAGGCTTGCGAGCTATAGTGCTTAGGGTGCTTTTGAGGAATCCTTGGTTTCATTACCAGAAATAAACAATAATAACAAAGCTCTTATCTTAAGATAATAATTCTGACTAGAAAATACTGAACAAATCCTGTTTGTAAACCATCAACTTGGTGTGTGAATTTGAAATACAGAAATTAATTCATTGATGCTTCAACCCTATCGTGGTAGTCATATTAGTTATGTGGTCTTTAATTTATAACTTTTAAATGGGAGTTTAATGCAAATCGACCAATAAAATGAAGAAGAAACAAAAAATAATAATAATAACGACAACTAGACCATTAACAACATCCAATTAATTTTAATTTATTTAATTATTTTTTAATTTTTTTATTTATAGAATTGGCTTTGCAATTGCCAAAAGACTCGGCAATGAAGGTGCTCATGTGGTGATTAGCAGTCGTAAGCAGGCCAATGTCGACAAAGCCCTCAAGGAGTTACGAGATGCTAACCTGAGCGTGAGTGGTATGGTGTGCCACGTGGGAAAAGCTGAACATCGCACAAAACTCATCAGTGAGGTAAAAGAAAAAATTGGTTCAATTTCAAATTGAGTTTCCTTATCGTAAAAACTGAGTGTTGAGGAATTTGCGAATGTGTTGAGGAGAAAGTTCCTGGAGTTGTACGCAACTCTGTGTGATTCCACCATGACAAAAGAAATCTGTTTTCATAATAATGTAGTTGGTGGGTCTTAGTCAATGACTGTTTTATTATGAATAAAGTGAATTTTTTCACAAACATCCATTGTTTAAGTAATGGTAATTAGAAGTGTCGCTAGAATTTTCATTCAGGGTAGGGGAAAGTTAAAACAGTGTTTATGACAAATTTAAGGTGGGGGAACTTTTCTGCTAAGGCGGGAAAAATCAAACTCATGATGTGGCACACAATTTCACAGAGTGGTGCACTGTTTTTTATAGGGTAGGGGAAAAGAATAGTTTTAAAAATCTACGCAAAATGTTGCGCAGCTTTGCTACGTTTTGTGAAATCCACTGTGAAGCTATAAAGTTTTAAGTCAATTGAAACTACTGATTTTATACTGATCGTTTGAAAGTTGCTGCTGCTTGTTATGCAGCATATGTTGAGTCAAAATTTGGGTCCATAAAAATTACGATTGTTATTGGTAATTTTTTGTTAAACCTTGTTTGGAAAACCTGGAAGAACTTTTTGCCTGTATAAATATTTTGAAGATTTTGATTTTCTTTTCTATGTGGTGAATTTTCTTTTTAAGACTGTAGCTAAGCACGGAGGTATAGATATCCTGGTGTCAAACGCTGCAGTGAATCCTGCCATGGGACCGTTTCTTGAGGTGAGGACACATTTGTTAAGCGTAAACACATTTCGCTCCATGAGAGTAGGTTACCAGGCAAAGGGCCATATGTTATGTGTTGCTTTTGACTGGTTCTCTGTATGTTTTGCTAAGCATGTAAATTTTCTAAATTTGATTAAATTTAAAATTGGCTGCTTGATTAGAGCTCAGTAAAGAGTTGGAAAAGCTGAGTTAACGTGAGTTGAGTTAAATTGTGACCCCGAAAATGAGATTACCAAAAGCTTATTTTTTCATGGCTAAAATATTTTCTCGTTGAGCGCTGTGGTCCAGTGGTTTTGATGTTCGACTCACATGCCATGGTACGCGGGTTCGAACCCTGACAGCGAACAAGGTGCTTTTGTTCTTGGGCAAGACATTTTACTACAATTGCCTCTCTCCACCCAGGAGTATAAATGGGTACCTGTGAAGGTAGAGACCAGAATGCACTGATCTCGAGCTGTTGCAAATGCTGGTCTCGTGGCCTGATGAACAGGGGTAATAATTGTGAACATTTTGAGACCTTTGGTACAAACTGCTATATAAGCACCAAATTATTATAAAAATGTTGCCCAAGTCAGGTGCTTCTTTGTCGTGTACTTAATTGTACCAGTACTTAATTTTCTGATATTTCTTTTCTTTTCCTGTATGTCTTAATAATCCTTCATTGTTGCGTATATTGTTCACTGTGGGAATATTCGTTTAACAGTGGGAGCTTGCACACAACTTTTCAGAAGCACAGTATTTAAAGTTTTATTTTCTTGGAAAACTTCAGATCTTAGAACCTAATCTTTTTCTCTCTTGGCATTCTACACTACTTTGTCAATCTTTTTTTTTGCTTTTCAGACGACAGAAGACCAGTGGGATAAGGTGAGATGTCATATTGTTTTTTTTTATTTTTGGTATTTAAAATATGCTTACTAAATACATATTTCTTGAAAAAATTGATGTTTGAATCTAAAAATGTTCTCTTTTTTTGGTAATACGCTAAAGTTTTTTCACAACACAAAACAAATCAGTGGAAACATAAGAAAGTCGTTGTATGAAAATGACAAAAAAACTGTAGCTACTCTTTTTCCCTTTTGGAGAATTTGGTTCATGTTTTTTTTTTTAATTGTATACCTAATGCTAGTTATTGTACCTTGTCAGTTGTATAAAATGGCAGTAAACTGGAATAATTCCCTTTTTGACTGAATTGTGGAATTTTGCCCTTTTCCTTTGCAGATTTTCGATGTCAATGTTAAAGCCACGTTCCTTCTCATAAAGGAGTGTGTTCCGCATATGAAGACCAGAAAGTAAGCTCCTCTTTAATGTATGAAAAATATGCGACATCCCTTTCTGGTTAATTGAAGTGAAAAGTGCACTTCCTTAAAGGGAAAATACAACATTTGCAAACATCAAAAAATAAAACTACCAAATCATTTTGAAATACCTTGCTGGACTATTAGTGAATGACAGTGTAAAGCGTCCTGTAAAATCATGGCACCTGGTATACTGTCATTTTCAAGAAAAGTGGTATTTTTGTATCAATTTCCAACGCTGATCGGCCGATCAGCGTTGGAAACAACTGGCTTTTTTCAAATACTGGCCCCAATTGACCATCGCACTTGTTTGCAATCGATTACAAACCTATGAACGGGTACGAGCCAGCTAGACTGGTTCCCTGACCTTACCTTACAATTCCCCAATGTATGTAAACTGCTCTGTTTCTTCTTATATTGAGTCAGGGAACCAGACTACAGGAAAATGATCGTTTTTCTTGGTTTTTATAGCATTTTCGAACCCAAAACCTCAAAAAAGTCAGTGTAACTATATTTGCTATATATTTCCAACCCCCCAATTCCATCCATTTCTGAAAATTACAGCAAAAGCAAATGATGTATATTCCCTTTAAACATTTTTAAAAAAAATTCCCATGTTTTTCTGGACAAATGATGTCACTGTTAAGATGTCATTTCAGGAAGACACTGTTTAGGTTAGGGGTTTTCTGTTAAAATTGTGAACCCCAAATTTTGCTTATTGAAAAATTTATGAGAAAAGTTTGCTCATTGGCTTACTGCTACATGTACTGACATGTACTGACCCAACAAGAAATCACCAAAGCAAAGAAAATTTACGACAGCAAAATATCAAAAATTCTGGCTACGTTTGGTGCTGAACTAGCTGTAGCATTGAGTTTTCTGCCTTACCAAAAAGGACCAAAATAACCATGAAAATGGCAAAACGAAAATTGAAAATGGGGTTAATGGGACATAAAGGTGCATTTCCAAGGACTGTAGTAAAAAAATGTAAATTGCATGGGCCCTTTTAAAACACCATGTACTGTGCATTCATAGAGTCTATACGATGTTGGTTAACAATATGTACCATTTCTTTGTTTCAGAGGTGCTTCTATTGTTATTGTGTCATCCATTAGTGGATTCAGTCCCTTTAATGTAAGTCGAAAAATCTGAGGCATTCTAGCAAAACGAGACGGAACAATGGCACAGGCCATAGTGGAGAGAAATGAAAAAAAGAAAAAGAATGGGGATGAATTTTTTTCTGATTTTTTAGATTGATTGATATTTAAGCTTTGAATGATATGTGTACTACACATATTTTAAAGAAATACACATGTAGTATAAAAATTGTAGAATAAGAGTGTTTTGGCATCTTTTGTTTTCACGTATACAAAACTCAAAACTTTAAAAGCCTTTTTTTCCTCAGTATTTTACTCTTTTCGACATGTCAAAAAATGTGAAAATTAAACAGCCATAACTTGTCAACGGAATGTCCGATCGAAGTGCAAGAAACAAGATTGTAAGGAGAATTGTAAATTGTCTTTCCTAATACATTGTACAAGCAAACCCTCATTTCGACCTCTGACCAGTTCTGTCTTATTTTGCAAGAATGCCTCACAAATTTTAATTTGTCTTGCTTCCAATTTAATTTCAATTTTAAACTTTGTATATTCATAATTTAGCATCTGAAACCTTATACCTGAGCAAAAAAAAAGGGCAAATTTCGCTGATGCAAGCCTTTTGATTTCAAAATACATTGTTGCGTTGGGTTTTTTTTCTGATTCTCTTTAGCACCTTTCATGGAACAAGTTTTATAGTTTTGATCTGCCTTTTGATGAACTAGGTGATGGAATTTCATAATTTGGTCGTGGAAATGTTTGTACCTAGGAAATGTTTGTACTTTGAAAAGGTGCAGTAACCCTGTAACTGGAGAACCGAGAATTGTTGTTTGAGAAAAAAAATTGTCGCTGGATTTTCTTCATTAAATAGTGCTAATTAAGGCAGGTTTATACTCGGCGCAAAAGTGAATGCGAACTCGAATTGTGGCACCAGGGCAAGTTTTCGTGCTGCAAATTTGCAAAAGTTAAACACATTGCAACTCTGGCGAATTTCACAGCGAATGTTTCGTGACGTCAAATTCTCATCGCATTCGCATGAAACCGGCCTTTATTCTCACTCATCCTAGCTGACTGGGTTACTGATGCACTCTTTTCATGTATGTAGAGAGTGTATGCTATTTCATCTTCTGTCCTAATATTGTCACGTTGTCCACCTGTGGTAGGTGTTGGGGGCTTACTCTGTCTCCAAGACTACCCTCCTAGGATTGACCAAGACGTTGGCTGCTGAGTGTGGCCCAATGGGAGTCAGAGTCAACTGCATCGCTCCCGGCATCATCAAGACAAAATTCAGTGAAGCTGTGAGTAGAATCAACTGTTGGTCCTAATAGGTCTTATACTTGAACAAGTGAGGGCGCTATAACGATCAGGGATGTAAGCAGATGTGTATCAGGCATGCATCTACAGTACTTGTATTCTTCAGATCCGCTCATTTCCTCCATGACTTCACGTACATGTAAGCCTACAAAAATTTACTTTCAGCAGGCATGCAACTTTTCCTCAGATCCGGCTGATTTCCTCGTTTTTTACTTCTCATGAATGCCATTACAAATTGAAAAACAAATGCACAGGGTCTTGTGTGTTTGGAGTTTCCTCGTTTTTTTACCTCGAAATTCCCAGTTGCATGCCTGTTTCAATTCAGTACTGTCAGCCTAAAATATTCTTTAATTTTAATTACAAAGTAAAATTTAGTAATTTTATTGTGCAAATATGAATATTTTGATTGCACTATTTAAAATATGCGGCACTAAAAATTGTGTTTCCAAACATTCAAGCTGAACAATTCAGTCGGTTTTAGTTCCCTTCAGAGTGCTGTGTTCGGCAAATTTTATTTTGGTTCGGGGGCAGTTCAGTTGCAGCACTAACAAAGCTAGAGACCCAAATCTCTTTAGCATAGGAACTGTTAGTGTAAAATTGAGTGTGGTCACTGAATTCTAACAGAGCTTCATTATGAAGTCATTTCAGTTTCAATTTTCAGCTTTTTTTTTTCTTTCTACTGTGACCTTAGTTGTGGGGTGAAGAGACTTTCTTAAAGCAATCCTTGATGACTGCTTCAATCAAACGGTAAGCATCCGAAGGCTCTGGTCCATACCCCCCCCCCACTTCCTCCTCATCCAATCAAAATTCTATTAATATGTCTAACACTTCAAACTCCTTCAGTAGTCTGAAGAGAGTTCACACTACTTGCCACGAGTGCCATGGCCTCGTGGTCTGGGGCATTGAATTCATGGTCTGCGGGTGATACTGCAGGTTGCGGGTTCGAGTCCAGCCTGGGGTTTTGGTGCGTGTGCCCTTGGGCAAGGCACTTTGTCACTCATTGCTTCTCCCAACCCAGGAGTAAATTGGGTACCTGTGAGGGCAGAGATGATATTGTGGTTGATTTCAGTTGCTTTGCACAGAAATGGCAGCATCCAGCTGTATACTCCCCACCGAGCTGAGCTGGTATCTGGAATATTTTATTGCCCAAATAAGCAGCCAGTTTCTTTTATTGACCGTATGCTCATTAACAATAATGAACATAATAAAGTGAGTTGTGATGCAGTAAACTCCAATTATTACACAATCAGCCAGAACTAGCCAAAATGTTTATCGTATCAGAATTTTGTACTAAAGAGGAGCACTGGTCCCATTCATTGTGCACATAAATGAATGGTCAAGACCGAGACTTATGTTCTCTATAACCGGAATTTTGTTGTAACAAGAGTTTGTATTAACGAGAGCCAACTGCAGTTGCCACTTTAATGAAAGACACGTTGGGGTTCACCTGTCCAAATTAAAAAAAAAAATTTTACTTGAAAGTTTCTCTCTGATTCTTCTAAGGGCTGGGGAGCCGGAGGAATGTGCGGGAACCGTGGCGTTCCTTTGCTCCGACGATGCTTCTTACATCAATGGAGAAAACATCCTCATCACCGGAGGCATGCAGTCACGACTGTAGTCAGGCTCCTGGTAAACCATCCAGGGGTTTACCATAAAGCCAAACGTGAGGTATGACCTGGCTGTGATTTTTCTTTCTGCACCCATGTTCAGGCAACGATAGTTCCACTATGCCAAACAGACTGCTGTGAATCTTGAACCCAGGACAAAAATAATGAAAGATCAGCCAAATACAGGATCAAATGAAGATGACATTTGTAAATTTTATATATTTTTTATTATATCTAATGTAAAGGAGAAATTGTAAAATCTGAATTTTTTTTTATGGAATGTAAAATTGTCACAATATATTATTAAGGTAAGACAATTTGTTTTCCTGAATTGTTTAGCATTGAAGTATGTTCTTTTAGACACTTCGTCTTGTTGATTAGGATAAATGCTGTCATTAATACAAAAAAAAAACTTCGACAATAAATGTCATGTAAGTGTTGATAAAATATGACACTTTAAAGTTTTCAACTCAAGTCTTTCTTTGTATAAGCAGAAACTATTTTGAAATACGTCAGCTTACAAATACTTCCCAACTGCTGCAAGTCTTTGTTTAATTAATTATTGGTTAATCACTTTTTTCCTCACACATTTTCTGATTCTGTAATATATAGTATTTTAGTTGGGAAGCAAAGTAATAAAAAGCCTGTGTTTTGATCTTAATACAATTCTGAGCATCATAAGTGTTCAACAAGCCTTGATTTTCTAAGAGAAAATTCCTTTGAGAAATAAACAAGGAGTACAGTGGAATAGTTTCATTTAAATGGTAATATATAATATTTATGTCTATTTGCAACTCCAGTCAGATTTTCAAAGAGAAACTGGTTCTTCTCAGAACCACACAACTCGCTAAGAGATGTCAATCACACGATGTTACCGCAAACCTCCCATTCATTGTTCTTCTGACTGGAACAAAATTCTAAGTTCCCCATATTTACATCAGATTACACAATTTGCACATGTTAAGCTGCGTGTATGTTTCTAACAGCTGACAAGTTATTTAAAATCTCAACCATATTAAAATTTAAGATTATTTGTGATTTAGATTTCTCCCTTATTGCTGCCAAGGAAACATAACTAAATAACACATCAAAACAACAGCTATTTACAAATGACCTAATAGTTTGAAAGATTAATGAGTGACTGAAAACGACGATAATAGACCCACTCGATGACCTTTTCATTGAAATTACTACCTCTACTTTTCTATTCTTTTTCAGTTCTTTTTTTGTGGGAATATATGAAAAAAACGTTGCAAGCAGGATTAATTCTGCTTGGGCAAAATCGCAAATTGTTTTAAGGAAAAATATGAGGTTTTTTTTTCAATATCCATGGATGTCTGGAATTTAGGGAGGAAGGGGGAATATCAGGAATGCCAAAAGGATACAAATATTTCCAGAAACATATTAAGCAAACGGACATCAATAATCGACCACACCTGTGTATACATGTAGATGCATGTGCTGTGTAATGCACATTGATAATATTTGCCGTGAAAGAGTATTCAAACTAAGGCTCTTTTTTTTTTTTTTTTTTTCTGGGGTTTACTTCGAATAAACATTATTTATCAGTGAAAAATGTTCCCTGATTTTATTAAAACTAAAACGTAAATTTACAGAATTGCTTAAATTTCACAGTCTATCATCGGTATCAATGTCGGTACAGAGAAATCACAATTAAAAGCTAAACTACTGCAATAAAAATCTTTATTCTGTGCAGTCACCCGACACATAATAGTTTTTAAAAATGGGTGAATAAAAAGACACTGTGCAAATAGTATATGTAATTAAATCACTTAAGACATCAAAGGTAAATGAAGAAAGTAAATATTTCTCGCCAATATCTCTTTTGCGTAAATATGCAAACACCTTATATACATGTAATCCATCAGAATTCTTCACGATTATAGCAAAAATGAAGTTTATCGACAAGATGACAAGAAAACCGTGTCCAGTTTTGCTCTGTTCACAGATGTAAGAGCTTAAAGTTCACATTCATCATAATATCGCCAAAACTTTTTGTTGTTGTTTACTGAACGCATTTCGAAGATCTGGATTGCAGGAAATCCACATCATGTCATAATTTACCGCGCAAATGTTACTCGTATACTGCAGACAAGGCCAAAAAAAAAGTCTCCGGTTTCTGGTATGCGCGCGCGTCGCCGTTGCCATGCGCGTCGGCAAAATGAAAAAGCCAAACTCACTGGTTTGACTGGAATCCTGCTGATGCACAATTTTAACGTGTTGTTAGATTGGGTTATGGTCGAGAATAAGCTTTATGTGGCCTCTCTAGACTCCCATATATTTGCACTAAGTTTTGTCGGGTACCATTTGCAGTCAGCCGACATTTGAAGCAAAACAATCAGGTAAAAAAAAAAAAAAAGCCGCGTCGCCGCACCACTTTTTGGGCAAGCTCCATACCAGAAACTGGAGACTTTTTTTTTGGCCCAACGACTCGGTTTTTTTTATTTGACGACTAACATTTTGAGCATCAAAATTCCTTCGCGAGAAATAATATAACATAAAACCCGCAAATTTTCAAGATTTTGTTGTGTGAACAGTTACATAATGTTCTACTTTAAAATGATCGTTCCAACTATCACAATTTTGTGAGAAGCGTATTTTAGAGTCAAAATTGACAAGTGTTTTCCTAAGGTTTTTCCTTTTGCGATGACACCCTATATAAGCTTGGTGGTATATAACTCCTTGACCATGACGTGACCGGTCAGGCTATGGGTGAAGACGACCATCAGCGCCGAATTCCATGCAAACCATCGACGGCAGAATCTTCTCGGTAGATTCCTCAAGAAACGGGAGCTCACAAATGGCGAAAAAGACGCTGCTGCAGCCAATGGCGAACCAGTTACCGCTGTATAAATACATCTGTACGCAACTGGCTGCGTTGCCTTGACCGGCGTCGGTATCGGAATCACCAGGCGTATTCTGGAAATTGGTGTACTCGCAAGGAGTGCCATCAGCATGCATCGACTGGGTGTTGCAGTCGATCCAGATGCCGTTGGATCTTCCAAATCTTTGGGCGGCAAAGTCGTACAGGAATGTCTGCTCGGCGGGGGAGTTGGGTACTGCTAAGCTGCCTCCCATGCGGGAGCATGCGGCGGTGGCGTTGACCCACGGCATAAACCCGTCGACCAGACAGTAACGGGTTTGATCAAACGATTCCCCGTCTTGGCAGTTGGTACACGATGCTATACCGAAACAGAACAGCAGGAGTACCACCAGAGATTCCATTTTGCCAGGTGAATGTAACAAAATTGATGCTTCAAGTGTCCCAGGCGTTAATATTGAAATTTAAAAGCAGTGTCCAGTGACCAGAATCTTTATTGGGTTAATGCAGAGATTCAGTTCCGTATTTGCATCGCAGATGACCACAAACCTGTCTCAACCTGTAGGCCTACCTCTTCTCGCCAGTTTCTATAACAACGAACTGCGTGTCGCTAATAGCGAACAGTTTAACGCCTTCCGTCTTCAAGAAAAAAATCGATGATGATAATTATTGTCGAGGCGCTCGGCCATTGGAAAGTCAGTATATTAAGATTGTTTATAGCTGTGATCTCAACCAGCTCACGCAAAATTACTGGTTGTCATGGTGATATTGTCAGAACAGGGATATGGCCAATGGCATCATCTATATTCTAATGAGGGAGATGACCGTTCTTGCTGCATCGAAATAGTAGCAAGATGTGTCGCGGTCGTTGTCTATTTGGCGTCCACAGAACTACTGAGGTGAAAACCAAGTCTCACGTGACGCTATTGGGTTAATGCAAAGATTCAGTTCCGTATTTGCGTCGCCGCGGATATCCACTGTCTCGGTGTCTCTCGCCAGTGTCTGAGCAACGAACTGCCCGTCACCAATAGCGAACAGTTTATTAACGCCTTCCGTCTCCAAGAAAAATCGATGATGATGATAATTGTTGCGGCGCTCGCTTTGTTGAAGATCGACAGAATCGGCCATCAGTAGAGCATGATTTGGTTGTATAAATAGTAATAATGGTTGTGGCCTCAACCTGCTCATGCAAAATTACTGGTTGTCATGGTAATATTGTCAAAACCGTGATGCAGGGGTATTTGCCATGGCGTCATCTGTAATCTAATGAGGAGATGACCTGGTAAAAAAAACGTGCGTCCACCAGCTTCTCTCGTATACGGTCAACGTGATGAAAACCAGCTCAGCGTTCTTGCTTCATTTAGAGATCGAAATTGTCGAAATTGTAGCAAGATATGTGTCGCGGTCGTTGTCTATTTGGCGTCCACAGAAATACTGAGGTGAAAACCGAGTCTCGCGTGACGTGTTGTTGATTACGTAGTACTAATTACGGTGGCCTTAGACGCTTGGTATAATTTTGTTGTAAAGCTAATTATCAAAAGGCTCGAAACGGATGTGAGTTGGGGACACCAAGGCTAAACTAATTCTTTCGATCATCGATTGAAGGTTTTTCGTGGCACAAAACTGAATTGCTTTCATTAGATACGGTCAACGTGTGATGAAAACTAACCTTTTCGAGCGGCTTAATTAACTAAGTTAATTATTATGCTTGGTGCTTGCAAACTGTCAAAATAAACAAATAATCTTTAGAACTTTCTCCTTCAAAAGGTTAACAGATATTTTATGCGGATGGTCATCAATAAGTGTGTATAAAACACTGATGTCACTTTTTTTGGGGGCAACTGTTTTTTCCCCCGTCTTGGTTTGCTATTATCAACGTTACAAGTAGGCGCGCTTCTAGAGCCAATATTTTTTTGGGGGGGGGGGGGGGGGGGGGGGGGGAGGGCTAGCAGGGCGGATGCAGAATTTTTTTCAGGGAGAAGTGCTGAAATGTAGACCGGTTATTTTCTCCGGACACTGAAGCCCGGTTCATACTCGGCGCGAAAGCGAACGCGAATTTGTGACGTCGTGGCAAGTATTCGCGCTGCGAATTCGTAAAAGTTGAACATCATATTTCAACTCGGGCGAATTTCGCAGCGAATGCTTCGTTACGTCAAATTCGCTTCGCATTCGCATTTGCGTGAAGTATGAACCGGGCATTAGGCCTCCGAAAATCAATAGGTGCGGGGGGGGGGGGGGGGGGGGGCTCGTGCCATATTTTCAATGGGGAGCGCCAATACAATCCTACAATTAGGCACACTATATTAACTACAAATGCACCCTTCAAGTCACGACTATTTCTTTAGGGGGAGACCGTTCGCATGTACGTCACATTTCTTCTTTTTGCTAATGCATTTTTTTAATGGAATTTTCTTTGGGGGAGGGGGGGGGCGGGGGCTAGACAAAATGGGGAGGGGGGCTACAGAACCGCCACTGGTTACAAGTCTGTATACGTAGGGTTTCACACTAATCACTAAGGTTGCATTAACGATTCTTAATCATTTTTCTTGAATTAGACACCAAAAGTCAATTGTATATATACACAAGAGATAATACGTGTAGGCCTTACTAGACAAAAATATGCTTATCTCTCACCAATGTGTCCGATGACTTTAGTCTTTGCTGTATCTGCTTGTCAGAGTGTCGTCCATCCTGCCAACAATCTTGCTGCATTTACATTTCGAAATAAGAGCAAGAGTTATCAAGTAACATATCTTTTTTGCCGGCTTCATTGCGAGTGATGTCATTCAGTTGGCAGATCTTCTCCCCGCGGCTGACCTGTCGCAGATTGAAGGAGCGGCATCGAGGCTCATCCCGGCACACCGAACCACATGCGATGACACCCTTGGTGGTGGAGAACTCCTTGATGACGTGACCGGTCAGGCATTGGGATGTGAGGCGGCCATCAGCGTCGGTCTTCAGGCAGAACAACGACGGGGAAGCCAACTTATTGACGCCAACTGGGTCGACAGTAGACTCGGTATCGACTCGGTTGACAGTAGACTCGGTATCGACTGGGTCAACAATCGACTCGGTATCGACTGGGTCAACAGTAGACCTGGCATCGACTCGGTTAACAGTAGACTCGGTACGGACTGTGTCGAAAGTAGACTCGGTTGTGGCAGTAGTACACTCGGTAAGGATTTGGGTTTCACAAATTACGTGCTGTTCATCGTAAAACGGGAAAGCGTACAGAATATCGTACCACATAAAGGCGCACTGCTTGCCAGATCTGATTTTTGGTTTATTTTCTTGCCAGCTGGTGTAACCACACGGCTGTTCATTTAGTTTCTCCCATTTGCCCGTCATCGAATTGTTGCAGCAATCAATCCATACGCCCTTTCCTTCCAGCTTCCGAATTATTTGGTTGAACATGTCCCACATGAATCTGTGCTCTGTCGCAGAGTTAGGCACTGCCAAGCCACCACCGATATCAGAACATTCCCTTGCGGCGGCGTCCCATCCCATTGTCTTGTTGATGAAATGATAGCAAGAATCGCCGAACTTTTGCTCGCAATCTGGGCAGACTGCTGATGCGCCTGCTGTAATGCTTAGGAGTGCAATTACTATCACTGCCGACATGATCGGTGCAGCAAAGATATCTTTTCACAATTAAATGTCAGCCGTCTGTGATGCGAATTGCAATGAGTTTATTTCTTCTTCAAAACTGCAAAAATCGACAGTATCCGTGCAGTGTATGATTGCCGACTGAAGCTTCAAGAGTGATAGTTGAAAGCGTTTATCTCGTCATGCTCTCGTCATACGGTCGAATGAACTTGAAAAATCGTGGCTAATAATTACCAAGGTGTGAGCCAATTAGCCTTAACATGGCGTGGCTGTCGATTACGTATAGTAATACGAATGGTCTTCGGCGCCAGGGATTATTTTGTTTTACTGCTTAATTACAGACTCAAAACAGCGTTATACGCTTGAATTCGCGTTGTCAGGTAAATCCACGGGCTCTCAACGTCATTCGTTCGATCACCCATAGGAGTTTTCTGAGCACTTGATTCGTGGCACCAATCTGGGAAAGAATCTTGCAACCTGACGCTACTTCAGCGGTTGTGTACAAAGTCTATGAAGAGTCAAGAAATTTTCAAAGTATCTCCTAACAAAATTGGAAATGTTTCCGGCAGTCCCAGCATGCCCAGATTCATGTCTTATCGTCATTTTTGCAACGACTGACCTTCATTGAGATGATTATGAAGAAAAAAGCAGCGTCAGGTTGCAACATTCTTTCCTCAATCTGAAGGTATTAGGCCTATGTGCTCTCATTATGTTCAAGGTGATAGAAACAAATCGTTGGAGTAACTTAAACCCAGTTAATATTATTGTTACGTATACATTGTGTTTAGATTACTTATTGCTTGCAAAATGTAAGATGTCCTCAATTAATAACACAAATAACCAATAGGACTCTATGCGTACTAATACCGACCGCTGTTTTATGCGGTTGGTCAATAATATCTTTGTATAAAACCACACAGTTTGGTGAGAGGTTTTATGCAAAAGCCATCGCTGTTTTAGAAGAGGCATGGAAAGTGCATTTATTGGATGGTATTATGGTAACTTGGAATTGTTTCTTTGTCTGCAAATGTTAAATGTTAAATGTTTCTTTGTTTGCAAATGTTTCCTTACCTTGTTTTGCTGTATCGTAAATAACATTCTTGCTGCATTTACAGATCGAAATAAGAGCAAGAGTTATCAAGGTCCTTGTCTATTTGTCCGGCTTCTTTGCGAGTGATGTCATTCAATTGACAGATCTTCTCTCCGCGGCTGACCTGTCGCAGATTGAAGGAGCGGCATCGAGGCTCATCCCGGCACGCCGAACCACACGCAATGACACCCTTGGTGGTGGAGAACTCCTTGATGACGTGACCGGTCAGGCATCGGGATGTGAGGCCGCCATCAGCGTCGGTCTTCGGGCAAAACATCGACGGGGCAGCGAGCATATTGACACCAACTGGGTCGACAGTAGACTCGGTGTCGACTGTATAATTGTCTGATTCAGTATCGACTGGGTTGACAGTAGACTCGGTGTCGACTGGGTTGACAGTAGACTCAGTACCGACTGGGTCGAGAGTAGACTCGGTGTCGACTGGGTTGACAGTAGACTCGGTATCGACTGGGTTGAGAGTAGACTCGGTATCAACTGGGTTGACAGTGGAGTCGGTGTCGACTGGGTTGACAGTAGACTCAGTATCGACTGGGTTGAGAGGAGACTTGGTGTCGACTGGGTTGACAGTAGACTCAGTATCGACTGGGTTGACAGTAGACTCGGTATCGACTGGGTCGACAGTAGATTCAGTATCGGCTGGGTTGACAGTAGACTCGGTATTGACTGGGTTGACAGTAGACTCGGTAT